ACAAAGTGAAGAAAGTCAAAAATGGGGAAGAGGTTCGCGAAAGAGAAACAAAAAGGAAGGCGAAAATCCCATAGTGATTGGCGGTCCTCAAACGAAGGAAGTGGATTCATGATGGACCAGGTTATCAAAGAGATCTGATTCGGGCACAAGTCACAGTGTCTCAGCTTAGATCGTGCCGTGCTGGATATCAGTGACCCAGAGTTCACTAGCGGTCTACGCTATGTGGCGTTATCTCGTTGCGCGCTTTGCAGGGCATCCTGCTCCAACGAAGCTTTTTATATGGTGACATTCACCGGCCAAGGCCATCTGATGCAATGCGAGCTGAACTGGATAGTTCGGAGCGGACACTGGCTGAGCACTGGCGGCAGCCATACATGTCTCAAGATACTCTTAACTCACGCCATCGCAAATCTTCCGCACACTACCAATACGCCCCTCACCTGGAACTCGGCTGTGAGAAGTTCAGCCGCACAAAACCACTGATCAAAGAAATGCTTCTGGAAAGAGATGAAAATCTAAATTCCCCTCCGTCATCTCCATGGACTGACCTTAACAGTCGATCAACAGAACAATGGATACTTTCAAAAACAACAAATCGGCCCCATACCCTGAATTGAACGAAGATTTGGAGGGATTAGGGATTTCGAGCTTTTCCAAGCCGCCGAGGGCACATAGATGGCGCCAACACCCCCAATACTCCTTGAGCTTTATACAGCATTTAATGTCAGCTCTTGGTTCGTAATACTCCCAGAAGATAAAATGGCGGTACCCACAGACAAGATATCAAGCCATCAGGATGAACCATCAGTCCTCTCGGTACCTGCCCATGGACTAGAAATTCCCCGTGAGCACTCCTAATATCGATGGTGACTCGCGTTTTCTCTCAATGAGACTAAGGAGCACTTTGAAGTCTCTGAACCACATGTCTTTACAGAATACATGGGGTTTTGACCTCCAAAAAGCCCACATGTCTTTCCAAGGATATCACTGCAGCCCTAGAGGCCGACATGATTATCGCTGATGTGGAAATTTTTGTGAGGGGGCAAAAGCAGAAGAAGCCATCTAGGACCACGAGGTATGGTGTCTGGAATATATGCTACCAGTCAGGCATGCCGGGTTTGAGAGAAAAAAAAAATAAAAAAAAACTCAAGATGATGGCATCTTACTCGCCCTGAGATACTCAGGCGATGCGATTGAGAAAAGCACTGTTGAAAAGAACCGAGTTCATGGTTGTATTATTAATTCCTTCTACAGCGAAAGGAACAAATTTGCTAAACATGGTTTAAGTGACCTCTTGCTCGGAGTTTGGGGATTGAATACGCTGAATGGCGAGCACGAAAAAGGAAACGAATAACGCATGATGAAAGGTGGCTAAACTCCGAACAAAACGTGGAAATATTCGGAACCAGTCCATCTCCACGATCGGAGGTTCACCGACAGATCATTTCAATTTGACGTGATATGCCTGCAGCCATGTGTAGTGGCTCACCAGTCTATATGACGGTGCGGTCCTTGGGAGCCTTATGATGAAGGGACAGATGGGTCTCCATTCTTACTTTCCTGCTATCTCCCCGCTGGTAGTTGGATCAGCGAGTTCATACTGAGTCGAAGGACACTGGTTTCGTTTTATTATTTTCTTCCCTTTGCGTTCCCAGGACTACGCGCAGCAAGAGCAGCAAGGCATCACCAGCCATTGACGGATGGAATGTTTCCCGCCGATATGGACATTAAACTCTTGCCCTCGCCAGTAAAAAACCGTCGCCGTTGAGTCATTTGAGGCATTCATGTCTTGCAGGGAGGCGGCGGCTCCAGTTTGACTCTAGCACAGTTGTACAACAGCTACAAAGACGTCAAGAGTGATCAACCCGGAACAATGCGGGTGTATCTAGCTCCAGAAAGTCACCTGGTCGCTGCTCAACGACACGTATTCCCTGGCCATCCAGACGACTTGGAGTCGTTGATGAAGACTGGCGGAGCACTACCTCGCATTATTATCGAATCATTGTCGAATATGATTTGGACTGTCGAGGACCCCGGACAAACTCTTCTAACCGGCGCCACGCTGAATAGAGCCTTTCGTGCTCCGTGGTTACCTCTTGTATCAATAGATCGTTCCACAGCTCTCAGAAGCCAGACTATCGTTCTCTCTGATACGCTTCTTCGTCTCTTTTTCGTGTGTTGTGTGTGGGGTTGGAGACCTGGACGACAGCAGACTCCACTGGTCCGACGCCTGGCAGACCCTCAGGCCCGCACATCGACCGGAAAACGTGGTGCAATGGAAACTAGTGCAAGCGTGAGACACGCTCCTCATCTCCCGAGAGTACGAATTTACGGCCAGGATAAGACATGGTACCTCAAGGGGACAAACGTCCTGTCGGACTCGTCGTTGTCTTCCGTTTTGGCGCTCATGGATGATAACGACGTTAAGCACCGCTTCCCCTGGGACCTAGACTTAAACCCGAAGATTAGGATTAACAGACCATCGATGTCTTGCTGAGGAGCGCTTAAAAATAGGACGGACCGTCCCTTGTGCGGTGCATGTGCTGTGGTGGAGGCGTTGGCCATCTATTGGCTTCCTGTTTTCGAAGAGATTTTCTATGCAAACGCTGGTATAATGCTATGGACTGGTACAATGGCCACAACAAAAGTTGAAGGCCAGGTGTTGGGAGATTAATGAGGTCGCTGGTGCGGGTACTATGTCATGGTTGGGAACCAGGCAACCATTCACTCTACTCACTCCTGTCTGTTATAAGGACACCCTCGCCAATTCCGCTTCTTCCTTCTACGTCTCATTGTTTTGCTCTAATATCGCTCTCCTACTGATCGGATCGTCACATTGGTTTCCAAACGCGTTGAGTCTCTATCCTCGCCGGACGTCATACCATTCACATCGAGTCCGGATTCCAAGATGCCTACATAACGCTCCAAGTTCACGACATTGGGATATCGGTGAAGTCCTGCCCTTCTTATGGGACTGATCATCCAGCTACAGGCGTTTTCATTATGAGCATGCAGGTGGCCCCAAATGAACCTTGTCACACCCTCCAGCGAAACTCCTGAATGTCGACTCTCTCTTACAAACATAAATAAGATCTTCAATGAGAATGGATCAAGTGTACCTTTAGTACTGTGGATAGCACGTCACCAACAGCAGGCCGGGTCTAGTTGGTCATGCTAGCCTCGCCTTCAACCGTCGCATGATCCTTGCTCTCCCTACAGTCATTCTCGAAATCGGCTTGACCAAATACATATATACAGGATAATGTCTGGCAATTCTTGGCTTTCCCTTTCCGTTTTAGTGCTCACCTCTCGCCGCTTTTTGCTCACTGAGTAGAATTGAGCACGCCCCCGGACATTCTGGGAGCTCACCTCGAGTGTCAACAGCCAAACATTCAACGCAGTCCCAACAGTCGCAATCACGAAAAGACAACCAGTGAAGAAGTACATACGACAGGACGTGGACTGTAGTTGTGGACGTAAATGGGATCCTTGTACACCCTGGTTGGATAGCCACAAGCAGAAGGACGCCATACCCAGATAGTCAAGGCACAGCACGAAGTTAATGAGAGCATAAATCGGGGTGTACCAGATGCCGCCGATGAAGCTCGAAGTAACTTTGCTGATGCTGGAGGAAATGGCGACAGCAAGAAAACAAACATGCCCGTAGTACAGTTTATTCGAGTTCCGCAGAAGAATAGTCAGGCGCAAGCACTGTTAGTAGAGGTCAGTATGTCCTCACAAACAGGTGCTCTTACCTACATCTAATAGAGGTGGGAAAATGCCAGCGACACCCATAAGGATTCGCCTCCCTGTTCTGCACATCAGAGTTATGCAAATGGCCGAAGGACATGTTCTGACGCACCATCTTCACTGTTCGTTACCCAGCTCATTACCACCAGGACGGCCATGACCACAAACATCAGCGATGATATGACGAGGTCGGCTCTTTGATGAGCCAGTTCGGTTTTGAGTGATCGGTGGTGCAAAGCGAGCCGGACGGAGCTTGTAGCACATATTATCGTAACAAGCGTCGCATGCACTGTGATTGGAATATACATATTTTATGTGCTGCCAGAGAAAATAACCATACAGTAAAATATGATGGCTTTTATGTATCCCAGTCCCTGTCCTAAGGTGAGCGAACTTCCCAGGAGATTAATGAACCATTTCTTCGGCTCTCAGGAGCTCTCTTAGCAGATTATACTGATCCCAGGAGACCACATTGGAAATTCGCAGGTACAGGCGTGCTGTAAGAGCATTTCGAACGCATAACATAGCCGCCTTGGTACGTAAGGTTTAAAGCTTTCATCGTCGGAAGGTTTGGGTATCTACCGGGAGGTCACGTTGACCCATGGATCCAACAGCCAGCATTACTATCGTCTTTTTTTCTCAGTACACCCGTTTCTCCATGCATGGCTCCGTACAGTACAGTATGTATGCACACACCGGGAACTATTAAGTTCCAGGTGTTAACAAATCTGGGACGATGAAACTTTGCGAGACGTAGTCGCCAGACACGCGCATATACTTCATGAGCATGATCGCTCCTAGGATCAAAGTTTCATGTATGTAGTTAGACAGACTAAAATGGCCCATGATCTACTGCACGTAGAGTCTAATGGTGCGAGAATGGCTTCTAGGAGCTGCCAATGACTCCTGGAACTTAGCGAAGCAATTGATGGCTCCGAGACGCAACATTTTTGCTCCCAGGAATAATCAAACGAGTTGTAGGTCTCCACCCTTACATCTTGGGAATGGTGTGCAGAGTGATATCTCCCAGGAGCGTACCCACCATATAACAATGATTCTTGTTTGAAGATGTCGAGTTATAAAAGGCCAGCCTCGTCCGTTCCTTGAAACAGTGCAGTACATCTCTCTACATCAGGGACTCCAAGGTACGAAGCAGAGACCGCTCTCTGAGCAATTATGAGAGGGTCTGTTGTTTAGGTCCGCATTGGCTAACCCCTCCCCAATTACTCCAGATTGCCTAAAACGGCACCATGGTCGACCAAAGTGCATTGGAAGGCGTTGACAATCGGTTGGGCTTGCCCATCAACCCTATCGTGATCGAAGACGACGACACCTGTGACGTGCAGAATACGTCAGAGAACCATAATTCCGATGCAGATACAGTGATTATGGGTACACCGGAGTCCTGGAGATGTTTAGACAAGTTACACCGCTCCGACTCGATTGGGAAAGGCACGGTTTGCCGTTCGAATCAGGGTCATCTGAAATGAGCGAGCACGTTGAAGACGAAAAGGGTATTTTGTCCTTCCTGTTTCCAAGGAAGAGCTTTCGCCGTGCATTTGAAAGTTGCCGACAGCTAAAATCATCTAAAATCATTGCTCCAGTGCCCAAAACTTGATGATAAATGCCCTGGTATGAGGGTAAAGGCCACTTGATTTTCCACTTCCCGACCCAGCTGCTCCTTCAATGCTATCGGCGACGGTGAATGAGATCAATGATAAAACGGCCTTCGCATGTTCAGATGGTACAATGAAGCAGAAAAGGGAGCCTGAAAACAACGGCATCCGCCGCAAAGTCAGACGATCAGAGCGCTTGATGAGGTGAAATGGTTGCCAGTTCGGTTCAGTACGACGGCTTGAAGAAATAGCTTTTTAGGGCACAGCATACCTGTATCCAGTTTTACGAGTAGATCCTGTATCTGATGCCCGAGAAGCCCGCACTGTAAAGAGGGTTATACTGCACATATTCAATGGGAATTCGCACCACTACAATAATATTCGAAAACAGTTTTACCGCTGCACACTTTCCAGTCAATTGCCGAACATGAAACACCCCGGTCAATTTTAGTTAACACCATGTCGATCTCTGGAACAGATGCGATAGCCCTACTGTACCAGGTATGTGTCCCGCCGATTGTGGCCTATGTGTCAACTGCCTGGCACGACCCACTTCGACGCTACGGTGCATGTCTAATATTATCGTCGTCTCAGATGCCTCTGTCAACAGGGCCACCTAGGCGCACCCGCCGTAGCACTCTACCACAATCCAGAGGTTGTGGAATCCGGTGTTCGCTCCACGTTGTGGAGCTAATAGGCATTTTCCACGCCTCAGCTCTATGTTCAAGATTGACGATCAACGTTCAAGAACTGTAGATTATGAATGAGCCATAGCGACGATCCTAAGAGACAGCAGATCGGCTCTGCGCAATTGTTTTAGTAGCGCCCCTCCCCTCCATTGACCACCGTTACCTGTACGGGACCGAGGATTGTCCGTTTATAAAGTTGTGCATGATTTTTGTCTAGTGCCTATTAGCGGAGTGCGTCATTTGTATTGAACGCTAGCTACCTTGCTTGGGTTCCTATCTCTAGGTCATGTTTATCAGTTAACTAGAGAGTCTTAATGTTCAACGTCTCAATATGTTAACGCCCCTTTATGATCAACCGCGCCTGTAGCACCAAAACCCAGCAAGGACAACCAGGTTAAGGTGCAGAGCAAGCATTTCATCTTTGAGGGAGCGATCTGTGTTCTATTTCCCTGATAAACATTCAGCCATCCCTGACGCCTCAAGTCTTACACAGCTGTTTTAGTTGAGTCGATCGGGCGAACCGCGCATTCCATGGCTTTTCAACGTACTTTTATATTCCTTCTAGTAACCGAATGTTCACAACGGGTGCTAGAGAACCGACGAAGACCGACAATCCCGCCTCTAGCGAGCATGAGTACGTTTTTGGACAGGCTGATCATCGTGTATGAGGGTTGAACCCGTTGTACGGTTTTCCCGTATGAAGACTCAGAGAACCTCTTGACCACTTATCATTTTCGCAATCACCAGCCACGAATTGCGTGGAGAAGTTTATAGCTGTGAACGTAGTTTCTGCCTTAGAGCTGATCGAGTATTCGTCAACTAATCCCCTATGCGACTCACCACCCTTACGTAATGGAAGTCTTTCTGTTTGCCCTTTTGAACTGCTTGCTCCGTCCGGTTAATCGGTGGGCTCGCGAAATTAGGTCCCCACAGATCGGAGGGTGGATTTCACCATTTCGTTCGGTTTGGAGGCAAAGTGCCTACGCCTCAACCAAGCAAGAGACCGGAATACACGTGTTTTTCGCAGGTTGACAGGTTAAACGAGCAATAGCACCTAATTACCAGGCAATGGTGTACAGACTTCACTAGCTTCGGGTGTTTAAACATCGTTTGGGTGGATCTTGCATAAGAGACGTTTAGAAATTTTGAACGTTGGCATAGCTCTAGCGAGGCATTCATGTCGCGGGAGACTGTACTTCTCTGGGCCCACATGGACATAAGGTCGTGACGGGTTAACAAAACGTTCATTACTAGTGCTAACATGATTGCTCGTTGTATTCGTCAAATCACCGACTTAGACGTTTTGAACAAGTCCCACACGCAGTCGTTGCGTGATATTTTGTTCAGAAAGGCTATCTAAACGAACGTGTAGACGACCCGCCGGTGAATTGTGGCTTAAATAAAGCTACACTTTCGCACAGCGGCCAGTGGGGCCAACTAGTATGACACAACTCGCCTGTTTAGAAATATGTCCCTTAACCAAAGCGTCTTGCATTGTAGAATTGCCAACTAGTACTGCAGCGAGTGTTGACTCACGAGGGCAAACCAGTCGCATCTATGAACGTGAAACGAAAATTCGGACAGCTCTACACAACTGAAGGTTTACACAGTATATATGTTTAAGTACATCTGTTTAAGCATATTTATCTCAACAAGACGAGCAACTTGTGCAAAGAGTCCCGAAAGACATCATCTCATGTGAAAACTAGATGTCCACTGCACTTAAATTGACCAGAGTTACCTGTGCGCGACCAGGCGATATCCGTTCGTCTGCACTAAAAACAGTGCCAGTCGGAAGGGTAGCGATCTACGGAAACCACCATGACGCACATCTCCTTCCGCAAAGTCGATCAGCTTGTTGGCACATTTGCACGATCCAAGAAAATGCCCATGGCAAGCACCGTTGCGATCTGGTTGAGAGAGCGGAATGTCAACTACAGTTCGCAAAATAGCGTTTATGTAATTTGATCTTGGCTTCCACTTATGTCTATATTCAAGCTGATAAACAAATCTGCCTGCTGTAGTTTCGCCCGTCATTCCAACTATGCCGGTTCCACATTTTCACGGGCTATCACTGATACTCTCCTTCGACAGCTCTACACCGACCCGGTCAAGCATTAAAGAAATGTCCTAGTTAAGAGCTTAGTAACGAATACAGCAATGCCAGCTTGGTACCTACAGTGGGATGATCTTGTGGAAATGTAGACCGGAAGAGGCGGAAATCGCCGTCCCGCGATCGGCGGACGACAATGATGTGGACCACCTCAAGCCCCAACCATTCGCATAACCGCGAGAGCAACCGTGGCATGGTTCGGAGACAAGCAGAAGCAATCGAGGTTTGGGGAGTGCGTCGGCGTCAATGTAGTGATGAATGGTAGGTGGAGTCTCATGGCGACGCTTAAATCGGATTCTATATACACCCGTACTGGAAAGGGGCTATCACCCAAGTTACACGTAGCGGGAGAGGTTAGGAATAAAGTAGTGCTGGGGAATCTGCGCCGGCAGGGTCATTGTTATGCTTGATTCAAGTTATGTGAGACATTCGCCTGGTTAGGTCGAAGTTCGGGCATGATGCGACCCCGGCGGTCTTGTCAGCGTTGAAATGTAGTTGAGCATCTCCACGCAAAATACGGTCATAGTGTTTGTACGAACGTAAAGTGGAGGAGAAACAGTTCTTACGTCCTAACCCTCAACAAACCGGCAAGGGTAAGACGTAGGCCTGGAGTCCGTTTACGCTCACCTAGGACCCTTGGGATTATTCAGGCTGGGTAGGTCAGTGGCCTTCTCGCCCGACGGCCGACTGCTGGCGTCTGGCTCCGATGATCGGACCGTCCAGCTCTGGGAGGCCGCCACAGGCGCCCTACAGCAGACCTCACAGGTCACGGGAGTAGTCATCGACTTGAAATTTGCGGCAGGTTGTTCCCACCTTAATTCTAATCTGGGATATCTCAAGATCCAATCCTCGCGTGACCCGCTTCCCCAAGGTCCCGCTAGACCGGAGGCCAACATGATTTTGGTAGAAGGCCAGTGGGTGACTCTTCGAAGCGAAAGAATACTATGTGTTGTAATTCAGAGGAAGATTGCTTGTATTCCTTCTGGACAGAAAACTTGAGGGTTTATATACACATGCGACCTCCAGATTGATTTCCAATCAACGCTGGTAATTCCGTGAGGTTAGGAATTGATTCCGTTACGATACGACATATCACAACATTCCCCCTCAGGATCGCTCGAGCAGGGTGATACTGGACTTCGTAATGGCCCAGGCCTCGGTAAAACCACTAAAACCTTTCTTGAAGGAGAAAAAGTGGAAAGAGTGCCATGGTGTAGTTATCCTGCCTGTATGCCGATGAGGTTGCAGAACCTCAAGAATGGCTTTGGTCCTAATGGCTTGGTGAGCCCATCAGCCGCCTGGGAATTGGTTGGTATGTACTGAAGACCGATTTCACCAGCGTTTAGGACTTCTCGTTGATAGTGAAATTTCACGTTGAAATGTTTCGTTCGTTTGTGAAATTCAGGATTATGAGATAGGGCGATAGCAGACTGATTGTCGGCCATGATGTTTGTGACTGGAGATTGGAAGAGATCGGTTTCAGCAAGGAATGTCCGAAGCCACTGTAGATGAAGGATGGCATTATATTGACCAATATATTCAGCGTGAGTGGTAGATGTGGCGATTTCCCCCTGTCTTTTAGATGACCAGGATATCGGTGCTCCTGCTAGCTTGAATATATATCCGGATGTGGAGTAAGCACCGTCAGTAACCACAGATCCACCGAAATCCGCGTCAGTATAACCGATTAGTTGTCCCGCTTGGTAAGTGATCTGGTATGACTGAGTCGCCTTGAGATAACGCAGGAGTCGTTGCAATGCCGCTTGGTGATGCAATTGCGGCCGGGAAGTAAATCGACTTAACGTTCCAAGCGCAAAAGCAATATCTGGTCGGGTTCCGACCATCAGATACATTAGCGCGCCAACAGCAGAGCAATAGCGGTCTTTGGAATTCTCATCAATGTCTTCTTCACCTGGCCGTGTATTTAATATTGCTTTCGGATTCATAGGAGTGTTCTTTGGTTGACAGTCCTCCATACAGAAGTCAGAGAGCACTTTCTGGATGTGCTGATGCTGATGAATAGAGACTGATCCGTCAATATTGAAGTTGAATTGGATTCCAAGGAATGAACGCGGAGATCCCAGGTCATTCAATTTGAATTCCCGTTCAAGAGCTCGTCGGACATTTTTGATCTCATGGGTCGTTGCGCCTGCCACAAGGAAGTCATCCACATACACACAGACTACACAGTTGTCCTTGTAGAAGACACAGTTATCGGATTGTGCCATAGTGAAACCGTTTGATTGTAGCACCCGTTGAACGCAGCGATACCAAATTCGAGGTGCTTGCTTAAGGCCGTAGAGGGATCGACGTAGTTGACAGACGTATCCCTCCTTCTCAAAGCCTTCCGGAAGCTCCATATAGATAGCCGTGTCAATATCTCCATGTAGGAAGGCAGTGACCGCGTCAAACTGGTGGAGCTTCCAGCCTTTCAGCACAGCACTTGCGATGATACAGCGGACAGAGTCCATGCGAGAGACAGCTGCGAATGTGTCATGATAGTCAATGCCATGTCTTTGGCGATAGCCTTTGATCACTAGTCGTGCTTTTCGGACCTTGTTTGCTTTGGTCTTAAACACCCATTTGCAACCAATGACCTGTTGTCCCGGGGGAACATCTTTTCGACGAATGAGTTCCCATGTCCCGTTATCAAGTAGAGACTGGTATTCTCTTTGGATAGCCGTTCGCCATTCAAGATGTTTCTGACCGGATATGGCCTCTTGAAATGTAAGCGGGTCATCATTTGTGGAACCCATTGGCGAGGTTATAATATAGGCTTTACCAAGAGATTCTAAGAGTCGTCGTGATGGTCTGCGTTTTCGCCCGTAGAGTGAATACCCTAGGTCATGTATGTCTTGGGCATCACTGATAGCTGGGTTGACAGGCTGTGGAGTTGATTCTGGCTGGCCAGTCTCATTGGTGTGTTGGTTTGAGTGGTCAGGTAAGTTAGACTCTTGCTGCTGCGGCTCGTTGGAGGGAGATAATGGATGTGGCGGTGTCAACGGTGCTGGCTCTGGATCAAATGCTGTCGGCTCAGGCATAACTTGTGGCGTAGAGCTACTAGCAGAGATGTTATGACTAGCACTTTCTTCAATGAGCGGAGCCACAGGCGTTCTTTCATCAAACTCGACATCACGAGAGAAGACTGTCCTGCCTGAATGCACTTCGTAGAGCTTGTATTGACTAGGTTCGCAATAGCCTAGTAGCCGGCATTCGGATGATCTTGGTCCGATTTTCTCTCTCTGTGCTTTTGGAATCAAAACCCATGCACGGGAGCCAATTCGACGCAGGTGTGATAGCTCGGGAATTGTGCCATATATGGCTTCGTACGGCGTCTTTTTCTTGAGGATAGACGCGGGAGCGCGTAGTTTGAGATAGAGCACTGTCTCTAAAATCTCAGTCCACCAGGAGGGAGGTAATCTCGCATCAAACAGGAGCGTATTGATTCGTTCCTGGATAGTACGGTTCGTTCGTTCGGCTAACCCGTTCTGTCCTTTGCAGTATGGAGCAGATGTGTCAAACTCAACCCCCTGGCGTTCGAGGTAGGCTCCAATTGGGAGGTATTCTCTGCCATTATCACAGAGGAACCGTTTGATTTGAAGCTCAAATTGCCGATTGACCCAGGCTTCAAAGTGTTGAAGTTTCTGGAGCGCTTCGGATTTTCGTTTCAAGGCGTATGCCCATGAGCCTCGAGAGTAGTCATCAGTGAAGGTGATAACGTACCTAGAGCCATCTTTGCCGACTGGCATCTCTAGAATATCAGAGTGTATGACTTCAAATATTCTTGATGAATGAAGATGTGCCCTTTTCCGTCGGGAGTTCCTCTTCTGATGCTGCTTACCCGACATACAAGCCGGACACTGTGGCGTTGCCTGCAGTTCTGCACTTGTCTGTTGTTGGTACGGAGTGCCAGTTTGAGAAAGGACCGTCCTTAGGTCTCCTCTGTTTAGATGCCCTAATCTAGCATGCCAGAGTGCTTCTTTAGGGATCTGGTCAACTCCTCTGCTTGCATCTTCATCGAGTATCTGAGCTTCACAGTTGAGTTCAGAGGTGGTCACTGCGCTCGGTGCACCACTTGACTCTAGCGGTTCATCGATATCCATTTCGATACAATTATCATGATTATTAGATGATGATGACCTGGCCAGTTGGACCTGAGGTCTGGATCTCTTGCTCACATAGCATCGCAAGATCAATAGATCTTCTTCTGTATGGAAGGCAGCCCCTATAGTTCGCCCTCGGCGTTGCAGAAAGACGTTCTGGGGGTGCGCTATCATAGAATAGCGATCCCTCAAGAGCTTTGGTACGCTGATCAAGTTCATCCCGATTCGGGGAGCGTAGTAGACATTCTTGAGGATCAGGGTTCGGTTGATCTTCCCCCTGAGCGTAAGCTTGATGGTGCCAATGCCCTCAGCTTCAACTGGATCTCCCGCTGTGTCTAGCATCTCATGGTGGATTCGGAAACTGCTAAAACAGTCCCGGTCCCAACAGATATGGCTAGTAGCAGCAGAGTCGAGTATCCACCGGGGATTCGGCGCGTGGGTATAGAGAGTCGTCACTCTCGCCCTCACAATATTGATCCTTGGTCTCTTGTAAGAAGTCGGCGGGCCCTGCCGTTCTTCTGCCTGGCCTTGATGTGATTCATTTTGTGGTGAGCCAGAAACACTCCTTTCTGTTTTGACACCGTTGTCCCGCTTAGGGCGCAAATGCGGGTTCTTTTTCCAGCATTTCGAGACTTCATGGCCTCGTTTCTTGCAGTAATTGCATTTCTTGACAGACGCCTTCACTGTGTTAACTGACGGTGCTCCGCGCGGAGGAGTTGGAGAATTCTTTGCTGAAACTGTCCGTTCAGCATTTGCAAGGCGATTCCCAATCATGGCGGGATTGGCCGGATCCTTGTCATTTTGGATGGCATCAACTATCAGCGCATATTCCGGTCCGATCTGAGTTAAGAGGATTGCAACGTGTGCGTGATCCCCAATTGACCCTGGCATGATCGCATTTAAGCGATGTACTAGCAATCGGACTCGATCAACGAATTCACGTATACTAGTGCAGCTAGATCCAGTCGTTTCTTTGAGCTGGGCGAAAAGTTCGCAGAATGTAGCTAGCTCCATTCGTCTATATCGCTCTTCAAGGTCGTTCCAGAGATCTCGAGATGTTTCTAGCCCTGCAACATGAACACTGATTTCGACGGAAAGATATCGAAAGATTGTGTGATAGGCTTCAGCCTCACGTTTGGACCATTCCTGATGTCGCTCAAAAGCCTGGACTTCAGCTTCTAGACGAGCTTCGATAGCCTTCTGTCTTGGGGCTCCAATAAGGCGTTCATCAACCAGTGGAACAATGTCGGCCGTAATCGGTTTTGCGTATTTAAAAAGGCAGTTAGGGCGTTGGAGATCTCCGGACACGACATCCCAGACTTGTCTTGCCTTTAAGTAGGAAGTCATAAGATGCTTCCAAGTTGCATAATTATCACTCCCTGTTAAAGGCTCAATAGCCGCGACATTTCGGTCGGGAGACTCGGTTAGATGTGCAGGCATCGTGGCTGTGCCTGAAGTGCGGGGTAAATATAGCTTCAACAAGTTGTTGTATGCAGTGGTTCTCAGAGTGAGTGGAGACGACACCCGAGAAGTTAGCACCCGGGCTCATAACCTGTTGTAATTCAGAGGAAGATTGCTTGTATTCCTTCTGGACAGAAAACTTGAGGGTTTATATACACATGCGACCTCCAGATTGATTTCCAATCAACGCTGGTAATTCCGTGAGGTTAGGAATTGATTCCGTTACGATACGACATATCACAACACTATGGCTTCCTCCCGAGTATCGGGACCACTGTTCGGCGGTGAAAGACAATATTCTTGCCTTGGGACACGCATCGGGACGGGGTCTCTATCATCGAATTTTGTCCCTAGTACGCGTTTAATAAAGTTTGAAGTCCCTGCTCCACTATCTTTCCTTATCCTAACTTTTAAATGGAGGGCCTGCGAGAAGTGGTTAATTTATTTTGCTGCGTCCTGCAATTAGAGTCTGCGGCAGATTTCTACCACGTTCAGCACCTAAAATGCTTTTCACGACCTTAGGTCGTCGTATGCAGCCCCCTAGCTAGTGTGCGCTGCTCCGTTGACTATGTACATTTGATGGGCTCACCACCATGCCGCCTTCTGTGCGTCAGTCATTTATTCTTCACTATTCAGGGCCCAGCCGCCCCGTCTCCATAGCGTACGCGATGACCGCTCTGACGATCTTGATGTCAGGCTTCCATGCTCTCCGATTAGATTCAGCTGCCCCGTCAACACTCTCCGGTTTACCGCCCAGCAACTGCGACAAGCTACCAAAGTGGGTGCCCGCTGCTTCAATCAGCGCGCGACGCTGTTCGTTCCATCGTGTGCATCGAAACAGGAAACGCTGGACCTTCTTGCGCTCCACGCCACACGCGCACAAATCGCTATCACTTCAGCCGATCCGATGGAGATATCCATTGAGTCTGGTATGTCCCGTGCGGAGTTGAGCTAGTATCGATGCTTTCTCCTGATCCAAGCTATCATATAGCATCTTCGTGTGGGGTCCTGGGAGAGCCGAATCCAGCTGGCGTGTAAACTGGCTAGTGGTCGACTGTTGGAAGTTGTCCTTCCGGTGTTGCCTAGCATTGGCCCGAGCCCATCGCAACGCCGACGCCCGGAGCTGGACTTGGGCCCACGGTGGGGGATTAACTTGGTTGTTCTCTTCTGTTGCTTCGCGTGCGAGGGTATGCGCTCGAGCTGTATTCTCGCCATCAGCCTCCGTTGGCGGCCGCAGGTTGACCTTGGCGCCCTTCGCCGACAGCCGATTAATTGCCTCCGTGATGTGAGTGATAAGAGCCTGTCCACCCTGAAGGTGTGGCTTGGCGAGTGAAAGCAGGACCGCAAGGTTGTTCACAACGATCGTAACCTCTACTTTCTATGGCGACATCTGTATACGAGGAGGGAGCATCTTCTCAACATACGAGACAGCCTCTACTACTACGCCCAACTGTGCGCAGTGAGCGTTGAGCGCGTCATCAGTGCCAACCGTCCGGTTCGATGAGACGATGTCGACTTGATTAACGCGAACAACTAGCTCTGCTCCAACCAGACCATTGCGAACGCTGACCCTAGTGAACAACCAGCGACGGGCATGGCCGGCCTCGTGCAACTCGTGCATATTGGATCCGACGGTGGTGATCAACTCCCCGAGAGACCGTTGCCACGGGTCTAGAGGGAAGGGTCGAATGACCTCCATGTCGGACAGACATTGTGGTCCATATTTCGCTAGTACTTTGAACGGTGACGGGTAACTCCCCTCCTGCATGGCAGCGGCCGCTCGACAGGGCCAGAAGGCATGATCCTTCGGTAGGGTGTGGCAGGTGATCCAATTCTTGATGATGCGTGCTCGAAGGCGTACGACAGTCGGTTCAATCCCCGCCTCCGCCTCAGCGATGGCGAGAGCCGTGTTTTTGGAAAACGCCCACAATCGCCTGAGACGCGACTCGCTGGATGTGTTTTTCAACGCCACAACGCCGTAACGCCAAGCCCGTCTTTCTAAATTACTTCATAAATTGGCATTGCCTTCTTCACGTTTTCGACCCATCCCCGAATATCTTCTACGAAACGTCGAGGGATACCCATTTTAACTCCTTTGCCAATGAAGAATCCTGGATCTTGATCCTTGTGTAAGCTGAAGAAGAGAAAACAAGTTGTTCGGGCGCTGAGGCAGCCGAATGAAGATAACTATTGTCGGAATCCAGAGCTCGGAGATGGACTATCTAAACTGCCGATAATTTGTATTAGTCAACTTGCCCCAATAGTTAAATTGCCAGGTAGGAGCTATACAGTAATTCAGACCCCTTTTGATGATTCCATTGGTTGAGCCATATATCCTCTATCACGGGTTGCGACAGATATCGATATCACGTGACATAGGGAGCTCCTTGACATTCTCACATTCACCTCAACTTCTTTCGCCACCTCATTCTCGAACCACTCTATACCCCTTGATCTTGTTCCGTGTCCCAGCGCACTGAAACAACAATGCAGCGCTGGAAGAATCCCCACACATCTCTACCCTTTTCATTTTAAGAACCCTTGCAAAAACCTTATTGGTGATTGGGACCTGTGCGCAGATTTGAACCGCAAATTATCAACAGCTGATTGCTTTTATATCACTACTGAGCGTACCTAACTAGCCTTTCCTGTCGCTGACACCGCCTTGGTTAAGCTTGTTGACTGGTTAACTTCACTCTGAGCTTGAGAGCCTTCCGTTATGGCAGATGAGGCCAAGTTTGTTGCTCCTCTCCCCCAAGGATTTGGATATGGCATTATCCTTGGGTTGGGGTTGGTTTTTGCCTTGGTGATGATCTTTATAACCTGGGCTCTTAAGAGGTATGCATCTCTTGCTGGTGAAGGTGATGTTTAACCCGGTGTCTGGGTTGTATTGATTGAATGCTTCATAGGTATCAGCATGAAGTCCAAACATCCGAGATGTTCTCGACGGCTGGAAGATCCGTCAAGTCTGGACTGGTCGCTGCTGCAGTCGTCAGTAGCTGGACTTGGGCGGCGACGCTGCTCCAGTCGTCGGCGGTGGCGTATAAATATGGCGTTTCAGGGCCGTTCTTCTATGCGTCGGGTTGGTCAATTCTTGAACCCGGGACATCTGGTTTATCAGTGGCTGACGATATTTCTGGCGAATAGGCGCAACCGTCCAGATCATACTGTTTACAACCCTGGCAATTGGGTTAAAAAGCAGAGCCCCGAACGCGCATACCTTCCTGGAGGCTATCCACGCTCGTTACGGGACGACCGTGCACATCGTCTTCATCGTATTCTGCCTTATGACGAACGTCCTAGTGACTTCCATGTTGCTAACTGGCGGCTCTGCCGTTCTCACTTCCCTGACGGGTGTACGTACAGCGGCAGCCTGTCTCCTGCTCCCCATAGGTGTCGTGCTGTACACCCTTTTTGGCGGTATCAAGGCTACATTCATCACGGATTACATGCATACGGTGGTTATCATTGTCGTTGTCTTCATCTTTGCGTTTTCCGCCTACGCTACCAATTCGACATTGGGGTCACCCGGGAAGGTGTATGATGCGCTGGTTGCCGCAGCGAAGCTGCATCCGGTTGATGGGAATGCGCATGGAAGCTATCTTACCATGCAGTCTCGGCAGGGTGGGATTTTCTGGGTGATCAATCTTGTCGGTAACTTTGGGTGCGTATCCTATGACTCAGATAGGTTGCGTTCATGGCTGAGTAGTGATATAGGACTGTTTTCCTCGACAATGGTTACTATAACAAAGGTATGTAAAAGACAAAAGTTCAGGATGAAGTGTCCAAAACTAGGTATTCTTACATTCAGTTAGCAATCGCCGCCCACCCCGTCCACGCGTTCCCCGGCTATGTCATCGGCGGTCTCTGCTGGTTTGCAATCCCCTGGCTCTGCGCCAGCACAATGGGGCTCTCCGCCCTGGCCTTGGAGGGCTCCCAGCGCCTCAGTCCAGACGACGTCACCGCGGGACTCGTATTACCATTCGCAGCCGTAAAGCTCCTAGGATACGGCGGCGCCGTGGTCACAACGCTCATGATCTTCATGGCCGTTACGTCCGCTTTTTCGGCACAGCTGATCGCTGTTTCTTCGATCTTCGCGTATGACATCTACCAAGCCTACGTCGAGCCCGCTGCCAAGGGGAAGAAGCTCGTCTGGATCTCCCATGTGTCCTGCGTTGTGTTTGCTGTTGTCATGGCTGGCTTCGCGACGGGTCTTTCCTACGCTGGTATCCGGATGGGATATCTCTACTTGCTCATGGGGGTTATCATCTCCTCTGCCGTGTTCCCGGGCGCCATGGCATTGCTTTGGAAGGGACAGAACTGGATTGCTGCAGCTGCCTCCCCGGTTCTTGGTCTCGCAGTTTCCCTGATCACTTGGCTTCTTACCGCGAACAAGGAATCCGGTGTAGTAACTGTCACGAGTACCGGCGAAAAGTAACCCCTCCCCATCTTCTCTCCCTTCCTTACATATTTATCTTGCATCTGCTAACAATGACAAACCACAGCTACCCAATGCTAGCCGGCAATGTCGCCGCCCTCTTCAGCCCGCTCATCTTCGTCCCAACACTAACCTACCTCTTCGGACCCCAAAACTACGACTACAAGTCCATGGCCTCGATCCGCCAAGTCGACGACACGGACGTTGCTTCAGCAGCCGCACACATCGACCACGACATCGAGCTCGTCCCCGGCTCATCCTCCCCGAGAACTTCAACAGCCCGAACTCAGAAAATAGAAGAAGAAGACGAAGAAACCCGCAAACTGAACCGCGCAGCTCTATACTCCCGCACATGGACAATCGTCATGGTGCATGTTTTCCTCATTCTCTGGCCCATCCCCCTGTATGCGTCCGGGTATGTGTTCAGCAAGGGGTTTTTCACCGGGTGGGTTATTGTGGGGATACTGTGGCTCTTTGGGTCGGCGGCTGGGGTGGTTGTTCTTCCATTGGTTGAGGGGCGGGAGACCATTGTTCGGGTGGTGAGATTGATGGGATTGGATTTGGTGAGGAGGCAGTAGAGGTGGTGGTGGTCCATGGGAAGGAGGAGGATCAGACTGATACGCCGAGGGTTGTGACGCCGGCGGAGGTGGTTGGGTAGAAGCCTTGATTGATTATATTATATGATATTAACTAGTTAGTTATGATCTTTGTATCAGGTGGGAGTTTTTCAAGCATCTTTTTGGTCGTGTCTTGATAATATCTTGAAAACGACGCCGAATAGCTTTTGCGGAGGGGATTTCAAGCTGTGAAGGAGCAAATCGTGCAAAATCAAAGAGTTCTTGAACCTCGGGATGCTCGATAGTTTGAAAATGGAAGCTTAAACCTTGCAGTAAAGCAAAGTAACTTCTCCTCCCAGGTCTGCAGAGAGAATACTAAAGTAGTACTAGCTCGGTGAGGCTGTCCCATAGTAACGAATATATACATTAGCAAGGGGATACCAAAGAATCATTCTAATCGGAGTGCCTACCGCGTCTCGCATCATGGAAATAATACCTTGCTGCTTAGTATGACAAGCAATGATATTGCGACAGTTTACCCCTGTGAGATGCTTAGCCATAGTTGATGTGCCATGCTCATTATTATGTGGTTGATCAAGGATCTTGCCATATCTTTTACACATAATTCTTGCTTTGCCATCAAGGGTCTGCGCGACTTGCTCGAAGTTCTCCCATATACTTGATGAACGTTTTGTCTCCCATCGTACTCTTTTCTTTTGTTCAAATTCGGTCCTCAGTCACCAATTGACGAATTCGTTTTTTGTCATTTCGGAGTAAAGAACATAGGCCTTCTTTCGGTCAGGACCAACACGTTGGAGCGAGGAAGGAACAGGAGCAGGTGGCACGGGAGTTCGAAATTGAATATAGTCTGTGTCATCGTCTGATACGAGATTTGGAAGGTTGTCTATGCTGTCAGCATCATATAATGATGGGCCAAAAGATCAGAAGATTGAGACATATTGAGTTGCACTGTTACACACCAGAGGTCAAGGTAGGGAGGAATGAAAGACGTACAAAGATTCTTGCGCTTGGAAACTAAAGGTACTGTGCTATGGATAAGGGCTATCCGCGGCCCAGGAGCTGAATTCAACTGAAAAGATCTTAATTGATAAGCACAAGAAGACCTTATCATTTGATCGGTCTATTCTTCAACTCAGCTAGAGGAAGGATAAGTAAATAAAGAAAGATCGATTCTTTGATCACAAAAGTGCACATACTCTTGTGCAATGTCGAAATATAGTTCTGGCACTTGAATGGTTATTTCCCATAACATCACTAGAATCCCACTAACAACGACATTTTATCAACATGAATTTAGCTTAATACTCTTTTACTATGATTCTTCTCTTGATTTACATATTAATATAGCCAACTTTCGTAAAGGGAGTGGTAAAACTGCCTCATGAAAAAAGGGGATGACCAAAACGGCTGTAAAAAAGGGTAACTAGGTATTTTATTCGGGTGAATCAGCGCGTGTTGGCACGACCTAATTCGGAAAATTATGCAATAATGGCTAGGAAATGGGTTCTGGGTTGGGGTACCAACCCATGGGTTGACCTGGGCCGGGTTTTGGGCCGGACCGACCTACCCACGGGTTGGGTTTTGGCGAGGTCTACCTGGTACGGAGTAAACCGTTTTACGCTTCTTCTCCCAAGGAACCCAAGACTTTGACCTGGACTAATAAGTACTACTGTGCAGGCGTATATTATTAGTTTTTATTGCATACATTACCTCGCTGGTCATCTTGATCATCTCCACTCTCCACTCTTCTCTCTCTTTTTTTTTTCTGGGGTACAAAAGAGATGGTCGCTTAAAACGCCTCCATTTCCCCGTGATTTCCTCCCCCCACACTTTGGACCCGGCTTCTTCCCACACTTTGGACCCGGCTCCTAGTGCGTGCATCTTATCTGCGCTCGTTCACTGTAGTGCAGGACAAGAGGTAGCGCTACAATACCAGGGAAAAAGGACGATGTGAGAGCGGAGAGGTACATACACATATCCGTGATCACAATCTCCTCCAGGGCCTCAGATACATCTTCCGAACTGAATATTCTACAACTTGGTGAACTACTGACCACTCTTCGGAGGTGGTTTAGCGGGCCTTGAGTTCGCAAATACATCATGTTGGAACAGTTGGATGCCCGTGGAATCTATCCAATTAATCCCCCAGATCTCAAGGCAACAGAGAAGACTAATCCGACGCTCTTGGTGAGCTGGTGGGCAACTCTCTTTTCCCTGACTATTATTTTGACTCGACTATGCGGTCGCTATATTCGGATCGGACGTTTCTTCCCCGAGGACAAGGTGATGATGGCCAGTGTGATTCCGCTGATGATACGCATGGCGTTCGTCCATGTCGTTTTGATATACGGCACGAACAATGTGAAAACGACTGGCTTGACGGCAGAGGATATTCGGCAAAGAGAGATCGGTAGTAAATTTGTTCTTGCTTCTCGGATCTTCTACGCGATTTTGTAAGGCTTCCATGATTTTCTGCTTCCTTGGATCGAATCAGTCGCTGATTATGGATAGCATCTGGACCGTCAATCTCACTGTGGCGCTTTTCCTCAAACGACTTACTGGAATGTTCTGGAGACGCTCCCTGGAGAAGTTCTTACAGTTTCTCTACTTCTTCCTTGCTTCGACATTAATCGCAGTGGTCATTGCCACTCTGGCCGAATGCCAGCCCTTCGATCATTACTGGCAAGTCGTTCCTGACCCAGGTGCACAATGCCGGTCAGGCTACGCGAACTTGATCACCATGGGCACATGCGACGTCGTCACAGACATGCTTCTAGTCGCCTTCCCGATTCCGATCATCCTAATGACGCACATGTCCGTGCAACGGAAGGCCTCGCTCGTGGCTCTTTTTGCACTGTCACTCGTCCCGGTCGGATTCACCTGCTACCGAGTTCCAATGGTTATCTTCCACAGCGGCGCTCAGCCGTATCGATCGCTTCTTGCATCGCTGGAAATTCTCATCGCCACAGCCGTCTCAAACGCTCTGGTCATCAACTCATTTGTACGCGATAAAGGCGTGAAGAAGCCCAAGTTCCAAAAGGCACTGGGGTCCGCGTCCGTCAGCGAAAGCGTAGAATACACATTCAACCAGCACAACGCCATCACCCATCATCAGTGGGGAAGCGACTCAGCTCTCGCCGGTGAACTGGGCATGCGTCTCGATCCCAAACTCTGTTCCAATGACGAGCCATTATCCCGTCCGGCCCCTCCCACCCCTCCATATCCGCATACCTTCACCGCCGGAGTAGGCAAGCTGGCCTCGAACTGGTCCTTCAACAATAACCGTAACTCGACGGGGACAGACGACATCTCCACGGGAAGCTTAGAGGTCAACGTCAATCCACACGAATCCATCGAAACAAAGAAATCGCCGCGCAAAAGATCCAGCGATGTGATAACCAGAGCAACACATTCCGCCCGCAGAGTCTCCGTCTTCGATATCGGCGGCCTTCTCGATCCCAAGCCCTCCACCAGCCTCGACACCCAACCTCCGCACTTAAACGAAAACCACCTTCCAGAGATGAGAGCCACCGCAGACCTCATCCGACATCCCAACCACCCAAGAACCCTGTCCTCCCAGGACCCAAACACCGCTATGCAAAGTAAGCCCCAACACCCACCACAGATCTCGACCCAGAACCCCCCTCGCCCGGGCGTACTATTACTCCCGGGCCTAACCTCCACATCCACCGCTCGCCGCCGCGGCTCGAATGTCCGAAGCGATGAAACGGATTCCCTGGTGCTGTCCTACGGGTCTCGGCCTGAGGAGGTGTCTTGCGCTGGAGCTATCTTGGAAGATGCGCATATAGAGGATCGGGATATGGAGTTTCAAGATGTAGGGGGTTGCTTTCATGAGTTGATTGATTGATATATGTAAGTAATGATTTACGGTTGTACTTAAAGGTTCCTTTTATTTATGTATGTTATGTTACCTATGTATGTATGTATATATAGAAATTCTAAGTGGACGGACGGATGGATGGATGGATGGGGTCTTTGGAATGGAATGGAATGGGATTGGGATTGGGTTTGGGATACCTATCGATCGGCTGGTTCGTTAGCGATGGTGTTGGGGGTTTGCTCTGCCCTAATGATACGATGACGAAGTCGTTAAGCCAAAGGGTGATCGTCGTTTCTGTCTTCCTTTCTTTCACACGGATGGCAGTTACACGTGTGTGGTCGTTTGCAGGCTCAGTAATAATATCGGTGGCAGTGGTGTGGAAGCGAAAGTCGACACCCTTAAGCCGCAGGAAATGGGCGATCGGGGCGATGATGGCCTCATGGCGGTTATACCGCCCGTTCTCGAGAGGATGGGAATAGTTCAGATGGTGAATGTGTCATGCATGAAGCGGATTAGATGGTGGCGAAATTCGGCAGCGCCGTGCCAAGGTTGGAAGCCGAATCTACCAAGGACGTTAGCATAGCGTCCTAGGGAAGATTAACCCAGGCAGCGCACGTCGAAGCCATCGTAAGCCAATAAGAGGTCTTAAAAAGAATCTCTCGCGAAAGCAGTCGCTGATACGTTATCGCGCCAGTGACTCTTCAGACCTGGAGGTCAGCATGAACACGCTGACGCGATCTCGTAGACCTAGCCTGGCTCGATTCGCGCTGATTCGTCCCAACCCATACAGCTCCCGGGTTAGAAATCTCGTACGTGGGACTTCTTTGGGGACATTGTTTTCATAGTATTCCTTTAAGTCGTCTAGGACCGTCTTATGAGAACGCGCTGTTGAAGGGATCCCTCAAAGTAGATCCTCCATACAGACACCGCTAAACAATGGTATCCCTCCTGCACGGTAATGATACCCATTCACTTGATCACAAGCACTGGCTGTTTCAGCAGTTTCAGCACCTGCCGTACCCTGTGATTCAAGGATATGAATGCGCTCCGGCCGCACATGGATTTCTTGGAGCAAACTCACGGCGGAGGCGAGCGAGGAGATCCCGCTGCCCACGATCCAGGCATCAGGCATCAAGGCGATTAGGCGACAGACGGTCAGCATTGAGAATGATATGCGAGGATGACATGACAACGCGTGGTGCGACCTGTGCGGTAGCAATCACAGGGCATACATCTGGGAACAGAATGGTTTCCGAGGCTTTTTGCCGCAATTATTTTGTTTCGCGAAGGATTGTTCTGCGTAACCCTGAGGTGATGACTGGTTAAATTAAGCTGGCGCCTCAAGGCAGGGGAGTGTCAACGGCGAGTAATCTGCGTCTGGAACTGTGATGACGTCATGACTTCCACTGTTAGCTTCGCCACAAAGTATCCAGTAGGTTACTCTATCATTCCGTCTGGACGAAAGGTTAGCCACTCGCATAGACCACTCGAGCTGCCACCATCTCATTCAGGGTTAGCCGTGGCTCAACCAACACTAGTTGATTCGGCCAGTTGAGTTTTGAAATGCAGTATTTTCGAAGGATTAGGATGGTAACAATTTAACAATTTAATTGGTCGCTGAAGGAGGCTAAACGCAGTACCTCAAAAACTGTCGCCTTCGGTGCCCACAGCTTGCTCACCTGTCGCGAACCCCTCGCACAGCTAGCGTCTCCTGGAACTCATCGCACATCATTCAACCGCAACATCTCCCAAATCCCAACCGTGCTTGCACTTTCACACCTATCGACATGGCGAATAGTTTCGTCGCTGAGCTCGTGACGTGTGTTTATTGCCCTTCTCTGACAAGTAAATATAAGGTTTAACCTAGTGTCCTCCAGGGACGAGGAGTATGAGCGGAGAGCCAGACATTCGACAGAGGCCGCCGTGGTCGCCATCTTTTCCCATTACACGATAAGAGCAAGGCGATCGCCTCAGAGATCGAGATGCTAAGCATCGAGTTCACAACCGTCAATTTCTACCAAGTCGACGTCAGAAAGCACCCCATGCTCCAATGTGCCTATATCAACAAAGAATTGCCTCGAGGAGAGAAATTGTTTACAGATTCTGGAAATATGGCTACCAATTCTTAGTCGAGTGGCTCACTCGACTAAGAATTGCGATGGCTTTTTGCCTTTGATCTCCGCCTCTTTCCCCGGTGGACTAACCCCTTGGTACCGAACAGAAGACGATACATATGTACGTGTCTCGTGCTTCCGTAGATCATTGGAGTTAATGTACACTGTCCTTCATTCTCCCCCCCCCCCCCCCCCCCCCCGAAAACGCATTCTACGTGAAGTCATAATTATTTCAGGTTTGCACATGAACCTTTCCACGATGCGATAATTTCGCATACCCAACCGAGTGGAAGGCGATGAGTAACGCGAGCCATGCACTTCAGCAGATTCCAGCCTACTTTTCCCCTCCCGACGCCTCCCGAAACGCACTCTACGTGAATTCTCAATTATTTCAGTAAAAGGTAATGAATGAACCTTCCCGTTTCAAGGCTTTGCAAACTCTTGTGCGCGAATGGTCCATGATGCGGCAATTTCGCCTCCTCGTGACCGTACCCTTAGATCATACATCATCTCCATAAAAGCTCGACACGTCGCCTAGCTTCGCGGGCTGATGGTTTCCAACTTTCTGCAGGCGTTCCCAACATGACAATTAATATACGTCGCAGATTGGCGATACCAAACTCCACATACTAGGAGAGGACATGCTTCACGCTGGCTTCCAAAATGTCTCCGACGGTCGGTCGTAACCTCTCAAACGTGGGGTACAAAGCCCTTCTCGACACAGACCGAGCGGATCAGTCGGCCACAGAGGGGTATTCCTAGACTTGGTCAGATCTTTGACCTTGCAGCCCCTCTTTCGGGTGGCATCATTATGTATGCACATCTTCAGGGTTCAACTTTGCTGGATTTCGGAGGTACCGAAAGCCAGAGGCCTGGATCCAACCTTGAATCCTGAATCCACGAAAGAAATGGAGTCGTCTCCCGATCCTGCCAGCCTGCGTGATGAGTTTATTGACGCGTCTCGGCTTCCCAAAAGAAAAGGCCGCCTTCACGAACGCGCCTAATTTTCCTCCTCCTCTCACCAGAGACTACCCGGTACTACTTCAAGTGCCGCTGACGACATCCACGAAGGTGGAAAAATTGACGAACCAGTATCAATATGAGAAATGTAATTTCAATGGCTCGGTCCCAGGGTCGTTTATCCGTGCTAGAGAGGGAGATGTTACGGAGATAACGTTGACAAACTACGATGAGACGGGGAATCCGCACAATATCGACTGTCATGCCTTTTTAGCGCCTGGTGGGGGTTCTGCGCTGACAACCGCAGAGGAAGGCCAGACAAAAGTCGGAAGGTTCCGACTTCTATGTCCCGGGCTCTACATATATCACTGCGCTGCAGCCCCAGTGCCCGTACATATTGCCAACGGAATGTATGGCCTCATGTATGTACAGCCGGCCAATGGGGGGACTTTCCACAAGCAGACCACGAGTACTACGTGATGCAGAGTGAATTCTACCATGAACCGCCCGACGTAGGAGAGGATGGGAAGCCGTCATCTCAGGTGGAATTTTCGTACCCGAAAGCACTACGTGAAGAACCAGACCTTAATCGCGTTCAATGCACGTGAAGGCGCATCGACGACGGACAAGCCACTCAAAGCTCGCGTCGGAGAAACCGTTCGCATCTATTTCGGGAACGCGGGACCTAATCTGATCAGCTCCTTTCATGTTATTGGAAGTACCCTTATGAAGCTCTATCGGGACGTGATGCGAAGTGGCGAGAGCTTTACGCCCTCAAGAGGGGACGGGCCGGGTCACCACCAGGGAGGTGTGGAAGCTCATCGACAGTCCGAAGGAAATCATCCACCCACTACACTCATCGAATCCACCAAAGCCGAGATACAGGAGGTCAATCATGACCAGAATGTCCTTCAGGAACAGAATGAGAAGCTCCACGAAGAAGTCAGAGCTCTACGAGCATAAATCGACGCCGCCCCACCGGCACCCCCGACCAGATCATGGGCCGCGGTTGCAGCTGCCGGCAGCAACCTAGACCCCCAGCTAAACCACCAACGCCCCGACAAAGACTAAAACTGCGTCCAGATTAGCACCTAGTGATCGTTTGTGGACCCACGTGATAACGACGATAGCGAAGGGAACACCTTCGGTCGATACCTCTCCACCGAGTCGGTTAACTCCCACATCCGCACGGCGCTATTGAACGCGCCCCCCACGCAAGATGCTGAGGTTGCCGGGATTGGCACCACTAAGACCGGATATGTGATCCGGTTTAAAAACCAAGCGTCGGCCGACGCGGCCCGCAGCAACACCGAGTGGTTGAACGAACTTGGGAACAACACGAAACTGGTGAAACCACGCTTTGGAGTGGTTGTTCACCGCACCCCGACTGAGGACTTTGATCTGGAAAACGCAAATGCACAGGCTATTGAGAAAATAATGGAAGAAAATGATCTAGTTGCACAGGGTTTCCGGGTCGAAGAAGTGGCGTGGCTCAAGAAAAGGGACAAGGTGTTAGGAAAGTTTGCATCGCTGGGTATCTGGTTCGACTCCGCGGAAGGCGCCGAATACATCCTGAACAATGGCCTGCTTGTCGGTCAGAGATACACCGGCTCACCTCGTATGTTCGGGCCATCCTGTTGATGATGCGGACCAGCCTATATTTGAAGAACATAGCTCGACGCGGTATATTGGTTCACTTTTTGTTCTTTGTGGATTACATGATCCAGACCCTATAAGTTAGCTATAACTTCATCGCTCCCGTATACTTTATCCCGTTTATCACGAGGTTAAATAATACCGTGAATGAGAAACTCCCGGCAAGAAGGTAGCTTAGTGCGAGAGCTAAATTGTAGGACTATGGCTTCTGTTCCTAGATAGATCATTTTTGATCCCATCAGCTCCACTTGGTGAATTCCAGGAACCTGAGCGAGCTTCTTAGGTTCTCACATACCGCAGCCACAAGTGGGCTAGATTGAATGGCCCAGAACACCCATGCACAATGTAACTCTGTACTTTGTTAAACCCTTCTACGAAGGGATCAAAATGGTGTACAACGAAGCCATAGCACACCTCAAATTCCACTTTAGGGTGAGTAAAATTAGGCGCCGTCCTCGTGTAGATCAGCTTTTCTCCTTAAAACCTCAAATATAACGTCGAATGCATGCTTCGTTCTTCGAAATTGTCCTAGTCATGGTAATCTACTGTAAAGCGTCCGGTAGTCGCCAGATGAAATCGCGTACGAACAACGGTAGTATGTAAGAATAATGAATTTAAAAAAGTATGATTCGTTTCGTGCCTGATGAGGACGAACTCTTGGTTGAATTTAAAGAAATGAGATGTCTCCCATGGAGCCGGATCGTGAAGCATTTCCCAGGGTGGACGAAGGGTTCTCTCCAGGTCCGTTATAGTACGAGGCTGAACGACCGAGGAACTGGAAGTCTCGGGCGAGGTCGGAGTGGGAGGGTTACGTGTGCTGCAGCTACGGCTGCGGCTCCAGAGGAGGTGTGTGGTTATCTCCCTAGATCACGAATGGCGAGAAGAAAAGGCGTCGATTCAGTTTCACTGACAAGACAACGCCACGGCCAACCTCGAGCCTGGGGCGCAATCGACAGCTACTCACCGGCTTGATCTCTTCGCAGTGCGCAAGGTGGCTGGATTATGCTTTAGAATATCTGGTCACACCTTCCCAGTGCAATACGTATCGGGATTCTTCAGGTATCAACTCTATTCTGAACCTTGAGTTGGGATTGATTATTGCCGTTTATCGCGCCGGAGCCATTGAACCAATAACAATAAGCAAAATACCATCACGTACTGTATCACAGGATTGAACCAGCGGGCTCCTCTCTCGATGGATTATGATCCCGAAGGCCTCTTGTACAGACATTCCTTAATCCACTGTGGTAAAGTTATTGTAATTCATCACCGTCAGCCAAAAAATTGCCTATACTAACCCTGAAAACCTCTTTACGAGATCTAGAACCGAATGCTACTGTACCTTGTTGCGTGTGACTACCTCAAGTGCCATAAAAAGCCTCTTTGCGCACGCCAAAACGGTTGCTTCTGTGGGCTTTCCATCGGCGCGTATACGTCTTCTCGTGGAGATCGTGTACCAGTGGATGAAATCTTTTATCAACGCGATATTGCGGGCAGTAGTCCCTTCCTCAAGGCCATAGGTATCACGGAAGGGGATTCCGCTAGAATCAAGAAACCTAGATTGTTACAGTAACACGTGGAAAAAAGAGAAATATTGCGGCCGCTTACTCGATCCAAAGATTGAGGTACCTCCTTTGACTATGTTTGATTTATCCTCAACGGCACATGCTCCGATGGCTTGTAGATCGGATGTGGGTTCGTTGCTCCGAAATGCGTATCTTGCGCTTGCTTTATCGCAACTCCAGTAGCCCATATTGAAAGGTCAAGTCCCGATACCGAAGCTGCCCAACCTACAGTAACGTTTCTTGGTGTCGTTCTTGAGCGCGGTGGTCAACTAAACGGCGGGCCGACTCTTCTTCACAACCGACTCCAGACTACTGTTTATAACAGTTCCGCTCGAACCTATCACACCTTCGCGGTCACCGCGTACTTCAAAAACGGTCAACGATGGGCGAACTTTCCATCACTGAACATAAATTCCTATGTTTCCTTGACAGGTCGTATTTTCGGCCTCACAAAAGAACATCGCCAACTAGCTATCGTCACGGATGATATACATTTCCTCCCAACACCAACTCATCACTTGCCCGCTACCCCTTCCTCGACTGGTACGCGGAAAGCGTGTTGACTGTTGGTCCCAAAGGGCCGGCCCTCAGACCCCAACTCAATCGGCCGCAAGTTTGCGGACTGAACCACCTCCTTTCACCCATCCGCAACTACATTCCCCTGAAATAGTCGCCCTTGATAATGAGGATGAGGAGACCACACAAATGACATGGCCAGAAACCGCCGACGAGAACGAGCCCTCGCCACGGGCTACCGCCCCGCCTCCAGAGAGGCGTTCTCGAAGGCAACGAAAAACATCATATGCCAATATACTTGCACAATCGAACTACAATGGCTAATTGGCAAATTTCGGATCTTTCTGTTTTCGAAGGTGTTGCGGCTATTAGTCAGTCCGTTTACCTTCTGATTGGTCAACGCTCATTTGCATTGAGAGGTATCAGTAAAGCAATACAACGTCCCTTTTTCCTTTGCCTTTCTCGTCCCTGCCCTTCGTTTTCATCGTTTCAGGGCCACAGCGTGCGACAGCGCGCGTCACCAGTGTATTTACACAGTAGTGGTAGCCTACATATCGCCAAAAGAGTTGGATCCCAGATTACGTGATGTATAGATATTGTAGTGGCAGCCTAATAGGCTGCCACCACCACTCTAGGCAGAAGGCAGCTACTGTGACTACAAATAGCTGCGCCTACTAGCATAGTTAGGGAATGATCATCACACTTGTACCTTAATCCAGGGTCTCAACTAAAAGCGAGGGGTCAGGATAAATGAAATCATCCATCCATCCATCCATCGAGTGTACCAGGTTCAGTTACTGTAAGGCAGTTAGATTTTGTTAACAGGTCTGCGGAGGAATAGCATCATTCGGTATTCGCTACGTACCCTGCTTTTGTTGGACTATGTACCCACACAGTTTAAAGCACTATGTAGTGTTTTTCAAAACAGATTTCGGGAGGATCAATAAAGTGTGAAACTAATTTCGACACACTTTGTACAGTATGCCTCGCGGATTTGGCAAGCTGTCACTTTCCCCGTACCCGGTTGCCCAAAAGCCCGATCCGGGCGCTGGCTCGGAAGCAAACAGCACCTAAGACTCACGATACATACCTCGCTTACTTGCAAGCTACTCATGACGTTGCTCATCCATCACTTTACTATGAGCCTCAGCCACTGCTTTTTGGCAGGACCAGCGCCCACCCTCTTTTATTAATTACAAACTTCTTAATAACCCAGAAGTGGACAGCAATTTGACGACCGGTCACTGGGTAATTTGTCGAATAGTCTCGCTCATTAAGTGATGTGGCGATAACCGTTGCTGTAGTCGCCAAAATCAATATGCATGATCTATCGCAATCTCTGCGCGGTGGAGGATTAGGAACTACTGAATAATTCGTTCATTATGTACGTTGAATTGCGCAAACCTTTATTGCGGTCATTCGGCCTAATGACTCGGTTCTAGATTCGTCGATCTTATGCGATGGATCATATGGCTCTCTCAGTTGAAAATTTATGTGTAACGGGCCAGGTCCCGATCTATTGCACAGGCTTGGCCTGTGCGATGTGATCTATCAACTCCCCAGGATATTTAGTCACCGCTGGCCACCCCCTATTTCTAAACTTCTCTAAGCTTCAGATAAACAGCATGTTGGCACCGCTCAATTGAATCAATTCGGCCGTAGCCCTTCACATATCTGAAGCTTCCTCTTCCCCATAGAGTACCAGCGAATAATAGCAACGCGACAGCGAGACGACACCGAAATGATGTCGAACGAACAATCGAGCGGAGCCCCTGTGGCTCAACCAGCGAACGATCCCATTGCAAACGTCGAAGCCATGATGTCAGCGATGATGGCTAGCGTTAACCAACGTTTCAGTCAGATAGAAGAGGCGCTACAAGCTCAAGCGCGTACGCCCAGCGAATCGATGTCGGAACACCCACGAACCGAACCTGAGACGACCAACACCGCCAGTCCTCACATCGAAAACGACGGAAATAGCAAAACTAGCAGAAATAGCGAACCGGTCGTTGCTAGTCGACCAAGAGCGACCCTACCGAACCAACCAATGTTCGGAGGATCAACCAGCGAATGGCCTGCATGGCAGATGCAGATGGAAAATAAACTGCGGGTGGATGGTATATGTTTTACCTCCCCATTGGATCAATGTGCCTATATCTATTCACGATTAGAAAAAATGGCACTAAAGAACACGACCACCTTCATGAGAGAACGACGAACAAACGGGACCCCAGAAGATTTGCTCACGTATCTTAACCGAATCTATGGCGATCCGAACGTGGAAGCGAGGGCGATTCAACGATTGTACACACTCAAGCAGAAAAAGAACCAGTCGTTTGAAAAGTTCTTACCTAGTTTCGAACGCGAATTAGCCGATGCTGGTGCACTACAATCGCCTGACAATGCGAAGAAACATACCCTGCTTATGGCGCTCATCAATCGCGGTATTCCCACCACATTTCAAGGAATGTTAGACACCCTCCACCAGATCAGCGCGGATCTCGCAGGATTCTACTCTGTAAGGGCCTCGAAGCGCACACACCAGTCGCCAGTTGCTGAAGAGACTTATGAGCCAATGGATTGGACCCCCACTAGTGCAGTGAGAATCAACCGAATTGCCTATGAATCGAGATCGAAGCAGCCCCAGGACGAGCACCTTACGGGAAAACGTGCAAGATGGGTAAACCAGGAAGTGATAAATAAGCGGAGAGAGGAGGGATTATGCCTGCGATGTGGCAGACCTAACTGTCGGATCGCTTCTTGTCCTTTGAAACCCGCGAGACGCCCTGAGGAACAGGAGAAGCGCGTGAATACTGTGAAGACTAAGAGAACACACCGAAACCACACCGTTCTAGTGAAGAAGAGCAACAGGAAAGGAGAGCCCGCAGTTCTAGAATCGACAAGCTAATCGGAATTTACCACTGCAACCGAAACCTCTGAATCGGAAAAAGAGTAGCTCCTGTTCTAAGTCGCGAGCAGGAGCTAAAGGGAGTCCAGAGACTAGAGAAGAGCACAGAACCACTATTCTATGTCGATGCATGCTTGAATAGCCAGTGAATAAGTTAGTTGAGACTATTTGGTCTGATGAGCGTCTACCAAACCAGATTGGGGCAAGACAACAGAGAAAGGAAATTATCTATACTCTAAATAAGGTATGAAGCTTTGTGATTACTTTCTAAGAAGATACTAACTACTAATATAGGTCCGCAACCTTGCTATCTATATCAACGCAAGTCCACAGCGTCGCAATCATTTCTGTCGAATACAATCAAACAGTACTATCTTATACCCAACCCAGGATGTCCGACATCGCTAGAATTCAACATTTCTGATGCTCTGACGTGCAAAACGGCTACAAAAAGAGTTAGATGAGTTCTGTGATTCATACAATATGTCAACACTTGCTCTGAGTCGAGAGGAATGGCGACAGATTGACTATCTTCTTGATATTACTCAACCTTTCTTCAGGTGGACGACTCTCCTTTCACAGTCAAAAGATATTCGTATCTATATAGTTTTTGGTATTTACAACCAGTTATGAAGGCAATCGATCGTCTTATGCGGAAAAAAAAGTCTTGGAAAAAACTGATGCTCTATGCCCTTAATGCAGCAAAAAGGAAGCTCTCACGGTACTATGGAGACACAGACGCTGAAGCTAGAGATACCTACGCCATTGCAACTAATCTCGCTCCTCAACACAAACTTCAGTTCTTTACCACAAGAGAGTGGCAGGATCAAGACTAGAAAACCAAATACCGCGAGAGTCTTGAAGCATACATGGCACCATACAAAGAGCGCTTAGATTCCAGCAACAATCAAGATAAGGCAGTAAATGATGCTAGACCTGGTGATCTTTCGGCTATTGAGGAAGAGTTCGGATGCTTCGACTCTCAATAGTCAATAAACTCATCTGCCTCACTTGATGAGCTTACCCGATATCTTCAAAGTGGTATGTTTCAACTTATTCTCAGGTTTATCAACTACCTATAGTAACTAATTTATCCTAAAAGGAACCGTTAAAACCTCGCCTCGTCTATTTTAGAAGGCACATCAAGATGAATTTCCAGTTCTTGCAAGTGTTGCCAGAGATGTTCTTTCAATTCCAGCAATAGGCGCAGGCGTTGAACGACTGTTTAATTGTGCGCGAGACATATGTCATTACCGCCGTGGCTCATTAAAGCCTAGCACAGTACAGGATCTCATAATGTACAGGTATACATCTCTGTTTGAGAGCCAGGAGGCTGAGCAGTTTCTTCTTCAAGAGTTCCAGTCACGATAGGAAAAGGATACATCGACTGAGGAGAGAGGGCCAACAGTTAGCTTTGATCCAATTAGTGAGGATGAGAACGAGGATGAGCTAGCGGCTACACAGGCCACCCAGCAGGAGCAGGCTACCCAGTCAAGAAGGAAACGGTCGAGAAGTGTACATTTAGAGGAGGCTTCGGAGGAAATTTGTAGGGACATTGAGTCATATAATGATGATAATCCTGAGCATAATGGGTTTCCCCGTCTTCCAGCGCGAGCACGGAAGAGACCTAGACAGCCAGATGGGTTTGAGATCGAAAAATAGATTTCAAAATTGAATAAAATGAGAATTGAATAGTAATCTACGCTTCCTTGGGTTTTTTCGGCCGAAAAAAATAATCTACATCCGTCCCGATGAGAGCACAAATTGTATGAGAAATACCCAAAATTTCAGCTGAAATATTCATAAATTATGCAACAGAGTATTTTTGTATGTTTGTCCTGCTTGTGCACCCGCCTTACCCTCCTTGGCACCCTCCACCCGCCGGGGGTGAGCAATATTGAACCCTCCACCCGCGGAGGGTGAGGCACTTTGGACCCTGGACCCTCCGAGGGTCACCCGCGGGTGGGTTTTTGACCCTCCACCCGCGGGTGAGGGCGAGGCCTACTTAAAGGCAAGCAATAGGGAGCAGTTTTATAATGTTCAAATCCATTCCTTAGGTCTGCCATAAATCTAGGAGAATATCAGCATTTCTTCGACTCTAAGTTCCCACTCACAGTGTCTTAGCTTACTCAAATTGAGCGATTGGGTAGGAGATACATAGGAATGATTTCATACTAAGGTGGCAGCGTGACTTCCTTTATATATCTAAGATTATGAGCTCGAGCAGCGCTGTTTATGATAAAAGGAAAGGATGTTCCACCTTGAAATGAACAAGACTCCCCACTTTTTTTCGTGCAGGATCGATATGACGCAGTTTTTTGATGAGATGGGGTCCAGAAAAATGAAGACAGCTCAAGTAATATCTTTAGACTAACCATCACAAAATAAACGGCTCTGTGGGGCCCTCTAATTATAGTATAACCTATAGTGAGCTGAGCGAATCATAGCACTCACTAATTAGTCACTGACCAGTACTAAGGGATCAGTGAGCACTCACTGAGCCTCAGTACACACGCACTGTGTCCTCACTGAGCATGCCTGAGCGGTCTGAGTAGTTATGGCCGAGCGGTGACTAATTACGCACTGAGCACGCACTGAGCCTTAATCATCAGTCACGTGACTGAACTGAGCGTGATCACTGAGGCCATGCCTATGCTGAAGTCTACTCAGTGATCCCAAGCCTGAGCGCCCTCATAAAAGCGGCGGCATCCCAAGTAGGAAAGCCCCACCCGGCAGACATTATCCTGTGTATATAGGTGCATACATGATAACTCTTTTCTGGCCCCACCGCCATGGCCTTAGCGCAGATCCATCATTGAGCGGGCCACATTCAATGAAAGAACACCGTAGAATGAGGCTTGTATGGTACAATACTTTGCTACGTAATATTACACAATGTGCGCGACAATTTAGTGGAACTGTTTAGAAACCTATAGTGGATTTTTGCAAATCATGTGGGGAGGACTGCCTGGCCATCTGTAGGCTACGATCCTTGGTACTTCTGGGTTTTCTCAAAAACACCGCACATGGATCTAAATCTAGCAAAGGAAAGAAAGGTAGCGGAAAAAAGAATCTGTTCATTAGCGTGGTCAGCTCTCTCTCCCTCTCTCTCCCTCGTTTTCATCTATTTTCCGTTCCGTTTTGTTTATAGGCGTACTTTCCTTTTGGGTGTTCCGACCGACGCGACGTCTCTCTTCGTTCGGGCGACCTAGCCAACCGGGGGAGCGGAGAAGTGGTGCGAGCCCTGATCCCAATTGCCACTAGAGTATAGGGTGCTACTAGTGTTGTGGTTGTGTGTTATATATTTCTTTCATTATGATTATTTATAGCCTCCCACATAAACTAGTGTCACGACAAATGCCTGTCTCATTCTCACACATAGTTATCCTTGAGACGGGCTGCGACAGGTTGAAATAAGGACAAGAAAACGAAAGATATCCCCATAACCCCACCACATTACAGAGTGTAGGCGATATAGTTACTGACACAGGTCCGCCGTCAGGGTAACTGGCTGGGGGCACCCATAGACCTTCTTATGAGCTGGGGTACTGTAGCAGGCGGCATCATTGGCCGCACAGTCAAAGACCTCACAGCCGTCCCCGGGACTGAGCGAGTTGGGATTCGCTGCGAAGGGGTTGCCCCATTCCGTGCTAAGTTCATCTTGAAGAAGGATACGGTTAATAAAAGATTCCTAGCTGACAGATAGATTGGGTGCACTCACAGTACGCGTAGTCCGGGTTGGACGAGAACGAATAGCCAAAGAAGAGTGGCTTATCCAGCGTCTTTGTCTTGGCGATCTTGACGGTCTGCACATTCCATCTCCAGTCAGTTTCCCTTGCTATATGGAGTATTGCGCAGACCGAATAGGACGGAGTAACGTACCGAGCCAGATGCTCTAAATTTCTCGGAGAAAGTCCCCCCCTTGGGAATGGTTGTGAGAGGGCCGGGGGCACTGCCATCGTAAGGGAACGACTGCACATACACAGAGGTGGCACAGTGGTTGTGCACGACGGCATTCTGGGCCGAGACCAGGCCGAGGAGGGCACCAAATGTGATCAGGGAAGCCTTCATGGTTGGTATTTCGCTTTTTGTTTTGCAATAGAAGCTTGGATTATCTGTTTCCCACCCGACAAGGGAAGGAATTGGCGGTCTTCATATAGGTCTGCTGGTCAGACCACATATAGTACCGATGATGTAGCGACGGAGTACATCTGGGAGGCCTTTGACCTAAGACATGGCATCTATTCCATGTCTTGGATTGTCAGGCCACCGCCCGGGGGTCCGTCCCACGGCCAATCAACACGAGTGGCAGGTGAGACATGCGCATCACCGCCACTGCATGTACCCCGCATCGAATACATCGCACCAGGTAGCGTTACATCCACGCCAATTTCTCAACAATGGCTGGAGCTTTTGTTAATGATTCTCCATGTGGAGCAAAGGATGATTTCAGCGGTGCGGAGAACCTGCCACGATCAAGGAATTCGCCGGTTTAGGATCGAAGATTCAGCCGGTTTCTCCGCTCCCGATTCGGGCCGCGGTACCGTCCAAGTCATCTATGCGTACCGCGCTTGAACACGATGGAGGATGATGTACCCCGCCAGATCCGAGGCTCTCTCCATCCGTCACAAGGTGTTCTCGTAGTCGAGCGTACAGACAAGGGAAATGGGAGTAGGGCTCTGATACGGAGTAGATTCTTCCTTCTTGGGCTAACATGCCCTTGATCGACTGGTCCATACCAAGAATCCCATCAGTCATGCGGTCACCCTGCCTGGCTCAAGTTCGTATAGTACCCACATTGACTAACTCGTGTGGGGAACCGACCGGGGATTTCTGCAAGTGAGAAGGCGGATTCAAACAACCGACTGTCTTCTACTATAAGGAGGCAAAAAATGCTGCCATGGAACCAGTGCCACGCCAATGCACCGTTCTAGTATAGGGTGTGAAGAAATTGATGCTCTTCTGCTGACCATAAATTGGCACCTATGTTACGAGGCGCCATACGATTAATCAGTCACTCAGGCGACTATTAATAGATTGTGAGGAAGCTTTCGGGAGACTGCTCACCTAAAACCGAGAGGCGGAAACTGGGGCGCTAGTCACGTGGGGAGACATCGCCTCCCTCTCAAACAGATATGGGGAGGAAAAGAGGGAGGTTCGGTACTGGATTACAGAATTTTCCGGGTTACAATTGATCATTTCAAAACACAGGGAGCATTTGGATCTTACGAGGGTACTTTTGCCCATCATATTTGCTATAGAGAATACCTCAATAGAGAGTAATGCCACCCTTTGTAATAGTCTTCACGTATATATATGTCTCGAGCATAAGCATAGCGTTGCATCAAGTTCCCTTACGACGGGTGTATGGATAGTGGGCATTTGTGTAAATTGCACTACCTACCGTACTTACCCCAGAGTATCGCCCATTGAAGACATGCTATGGTGGTCACTGTAGAGTCGAGCATTGCGGGGGAGGCCGATCGGCAATATCACTTTTGAATTTGAATTCCTTATGTATATTACCTGTGTTGATAGGGGTTGGCCAGTCATAAAAGGAGATTGCCCAATTTTGACAAGGGGTCAGCTGTTTTGACAGGGGGTCGTCTATTTTGACAGGGATTCAACCGCTATCATTGGCTATATCCGCGAAGTCGAGGGCATTCGCGCAGTCCGAGGGCCAACTACTAACTTAAAGAGGAAATCGTCATGCTCTGGGCAAGAGACTCGAAATAACCACTCTTCGACGACGAGGTGCGACAGCGACATCCATTCAGACCTCATAAGGTATGTTGTTTGGCATTCCTAATATCTTAGCTGTTCTAAGTTGTGTTTCTGGTCGTAAAATTAGGTGCCAATTGGCTCATGGAGTGGCACACCTCAAACGTTTCACTTTGTTGAACGCCATAACCATCATACCTAATGAGAGAATTGGGCCTCATGATTCTGGGTATACTGTAAGGACAGACTTATGGTGAATTATTATTAGCTGAGGCCTACGCCATGGGTAGCCTGTGGGGCTGTTGTTCGCCCGCAAACAACGAAAACCTGGTTGAGACATTGTTTACCGGTGACTGCATCCGTTAAGATGTTCCCTAGGCCAAAGGGACACCTCTCAAGAGTGACAATGAGCGCATGTCGTATGGGCAGGTAAGGAAGAAAAGCGATGTCGCCTAAGTGGATCGTTCAGGTGGCAGGTCGAATGCGGCCCCCTCCGCATGATTTGCAGAGACCCACTACCGACTTCCATGGAATTCCATTGAATTCTCTCACGCATTGTGTAATTGTTTGTAGTAAGATACGATGCCATACAGAATGCATTTTACGTTGTCCCTCAGTTTAATCTGCCCCGCTCAATGAATGATCAGCGCTAAGGTCTTGGCGGTGGGGCCAGAAAAGAGTTATAGAATGTGTTGGTCAAGTCCATCGAGAACGACTGTACCGCCTTCGTCAGCCGCGTCAGTCTTTGTGGACTTGGTGTTTGTTTCACGCACTGTGTCGACCTGCACTTCTCAGTCAATTCGATCATGTAGATCAACATGTGGGAACCCAACAGGAACAGTTCTTTCGAAATCCTTTTATGCCATGACAGTGCATAAGTCTAAATCCTTGAACGAGCAGTGCTGGGTTGACACCTCCTTTCACCTGGCCTGAATTTCTAGTTTCAAAGTTACCTGAATTAAAAGATTCTTGCTCTGCGAATGTTTGGGCCCTGTCGACCGGAGATGTTACACCTAACCGCCGATCAGAAGAGCTTCGTCTAACCAATGGATATTTCATTGTCTGCCTGCTTTGTTCCAGCAAAACAAGGAAGAAACTCTGGCCGAATAATTTCGAATCGGACGGCAATGCGCCACCAGTTAATCAAGCGTGGAAACGACACTAATTATCTACGCTTACGGATATGTGTGCATGCGAAAGTTTCAATAGATCACCACTTTATAAACTACCACACTCCGAGGAGGTTTGATCTTACCTTCACATTTCATCGACACCATTCTTATCTTTATACAGATGACTCAAAATACTGAGGAAACAGGGCCTATTGCAATCGATGCCATCAAAGGCCCATCAGTCCCTCAAAATCCTGATTTGTGAGCTCCTAGGTTATACTTGCCTATTAGTCAACCTTTACACTAACAATAGAAATAGCAATACCGCATACCCCAGCTAGACTACGCACGGCCAGCAATCGACGATCCCAATTGCTGCTAGAGGCAACGAAGGAAGCCCTGATGCCTGGCCCAGATGGATGCGGGGAATCCCCCTTACTCCGTTGGCAGACAAGGCTAATTAATTAAAGGAAATATCCTTGGATATCTGCTCACGATGCCATCCAAGCGCAAGTTTATTCAAAGAAGATCGCGCACCAAAGCTGGCACAAACCTGCAAACAGTTCGGTAGAAAGATTCAAAATATCGAACCAGCTGTTCTAGTTGGCTGGCATGGTGCTGACAAAACAATCTCCGAATTTGGGGACCAGTATATCTGGAAGCAAGGCAAGAGAGCCCCTGAAGCCTCCGACTGATACGCTTCTCTCCGCTCCGCAATAATCGAACGTGCCCAGACTACCTGGGGTGTCTAAACACCAAAGAAGCAATATTCGACTATATTTTCTACCGGTCTACCGGAGGTATTGCGTTTTCCAGGGCGGAGTCCCACGGCTATCCCATCGCAGTTGCATAACAACTGAAGGATACCTCGAGAACGTACAATGATGAACACGGTCGTTCTATATGGCTCGGCGAGGTGGTCGCCACTAAGCGACACCTGTCCAACGGTGTTTTTAACCGCTTGCCATTGGAATTTGAAGAATAGTGGGCTGATGGCCTCGTGATAGTAGCAGATAATATGGACATAGATTTAGATTTGAAGACAAATGGGTGTCGCCCCCTACAGGACCTGCCAGGCTACTCCAACCACATCGCAGACTCGGACAGTGAACATGCCAATACGACGCCTGGAACACGCTAGTAACCGACTGGCTAGAGCGGTTTTCGTTTTTCCCAGGTGGTGGGACTCAAAATGAAAGGACGCCGACCACTGCCGCGAAGATCAGAGACGGAGGACTCTAGGATACGTCATGATCAATAGCTTACGCAGGTTCAATGCCATGTCAGGCAAGATAACCGACTACTTGGACGAAGAGGCAGGTGCGTGACGACTGGCATGCTAATGACAATGAAGACGAAATGACCGTTGCCACGAAGATTGCTCAACATCAACTCCAGATTCGAATGCTAGGTAGGAAAAGAGTGTGATACAATGAAATTGCGGATTGCTAGTTAGTAGTATCCACATTTCCAAGTGATTTTAACATTCCTCGGGACCGCTGGCTCGCATGGCAAAGAGGGTTAACGGCAGTGACCACGCGTAGCTGTCTCTCATAGGGCGACGGCCTGGGCCAGGTGGACTTTTAAAGTGGCCCAAACCCCCTGCGTCGAGGCAGAGTTATTGGATTATTATCTATTAAGAGTCAATGATTTTCAAGCCCAATGAATTGGCCTTCTTTTGGGTTATTAACGGAGCCCCCTAATTACGAAAGGGGAACCAGCTATAGTAAATGGTTTAGCTATTTTCCACCGTCTAGCTAGTTTTCTACATAAAGGTTATCTGGTGGGCGCCAACATATAAGGGTGACGAAATGACGGGGATGCCTCGCTGATGTGATCAAGGGCAGCGCATCGCATCGCATATTCTGGGCGTGGCATGTGGCGGCGACTAACGACTGATTTAATTTACTCCTTCGCGAACACCCCGGAAAAGCGGGTCTTCACAAGTGTTGCTGGCCCCGGTTGGCCCCAGCCGGCGTTGACGCTGTTGGGTGTCGCATCTTGTGACCGTGGCTGCCTCAGGCTGCATCCCGCAGTTTCCACTTCTTGCGATCAAGATCCTCCTTGTCTTCCTGCACTTACTTGAAAGATCTGGACTCTCCGTCCAAGGCCGATCAGATTCTGCGCCAATCGTGATGGACATGATGGACCGCAATCTCGCCTGTGCGGTGATGACGATGGGCCTCAATAATTGCCTGTTCCAGTCATAATCAGCCCAACCCTGGCACTGTCGGACATCTAACCCACTCGCAGTCTAGCGGCCCCCGTTTAGCAGCAATTAGCGCCCCGAGAGACGAGCCCCTTTTCCGCATCTGCAGAGTCCACCTCGCACTAAGAGCTAGCCGGCTCCACCGGCCACCCTGCGTAGGGTCCGACTGGGGAACCCCTGGGGCCCGTTCCTGGCCCTGTGCCTGAACCGTTCTTCGAGCCGCTCGCCGTCACGCCCGGCTGGCCCCAATCATCACGATGCGCGGGGCCAACAGGATTGCGTGCCAAGCCGCTCGTACGCTCGTACATGCAGGGCCGACTCGCTTTTATGGGCGTATCGCCCGCCCCTGGGGCCCTTTCTCTCTTCACGCTGCACTTTCACTACGCTTGCCGGGCGCTTCGCTGCCTTTCCATTCTTTCATCCAGTCTTTCGTTAATAATTGTCGCTCTTTCGACCAGTAGTTGATTCTACTTCAAGTGTTGTGCTTTGTCCACTCAGTCCTTCGTTTCAGCATTCTCCAATATGCGTTTCCACACCGTCGCTATCCTGACCGGCGCAACCGCCGTGTCTGCGGGTAACACCGCCAACCTCCTCCTGCCTGGTTTCCAGGGCAAAGACCTCCAGTGTGGTGTTCAAGGCTCGGTACGTAATCTTTACTCTTTTCGTGTGGTCGTCTGTGGTTCTCAACGCGAAAGTCGATCTCGCATCGCGAGTTTGCGTGTTTACTCTACCAATCGTCGCAATACTGCCACCAGAAAAATATCGGACTAACAACAACAAACAGAGCGGAGATGCCACCACTTACCTGGTGACTTGCCCTACAAGCGTCGCCGCCTCCGACTGTGGTATTCCCGGTAACGGCCTGACTGCCATCGCCGCGCCGACCTCCGTGCAGCTGATTAACCCCGACGGTAAGGGCAACACTGCCTCCGTCTCCTGCAACGTCGGAGGCACTACCTCGGCCTCGTGCGTGGCTCAGGAGGGCACCGTGACCGTCTCGCACACCTTGGGTTCCAAGGATCTGAACTGGATGCCGGTCACCATCACCACCCCGACGCCCACGTCGACTCCCACCTCCACCTCCACTCCCACCCCCACCCCCTGCACCTCGACTTCGACGATCACCCCGACCTCGACCTCTACCCCGGTGTCGAGCCCCGTCAAGTCCACCACCCGTGTGGCCTCATCCACCCGCCTGGCGACCTCGTCGATTCCCGTCAAGGGCACCGACTCCGCCATCACCGGCACCCCGGCCCCGACTGGCTCTGCCTCGTCGACCCCGCCTGCCGCCCCCAACGCCGCCGCCCCTATGTCCGGCAATGCCTGGACTCTGGGCGGTGCCGTCCTGGCCCTGGTCTACGCTCTGGCTTAAAATTTAAGCGACGCGACGTATACCCACTTTCCTATTATCAAATGTGAGGCTTGTCCGCAGTCGCGACGCATTCGCCCTAATCTGCAATGCGCGCGACTGAATTGAATTACTTTAGGTTTTTGGTAACGTTCCTTCTACCGGATGTATTCATGTATGCCATATGTGTACACATCTACCTTTTAATGATTGATACCTTTCTCCACGACAGCATGATCCAGCGCGGCTCCTGTTTTCTTTCGTGTATATCCATACCAATTACATATGCATACTCATAATCCTACATAATCATTCATTCGAGGTCGACTCTTCTGTGATGACTTGATTTTTTATCCGACCTAGAGCATCTACCGCTCAACACAATCTCCCTCGGCAGTCCGACACTTTGTTAAAGTAGCATAAACAGCATTCAAACTCCCACCCAACTACCTCTCTCTGGTCTTTATCAGCGTCGTGTCCATCAGTCTAGATAAAATCCAGAAGTTGAAATCTATTCGAGGCTCCTTACACTTGACAGATGACAATCACCAATATCACCTCTAAGAGTGGCGATGCAAGGTAAAATAATTTAGACCCACGTCCCTGTCAGATTCTCAGCATTATCCGTAGATCTCCCCGGACACGTCACCGTCGTTTTCGTGCAGGCTATTCCCGCTCCCCTTGCGTCGACAATCTTGCGCCGGGTAGAATTGCCGATGCAGACTCACCCCCGCCGCATCTAGCGCAACGAGCGCCTTGAGAGAGAGAAAAAGAAAAAGAAAAAATTTCCAGCCAAAAGCATCCGCTTAGCGAGTACATACCGCGCGGCAACCGGGGCAGCGATGTACACGGCTTTGACAGCGGAGTCGTCGAGGCTTCGTGAAGTCGTATTTTGAGGCGTCACATAGATTTTGCTTCCCTGTCTTTTGGACTATATCGTGAGTGATATGATGATTTGGAGCGGGATCAAGGGCAGATCCATAGGAACGTGGGATCAAACTCACACGTGGGGAGCTTACGGACGCACTCCTCGACCATTTCCCGAAATCTTAACTTCGGATTGTTTGCTTAGTGTTGGGTGCAGGCGTGTCCGGATGTATTGTTCGAGGACACCGGTTGCTTGAAGGATGGCCATAAGGGCGTAGCTTATGAGGAAAATTTGGGCAGGGTGCGGGCTGAAGTTGATCAGTTTGGGAAGGAGCGAGGTTATGTTTCCTAGGAGCATCCTTGTGGATTTCAAAATCAAAGTCGGTAAATGTGTTTGATTGTTGGTCACTAACGTGAGGATATTAGGGGTGCTGGTAATATCGATAGGGCAATGTGGGCTATGGTAGAAAATTATTGACTCGCCTTATCATTGTAGGCTGAGAGTGGAAAGAGCGGAGGGCGGGGATAGAGTTGATTTTATTATACTTGGATTTAAAAGTTGACTGCTTTTTGATCACAAAAGAAAAGACCGGACGAATCACGCTCAGTCTGAACGTCAGATTTGTGATCCTTGACTCATGGCGCATTCCTCACTAGTGGAGTTAACCATATTCCAACTCCAAATCAATCTCCCACAGTCTCCACAGTCTGAATTAGGCACAGAGTGCAAACAAAACACCACTGGCAGTCTACAATTCGCAGTCCAGTTTACTGCGCTTTTTGAAAGAATTGCAGTTTGTCTCTTTTGCCTCAAATTCATTCCTGCAAGAACCTCTCCGAATCGGCTGTGCGTGATTGTACCGTTCGTATTGTGTTTGTATTGTGTTTGAATCGTTACTTTGGAGAATTTCAGACAGCCATATCAAAGGGGTGGGATTGTCGTTCTTATTTCGAGTTATTTTTCACACTCTCTCGCTCATCAATTTTCATTTTCATATTCCAATCAACGCTTAGGAGCTTTATCAGTGATTAAGTAAACAAATTCAGCGTAGCACGGAATTAACGTCTAGATTCTAAATTTACTAGAAGAGAGAGAGAAGAGAAAGACCGGAATGCCCCCAAGATTGAAGTTGGCACAGCCCCACACACAGCATACCTTGAATAATGTGAAATGGTTACGACCTGAATCCAGGCTTGCAGTATCTCACCAGACGAAGAGACAAGATCACATATGTCGGAGCCACATGATTCAGACATGTCCGGGACCGGTATACGTAGCACACGTTAGCGTTAGATGGACCATCCTAACAGAAATCTACCTCACACCCAGACGAAAAAGAGTTGGAATGGGTTAAATTTGGCGTGAGTTTAAACGCCTGTCCAAGCAGCCGAAAGGCAAACTCAATTAAACTTATTGTAACCGACGGCTACGTAGAGAACTATTATTCAAAAGACCATTTGGAGCCACAATAAAGCTTCCATTTATTTCATAAGTCATATGGGGTCATCAGATCATCAACCCATTGCATTGCCACTCGGACCAGAGCCTGCCAAACCAGAAACAGAATCCCACCATTATCTCTTCTGTCAGCACTCAGCTAGTCCAGAGAATCTGCAACCAGATCATCTCAGCCCGTCATGAGAGCCTTTTTTCATCTCGAACCGGTCAAGCAAGGTAACCATGAGAGGCGGTTTGTCCCAGAGGAAATAAACCTCCTGGTTGAGCCAGTTCTTGCTCTCGGTGCAGAGAGAGATGTCGAAGTTCCAGAGGAGCTTGCAGAGGATGAGTCGGATTTCGCAGTATGCCAACCTATTCAGATGGTCTGTTAGTTGGAATGCTCCTTTGGGTACTTTTAATGGAGCCGGATCGCGTACTTCTTTCCGATACAGCCTTGCGGACCGTAGCTGAATGGGTTGAATGAATCCTTCCTATCCTCGTTGAAGCGGGCGTCCTTGCCAAGCCATCTCTCTGGATGAAATTCGTCGGGCAGCGCAAAGTTGGACGGGGGAGTGGTATGTCGCATAGTGGTGAGTGCTGACTTTTGTCTAGAGAATAAATTAGTCAATCATGAATAAAGGAGAAATCTAACGTAAAAGACTTACTCCTTCGGGCACAAACTGACCATCTACCATCGCCCCGCCTTTGGGGGTGATACGAGAGAGGGTGGTGGCAAAAGGTGGGTACAAGCGCAGCGACTCCTCGATGACGGCTACTAGATACTCCAGCAAAGCGGAACTGCGAAATGTGATGCCAAACTCTTCGTGAAAGGTCGAGCGGATTTCTTTAACCAGCAAGCTCATTTTCTCGGGATTCGTGCACAGGTAGTAAATGCAGCCAGATAGAGCTGTGGCGGTCGTTTCACTGCCCGCGATGATGAGGCTAGTGAAGCAAAATTGTTAGCATGTATTTTGTCAGGTAAGATAGTGCCACGGGGGCTTCGTTTGGAACGGTTCATACATGTATGCATTCGAATGGAGCTCCGATCGACTCATCTTCTGTTCCTCTTCGTGAAGATTATCTTTGGTATCACTCAACCCACTCTTCAGGATCGCAGACATGAAATCTGATCTGAGGATATGTGTCTCGACGCGTTGATTGACTTTGTTCACTGCAAGTCTGAAATGCTCGTGGGCCTTTTCGGCAGCACTATTCGGAATGACGGCTTCCAGAAGAGCTTGCAGAACCGGGAACTGCATTGCAGCACCAGCAATGGCAAGAGTCTTGATGGAGTTGAAGAGTAGCTCGATCCATGGGTGCAACCGACTCTCCTTGAGACAATCGAATGACTCTCCGAACATCAAGTCCCCAAAGATATCGAACGTAGTGCAATTGAACCAATCCCGGATGTCGATCCGCGGTGGATCCACACAGCCGATCTCCCCACGGAGCTTACCGATCAGCGCATCGACATAGCCCTGAATCAGATACTCTTGATCATTCAAGGCACGCTCGGAGAACGCAGGGGCAAGCATCCGCCGATACCGCGAATGCAGCTCCGGATCACAAGCACCCACAATATGGGGAATCCCATTCGGCGGCGGAAGATAATGCGTGGGGTCTCTCCGGAATTTCCCACCCGGTCGATTGCCATAGATATCCCGAAACGCCTGCCCGGTGATGTACGAGAGCTCATTGGGACCAACCCTCACGACAGTGCCATACCGGGCATGCAGCGCCAAGGCGTCCAGATGATTTCTGCCACGCAACACGGAGATCTGCAGGGGGATGCGCGACAGGACCCAGAGCTTTGGCCCGGGGTAGATACTGAGGGGGGACCAGTAGAGCTCGTAAAAAATGGAAAGGGAGAGGATGAGACAGGCCTGCTTAACACGACTGAAATTAGCGCTGACATTGTATGAGGCGAACCGGTGTTGTGGGATGCAGGGGGGATAATGGTGCTTGCTCCAGGGCCTGCAGTCCTGCAGCTGTCATGGAGGGCGGGTGTACGGGATGCAACTTACCAGGGCTCCTGCAGACACACCCCAAAAGGTGAAAACTCCTATACTTGACCAGACTGAGAGCATTGTGAGTGTCGATCGGAGAGGCAGGAGGCCAGGAGGCCTGTTGAGATCCTCGTCTGTGGTGTATTTTACTCTTTGGCGAGTCGATGCCGTCCAACCCCTTTAGCCTTGCCTTCGGCTTCTGGAGGTGGGCCCTGTGTCTGGGGGACGAGTAAATGCCGCGATTGGGTGCAGGACTGGTGTAGTAGCCGAAGTCGTACGGAGAATATTTTGGTTTGGTTGAAAAGGGAATGGATGTGAAGGGGGAGCGGGTGGCAGCAGACGAAAGAAGAGGTGGAGGAAATGCCTTCGCAAGGAGAAAAGAAAGAACCACCATCAACATTTTCTGTTGTTGGATTCCTTCCCTGAGTATGTACTGGAGATATCAGAACATCAAAGCCTCGTCGAATCCTCTCACATTCGGTAATACCAAGACGTACATTCCTTAATACTTTAACCTCCGAATCAGCCCAATTGCCGACTCACCCAGCTCCTTCTACCACGGCCTGCGACCATACACCACATGCAAATTGCAATAAGTATGCACATCTGGATTCCTCAAATCCCTACGCACGCCCGCTAGGAACACCTGGGTCTCATTGTTCGACCATCCCAAGACGCGAGTAAAGAGAGCCAGCGAATAGGCCTCAACTGCCATCAACAATGAGCAAAGATTATACCGACCGATCTGTTTTTGAACAGGGTCTTCATGCCAGGCGTTAGAGGGGACCTGCTCACCCAACAGAAGATAAAGTCAGCCAAGTACCAAAAAGGGTAACGACGAGTGAAAAAGTCCAGACGAATCAAAACACAGAGCAGCGTCGTACCTTGTACACCTCATCTCTTACCGCTTCAAAACCCGCCTCGATCAGCCGCTGCCGATGACCCTCGGCGATGTTCATGGGTCGGTGAAACGCCTCGCTGGCCGCATGCAGTCGACCGAGGAACTCGCACAACGTCGGCGCCAAACGCAAAGATTCATCATCTGATCGGAGCGTTACCTCGAATTCCTGCAGCTCGATCCACCCGCCCGGTCGCAGGTGCCGGTATGCCTGTTGAAGCAGCCGGGACCAGTCGGCGATAGCGCCGCCAAGATCACGGGCGTGGATGAAGTCGAAGGGGCGGCTGGCGCTGAAGAGCCAGGGTGATTCGGCGTCGTCGACAATGAAGCGGAGGTTGGGCGGGACCCAGGATGGTTGAATGGGACTTAGGTCGGTGCCGATTACTTCGGCGCTGGGATAACTGTCTGCGAGGTCGATGGCCCAGATTCCCGTGCCCGTGCCGATGTCGAGGACCCGTTGCATGTTTTGGCCGACTGGGGCGCGGAAGAGGGAGCCGTTGAGGACGAGGTTGCGGACGTGGTGGAGAAGGTCTTGTCGGTCTTGTTCGGCCTCGTCGTTGGGCAGGACGTAGTGGCCTTCGCGGTAGGAGTGGTATCGGCGGCCGTTTTCGTAGCAGTAGTCTTTCACATCGGAGAGGAGGGAGGCTGTATAGATCGATGTGTCGGAGTGGTAGTCTTCTTCAAAAACAGAGCTATTTTCGCCGTTTGATGCCGTGGAGGAAGTATCTCCCGTGTCTTCTGTATTGTGCTCGTTTGACTCAGGGCCTTGCGACTGGCCATACTGTTCTTCAGGCTGTGTGAAGATGGAAGTTATCGAAGCGTATTGCGGTTGCAGTGTGCTAGTAATTGCTGGCTCTAACGAAGCGGTCTGCACTGTTGGCGCTATCCATAGCACTGGTGCTTCTGGAGCAAAATTGGCATTCGGTATATCGGAAGTAATCTGAGAAATTGGTGGCAATGTTGTTTCAATACTCGTTTCTCTGGTGGTATCGTCTTCCGCCAGTTCCTCTGGTATGGAAGCCAGCTGAGGGAAACTGATATGCTCAGGCACAGTGTCGCCCGGCATTACGGCAGAGACATGATCTAGCGTAGAGGTATGCAGATGAGCAAATTTATTGCCCTCATTCGGCCCATCACCCAGAAACGATTCCAGCAAAAGACCCAAAGACGGCGAAAGCGTCGAGTCCTCCTCACCAACCAAACCTTCTCCATCCGGAGGCTGAACCGGCTGAAGTACCAGCGGCGACGGGGACGAGGGTACCTCTTCAGGACGCGGACCCTCAACCCCAAAGCACCGACATTTCTCAGAGGTGTCCAGAAATTGAAGCGACTCCTTCGCCGATGGAGCTGTGGCAGACCCACTCGTCTGTGGACTAGCACTACTAGCCGTAGTATCGCTCGTAGAGTAACAGCTCGAAACAAAAGGCTCAGTCAAGGCCATGTCCGTTCCCGGTATCTTCTCAAGGTCGAAACGAAGAGTGTCGGAATGCATAGCGTCGAGCACGGAAACTTAGCATTTCTGCAAGGAGAGAGGGAAATTTGTGCGCCGCCGCGTCTCACAAACGTTCCTCTTGTTGAACGGTGCGGGAAAGAAATCTTCCAGGGCAAGATATGGTTGGTGTAGCAATGGATTGTAATGAGCGAATCGGACTCCGTTGTAGAATTGCTGTTTGCCAGGATTGGGTCTTGTGCTTGTAAGGTACTCGTGCTTGATTTCGCACTGCACTTTGCACTTTCGCCTGGTCAGCTCCCTTTTTCGTCAGGTTTGGCTGTGGTTGAATGAGGAGTTGATATTGAAGTCATCGGGGGCTATACTTATTCCTTATGGGTTATTGTTCTATGTCTCTGTGGTGTTTTGACGTTCATGGGTTGGGTGGGACAGAGGGTTAGAAATGCCCCGAATTCCGTTGTCGACTGCGCCTTACCGCGGTGCTCGGCGGAGATCATTGTGGAATGGCCGAGTATATCAAAGGCATGTAGCAAGCCAGCCGGTAGCCTCAATCCGATCAGTCGAAGATGCAATTTCTTTTTTCCGAGCTGTTGGCGTTGAAAGTGGCGAAGGCTCTCATGGCAGAAAACTGGGTGAACATCCCTGTCGCCGTCTTTGATGGACTCTGAGGAGAAATTTGATGGACTGGATTCTTTAATGGTTGCAGGGACGTCGTCCTGGATGCGGTGACGACGGCAGGTGGTGGATCATCCGGCAATTGAATGATTGAGACATGTTAGAAATATGATCGTGTTCTTTCTCGCGAAGAAACGACAAGTCTACTCGAGAGTCGATACAGCTACACATGAGATGTAAGTAGTGAACTGATTCATTCGAAGCTAGAATTGATCCACTAAGCGATCTCAGTCCACATTTGGGTATTGTTCATGCCTCGTTCACACATTTACGTCCATCACGCCTAGCCGTGCCTCTAAAGACCATCATAAAGTATGCTCAGAATCATCTACTTGGAACCAGACGGTCCACCCCGCTGCGAACCACCCAGTCCTCGTCTCGCGGCAGAGACATGTCCGAACCGAGCAGTGGATTCCTGATTCGGAGCCCGCAGCTCCATGCCTGCTTGCAGGACGGACGCACGCAAAATTTGGAGGTGCATTTCCTCATTGAATTTTCGCACGTCCTTCAGTATTTTTTCCTGGGCCTCGATGCGCGTGTCCTTCTCGTTCACGATGAGAAGTCCCTTTTCCAGGTCGAGGCGGGCATCCAGTACTTTTTCTTGTATGAGGCGGACGAGTTCCTTCACGAAGGGCGATTTGAGACTGGCTGGATGTGCTTCGCCGCCTACCACTTCCGGTGAGAAGATGGCGGCCATGGTGTCGAGGATCACGACGCTGAATGGTACGAGGTACTGCTGGATGGCTTTAATGCGGATTTTCTCATAGAGGTCCGCCACATGACGGTGGAGGTGGATGTCGAGGAGGTAGTCGGTGCGGTAGTTGTCCAAGATATCCAGGAGAGGGCGGAACTTGGAGTTGATGAAGAATTTGATAGCGTGGCGAATGTGAGGCTCCAGTTCGAGGAAGTTCCGGAATTCCACGTTGTCGAGAACTTTTGTCTGGAGTTCGGTGCGGTCCATTGAAGCCATTGCACACAGCCCGCCGTAGACGGCGATATCATTCGGGGTAACGATGTCGTTGAAGGTATCTCCCAGAGTCGGCTTCACGGACAAAAAGCTAGTGGCTGCGTCGCGGAAAAATCCGCCATGCATCTGTGCTAGACCCAGGGCCGCGGAAATCTTAGCCTGATTCCGGGCCAAATCCTCTGGCTTCGACTGGGAGTTGCGGAGTCGCTGTACATTAGATGTCACACTCAGCCAGTCACCCCTTTCGACGCCCACATTGATCAGTTTGAACAGCATCGAGGCGATATGGTTTGGTGTGGTGCAGTAGTCCCGCATGCGAGAGTATGCCTTTGATGCCGCGACCAGATCACCTGTCTCGTAATAGTGATTTCCCATATCCTCGTTTCCCATCTGCAACAAAAGAGTTAGCTTAAATCCCTCGGAGCTAGATTCCATGTCCATATGACGTACCCGAATGCTTTCCTTAATCAAGTTGTTCTTGTATCCCCGCAGTTCACGCTCCAGTTGATCGCCTTCGGCCTTGACACCCTTCTGAACTTGCTGAACCCACGCCGAGTCGAGAGTCGCATCATGGTCGCCCGGTGCTACTTCCGACAGTGCGCGAACGGCCTTTTCGTATCGCGCGACATCTTTCCCAGACTTTGCCTCGGAAATTGCGGCTTTCAGGGCATCGACGGAGAGGTAGGTGGAGGTGATTCCGATGAGGTAGAGACGGTTGAATCGGGTTCGACCTGTGGTCTTGTTAGCTCAAGTCCCTTCAGCTAAACATGCCTTTAAAGGTTACCTTTGTAGTTTGCAATATATGACTCGAGGTCAAACTTGGGAGGATCTGCCTGAGTTAGCTACTGGTCGAGCTTGAATAGTATCGGAGAGCAGATGTGCCGGGGGTGTACCCCACAGGAAGATCCACATACCGTCAAGTTTGGTGACACTGGCGGGAGTAGCTTCTCCGAACGAGGCGGTCGTGCCCTGGGGTGCTGAAGAAAAGGCCTCTTGCGGGGGATACTCCATGTTGCCCAGCCCACCTAGATCGACCTGGAGCGGGGTCAATGAGTGCGAGAGGTCGGACGAGCAGCCGGATCAGATTTGTCGTGGGTTGTAAACTTCCAATGTTGTAGCGATATCCAGAGTTAGAGTGGAGGGGAGTTTGGAGCTTCTTGAGGTGGTTGTTGTCGCCCTGTGAGGCTGGCGGAGAGTGAGCGATAGGCAATATCGCACCGCTCTCTACACCGCCATTGGGGTGTCGCTGCCTTGCAGCCTGACGTCTGGGGACTCCGAGGTGCCGAGGCCTCGTCGTGAGTAATCACGAAATCACCGGTTCGGCCTCCATCGCTGCAAAAGAAGGGAAACCTCAGACGAAATGGGTTTCCGAAATTCCTAGATCACCCACAATTAATTGATGCTCTAATCTCGGCCTTTACAGAAGAGCTTTTCCAACCTGCCGAACATTATATATAATCCAGCCCCAGTCTCGGCCTCAAGTCTAACTATCACATCCCCATATATTGGAGCCGCAACCCCACACTTCCAACCTCAATACCAAAAGCGAGACAGTGGTGATTTCTACAGCATTACAAAAATGCCTGCTAAACAGCCAGTCGCCCTGATCATGGGCGCATCCCGCGGAATTGGCCGCCAAGTCGCCATCGACCTATCCCGAAACGGCTACGCAGGTACGAGAGTCCAGAAACTTGAACCTTACCAACGTGATGGTATATCCATAAAACGAGCAACCAATTGACAATGCGCAATACAGTAATGCTAGCAGCAAAAACAACATCCGACGCAAGCAAAACAGTCCCGTTCCCACCAGACCCCAACTCCCCCTCCTCAACAATCAACACAGTAGAGCGGGAAATAACTGAAGCCGGCGGAAAAGCGCATACCATCGCCGTCGACGTCCGCGACGCTTCGCAAATTCAGAACACGGTCGATGAGACAGTCCGCGTATTCGGCAAACTGGATGTGCTGGTCTACAACTCCGGCGCGATCTGGTGGTCTTCTGTGGAGAATACGCCCCTCAAGCGATTCAGATTGATGCAGCAAATTAACCCGGAGGGCCTTTATGCTACGATCCAGGCTGCTTTGCCTTATTTTGGAAGGAATGGTTGGAAAGGAAGGATTGTTGTTGTTTCGCCACCGATTTATTCGAGGTTTTTTAGGGGGAAGACGGCTTATGCTATGGGTATGGATCCACCTCAAGAGCCTGATGTTTGACTGCGTGGGAAGTGGAATTGATTAATGATGATATAGGCAAGGTCGGAATGAGCGTTCTCGTCAAAGGTCTTGCTATGGACTTTATCCGCCAAGAGCGCAAGGATATGGCTATTACAAGTATCTGGCCTGCATCGGTACGTCAAACCAGACTCACAACTTACTTGTATCTAGGTAGTCCCGATGTAAAAATCAGACCTATGAACTAACACTGGCCCAGTCAATCGAGTCAGCCGCAACGGAACACAACAAAACATTCGACAAGTCGTACAAGAAAGACCTCAGAAAACCAGTTCGTTACCCGAGCCGTGCACGATAATCTACCTCAGAGGTAGTGTACTACCATATGAACCCGCTAACTCTTGATGTCAGACAATTTTCTCCGACGCAATCCTCGAAATGCTCCGTGCCCCGGCACCAACTGTCAACGGCCTCCTCGACACGGACGAAGACTTCCTCCGCGAAAAATGCGGTGTGACGGATTTCTCCAAATACGCCGTTATTCCGGGATCGACACCGAGGCGGATTATGCCGGTTGAGTTTCCAGTGTTGGAGGTTGCGGAGCAAGATGACGAGGGGCAGAGGATGGATAGTTCGAAGATGAGGGCTAAGATTTGATTGGTTCTCAGTGTAGTAGTGTGGAGAGTGCTGGGCATGTCACGCTGTGTGTGTGTGCTTGAGCTGCACCAGTGGAATCGAGTCTACAGTGCTGTTTGAGGGCAGTTTGTACGGTGGGATTGTGCCAATAGGATGTCCTAATATACTATCCAGTAGGTATTTCCTGGATAGTACAGGGATCGGGTACATCATAGCCAGGCTACTTTGAAATTACTCCCTTGTGAAGTCATAAACAATTGATCCATTCCGAAGATGCAAACCAGACGCCCATGCCGATGCAAAAAGAAATTCAGAAAGAAAAAAGTGAGACGACCGAGATCATCGAATAATAGATCGTGCCCAGACCAGGCAAATCGATAGATAAATCGAATTAAGCCACCGGCTAGATGTGAACGCCATTAAAACCAGAGAAGAGCATGGGCTGCATCTGATATCTCCGCTTTGCCTCAATGCTTAGCCTAAAGAAGAATAGCAAAGCCGGCGATAAAGCCACCGACCAGAATGCAGGTACCATAAACCTGACCCATCTCAAGAACAAAGGGTCGAATACCCGCGCCGGTCGCCTCCTTCGTGTGCAGAGCAGTGGAAGTAGCGGTGCTGGTCGCGGAGGCGGTTGTGGTGGTAGTTACGTTGACGCGCTTGGGGTCCTGGGCACCGCAGGGGTGGTCGGCTCGGCAGGCGGAGACACAGGAGCTGGTGGTGCACTTGTTGGCGCACTGGGTGGCGGCTTCGGTGCAGATGTAGTAGGACATTGTCTGGGAGTATTCGGAGGCATTAGGGGAGACGTTGTTGCTGCAGATACAGGAGTAGGAGAGTGTTTCCTGTGATTGTCAGTACCTTGATGTTTTTGAGGGGTGGTGGGATACTCACGGCAGAGCAGGTATTCTGGGTCGGGCTGCCCGTCGCGCCGGGCAGTTGCAGGCAGAGCAGGGGGCATGAGGCTTGCTGGGAACTGCACCAGCTCTCTGTTTTCTGTTAAATGTGGCTCAGGCATAGCCGGGTGTTTTGGGTGAACTTACCGCGGGTGCTGAGGGGGACGGAGTTGGGTTCGATGGTTTGGCCGCTCACGAGGGTGAGCATCGAGGTCAGGCCCAGCAGGGTCGGGGTGAGCATTCCGGAGAACATGGTGGTGATTGTTGTGGAAACAACAGGTGGGAATGGGAAGTGGTGGGTGTTGGAGGAAGAAAGTGAGGGCCGGCGAGGCAGCCGTGCAGCTAAATACAGCAAGTGTCAGCCGGCTTTCGGTGACACCCTCGTAAAAATAGCGTGGGCGGTGGAATGAAGGGTGGGGGGGGGAGGCAAAGAAAGTGCTGGAATTATGTCTTAGACCTTACTCGGTTGGATTCTTGGGTTTGTTCGAGAAGCCGGAATGAGAATGAGAGCGTTGGAGATGGAGCTAGTACACAACAGTGTGTCCTGGGTGGTACCAATCAATGTACAGCTAGTGCATTGACTGGATTGAGCTGTAGCGACAGACTGTAGAACAGGGCGAGGGGAATGAGAATAGGAAACAAGTGTAGGGGCAAAGAAAAAGGGAGAGGTTCGCCAGATCACGCGCTGTATAGAAGAGCGTACTAGTGCAGCACTAGTGGCCGATGGGGTGATACCACAGCCCTTGGGGCTCCACCTGCAGTGCACTGCGATCTGTTCACAGCTCCAATACAGTGCAGTCGGCAGACAGTACTGCATGCACTCGCAGCATTGCATTGCTCATACAGAAATAGGAGTTCGAAGCTAATGTGGAACCAGCCGAGTGACATGTCGATCTGGGGATAGCAGGCAGCGATGGACCCAAGATCACTCAACCCTGGAATCCGACCCTATTGAGATCAATTGCCCAATACCCACTCCCTTTGAATATACACCACATACAACTACCCTAGGGTAAGTGGCCTCCCTGCACATTCATCACCCGCCATTTGCACACCAACTGGTCTGCACTGCAACGAGGTGAACCGCGAGAGAAAAAGATAAGGGCGATGTCTCAGTTTAGCGGCAATGCCGACCAGCCACGCTTGGCGGCATTCGGTCTAGCGCGCTGCTTGGCTTGGACCCTCGCGAATCCCCGGTGCAGTCGGCGACGACAATCTCAGAGACAGGTGGCGGTGGGGTTCGCTAAGTCTGTATGGCGAGCCGGATGCAGTCTAGTTCTGGCGCGGGGAAGCGTATGGTATGGACTACGTGCGAGGAGCAGGCTGTCGACTTTTTGCGAGGTAAATGGCGGGTTCGAAATATGTGGTGCTCTTTGTTAGTCCCTGAATCATATGTTGACTGCTATTATTAGGTGGTGCATATTGCGTAGATAGCAAGTGGTTGAACACTGTCTATCGTGCCTCGGTCCGTACCCGAGATAATAATGTGGGGAACCCCACAGTACAACGCAGCAACTGGCAACCACGCCCGGCGAGAGAGTACAATGCTTCTACAACACTACACAGGACCAGAGTCAAGACAATCAAGACGGCAATTATATTGGCGCACGATCGCGATTATTAGACACTGGTGACAAAGCCAAGCCGAATCCTCCATTGCAGCGACAAAACAGACCAGTGAAGCCCGATCAACAAGCAATCATTTTGACAAAAAGACCCAGATCACTCATCATTGAAAATTGCTTAATATCTGAGAGGGAGAGGGTCTCACTAAACCTGTGTTTGAGTTGATGCAACGCAAGAAAGCAGACGATCGCCAACTTGCAGCGGCTTACGTAAGACCGCGCCACGCCATTTTCGACCAGCTCAGTCGATCGCTCTCCGTCCAAGCTCCTCTGCGCACTCCGATCTGGGAACCTCACTACCCTGCTTGGACTGGACCGTTCCAAGGTAAGTGTACTGACGCGCGTGCAACCTTGCGCCGATCCTCTTGCTATACGGTCCCCACTCTCCTTTCTGATGAACCAGAGCCGTTGTCACCCCCCGGCCTGGGCCGCCACTCCCCAAGCCACTATACTTGCCCGAAAGGGTATCTGGCCGCAGCTAGATATACCACATACACAGGTCTGCTGAGATAAAAATGATGCTAATGGCTGATTGAATAGCAAACCTCCCACCGTCGCTGACATTAATGGATGGAGCCAGGCACTGAGGAGGCCGCGCCGCGGCAGCCGCCGCACTCTTCCATGACGAACGACACTCCCACCGAACACGATACCCCCGCGCCAGAGTCTCAGGAGACAGAAAGCCAAGCTTCAAGCACGAAATCACGACCACTCTCAGGCGTCGTCCCGCCATGGTGGCAGCGTCACGAGCGGAGCGTCTCGCGCGCCTCGCAAAGCTCGCTCAAGAATAAAATCACGCTTGAAGACCATACGGCGGACCCGGACTCGGAGACGAGTCGTGGATTGTGGGCGCGGAGCGTCGCGATTGATGATCACTCTGTTGTGCAGGGGAAGACGGGGGTCGGCGCTTATGTCGTTTGGAATTGTGTTGTTCAGACTCTGGACGTGAGTTGTCCTCGTTGGTTTGCGGCGTCCTTGGCTAATGTGGTGTTCGTCTAGGGCGGCCCTATCGTCGTTAGAATGAGATACTCCGAGTTCGACGATCTGCGCCAGCGACTTGTTTCTTCGTTTCCACATGCGAGGAGTGCGCTTCCTGCGCTGCCCCCGAAAAGTGTTTTTTGTATGGCCTTCCTCAGAAAAGACCGGTCAATGTCTTCTATACTGAGCAGATTGCTAACTGCAACAGATAAATTCCGCCCCAAGTTCCTAGAGACTCGGCGCGTCGGATTGGAATATTTCCTCAAGTATCTCCCCCTCTCAACTCAACTATATCTTGCATTGACTAACGACAACGATTTCAGCTGCGTCCTCCTAAACCCCGAATTCTCAAGCTCGCCCATAGTCAAGGACTTTCTCTTCCGCCGCATGTCCTAGGAAATACCCATCAGATTGTATGAAAGATAAGTTCAAGTACTAAACTGCAGAATACATCGGAGTTCAGGCATTCGAGACAAATGACTCCGCATAGGACAAGATGTAGTCCATCTTCTAAAAATAATGAATTTTAAAGGAAAGGTCTATCATTTCGACTCTAGCTCGTAGATTGATCGATCCCAGGGTGAGCTCGAGCAAGTCTGAATGTTGCACTTGCAGAGCAAAACTGGTCTGGTGCCAACCGATACTGACAAAAGAAATTAGGTGTAGTGACCGTTAACAATCTTCCAAAAAGGCTAAAGCCAGCAAACCAAAAATGCCGGTTATGGTACAGTCGATCCTGCATATGGTACAGCAATGGGGGATTCCAGGTCCCTTCCCTGATGAAGAGTGAATTAAAGTAGAGATAGCAAAATCTCAACCTTTTGGCGAATCTGAAGTCTTGCTCTCACTCAATATCTCCTATTGGTCACCCGCCAACGAGGAAGAAGACGCCTTGTGTCTAACCTTCGCATCTCGTCCCTTCCTCGTCGAAACCCAATCCCTAAAATCCGCCCAAAAAATCTTCCGAAGACTAATATTCGCCATATGAATCATAGCAACAAAATGGCGCGGACTGGGTATACCGCCCGGAAAAACAAGGTAGAGTCCAGAGTCCTGTCCCTCGTCCGGCCGGAATTTATCATGATATGCCTTCTTCCCGTGGATCGGGAGTCGTTGGAAGGTATGTCCGTACATATCGCGCGTAAGATTCGTGAGCACAGTCCCAGACATTCCCGTAACGTCTTCCGCTGACAGTGCATGAACGGGCTCGAACCCGAACCCCAAATATGAGACGTTTGCACGATGGAGCAGCGCCATGCAGGATACGATGAGTAAATCGCTTATTCCCTTCGGTGAACCCGGAGACGCGATGCATGGATCAATATGGTATCCGCCGCATCCCAGTCTGCGCAGTGCAGCAAAGCCGTTTATCATTCCCGTTGCGGAGCGGGTGTATACGAATGTCATCAGCGAGGGGAGTGCGAAGGGGTCGTAGACGGTGATAAAGGCTTGGGGACCGTTGGAGTCATTTCGTTCAGCACGCCAGTCGTTGTAGAGAGATATGAGGTCTGATTGGAGTTGGGAGTCTGTGCCGTGGATGGAGGGGGCGTAGACGCCGAGTGTAATCCCGCCTTTCTGCGGGTGAAGGAGCTGGCGATTCTGTACAGCGATTCGTTTCCCGCTTGTTTCGTGGAGGACTTCGTTTGTTTGTGGATTTAGGACTCGTTCTGTGCCGAAGCGGATTGTTGTCCAATTGCGTGGTTGTGCGTGCGATGCCACGAATGATGCGCTTGCGCCCATAAATGCAAGCCCCCAGCGTCTTTTTTTGCGGTAGGCGCTGAATTCGTCGACAAGGGTTGGGATCATGGATTGTTCGCAGAGGGGGTCGCCGCCGACGATGGCGATACGATTTTGTACTTTGAATGACAATGCTGCGGTTTGTGTCTTGTTCACAAAGAAGCGGTAGCTGTGATCGAGGATGCCCATGTGTGCTACGCGGCCGTATTGCGCTGTTAGGCGCTGGATGGCTGTCATTGTGGAGAAATCGGTGAGCGAGAAGACGTTTCCTCGTTCAGGGATTGTGTGGTTCGTGCGGAGTGAGGCATTGCTGCGGTACGAGTGGCTCGCCACTGTCCGTGACGACGAGAGGGTTGTTTCTTGGGCATCTCGTTCGTCGAGGCTTGTGGGTGGTGTGGAGCTTTCGACGCCGGTCAGGGTCCGGCTGCTGCTTGTAATTGAGCTGGCGCAAGAGGGCGCTTTGAGGGAGGTGGTGAGGTTTTTGCGGAGGTGGTCGACGACGGAGGCGTTGGAGACGCCGAGTCGGTCGTCTAGTTTGGGTGTTGTGTAGAGTTGATCGACGAGAGCGTCGCCTAGCTCGTCGAGTAGGAGGCTCTTCTTGGGGTTTGGGCCGGAAATGTTGACTGGGTTGGGCTTTCGACCCTTTCTCCCTCGTCTTTTCTTCTCAGATATCACGGCCGTAACACTAATAGGTGTTTGCATGTTGATGTCAGTGGCCTCGGTGACCATGATGGGTGGTGCGATGCCAGTGGGCGTTGGCGCGTGAGAGGCCATGAGTGCTCGTATGGGATACTGGAGTCGTGATTACGGACTGTCAAGAAGACAGCAGATAAATGCCTCAAGGAAAGAGCAGGACCAAGTTCGGCAAGGGAGAGCAGACGGAAAAATAATTGAAAGACAGGGCGGTACGTTGGCGGGAGAGAAGCGAGGCCTTATGTCACGACAGCCATGACACCTCCAGCATCGAACCTTCCCGCGCCTCCTGTTCGGTACATTCCTAGCCAAGCAGGCCCATTCTAATTACGCATCTGCACCACCGCCGTTCTACTGCGCCCCGCTAGAAGCAGACTACCCTGTGGATCGGAAATGGCCGTCCAGGGAAAATAAACGAGGTCGCCAATCAGTATTTCCAGAGCACTCTCGACCACAGGCGCCGCAAGTGTGATCTATAGACCCAAGGTGGGCCCAGCATGGCCAGGGCGGCGAGCGGAACTGACATGATCGGTTAGGGCCGGTCTGACAATACGATGTAATGTACTATTTCAGAATATCCGAGAAAGGAACCAGCGCAAAATGAAACAATTCGCGACGTAAAAAGAAAGTAACATAGTGTCACTTGGGTAGAGCAGGAGGAAACGCTGGTGCCTGCCTTATACCGCAGGGCGACTGATCAAGATGACGCAGGGCTGCTTTAACCTTTCGAACAAGCCTCTGGAGGCTGCCCAGTTTGGTTAGTGCAGGGCGGAGACCCTGCGGATCGTCCGAGAGAACCACGGTTGCCGTTGCTGCCTGGTACGAGTGCGGAATCGGAATGCCCGATCACCTCTCGGCGCGACCCGCGGGCTCCGTGGTCATGCTTGTGATGGAGTTTATTTTAGACATCCCATCATATGGAATCAATGCCCGAGGGCGAAGTGGCTATGTTTGGACTGATCCCTAAGAACATCCGGGTATCCTCATTCGGGCTCGTATAGTGTCGTGCAGTGTGGCTGTGGTGGTGAGATTGCAGTTTCATGCATGCAAATACAGCAGCACCAGATGACCGAAAATATGAAAAGGAGAAGATATGCCAAGCGATCTAGATTCCGGGATTCAAGATTCCGTTGGCCGTATGGCGAGGTTTATTCTGTTGATGGAGGAAGAACACGATCCGAAATTCCGAAGGTGGATACAGCATCGCCCTGGAAGACGCCGCTGGAATACGCCAAGGTGCAGAGGGAAAATTGGATAGACGGAGTCTCTGCAGTAAGTGACTGGGTGCTCTACGCTAGGATTGAGAGGTTCCACTAGCAAGATTATGAGACGATCGGATACCAAGATAAACAAATTCCTAGTCCAATCGCTATTTGGATCAGTATATCAATCGAAATGGTTTATTCATTGAATCAGAGTACGCTCTATAGACGGGGAAAACCAAGGGACTGATTCAAGCCAGCGTCAGCCCTAAATCCAATCAGACCCACCGTGTTTCTTCTGGGTTAGTATTATCGCTGCCTATTCCACTGACTGGCGAATAAGAGAGAGCTATCGCCCGCGCAAATTTCCCTGAGAATAGACTAGACCAGTGGGCCTAGATACGGCGAAACGGCAAATCAGCGAAGCGTGGTGATACATCGCGACCTAGAAATGGCGTGGGATTGTCTGATCGGGGAACACAAGCCGGTATCCATAGCTACACTATGCTAGATAAGGTATATAGACAATAAGCTGATTTGAATGATGTGTGCATCCAAGGTTGCTGGTGCGACATTGCTTTTCCCGCGGCCAAATGCTTCTCTAATTTGAGTGGTGAGAGGTGATTTCTTGTGTAACGAGGAAAGCTTCGATTAGGGTGTGAAACCGGATACACGGGTATTGGAACCAATCGGGAGCTTGATAAAATCCGCCCGGAATTTGTGAGATGGGATGATATCTTGTGAAACATACTCATCGGAGGGTGTCGTAGCGCATTAGTGCCCAGAGTGGCATGTCCTAGTTTGTATATCTGAGCGAAGCCATCATCGGGGTGTGGTATGATGCAAAAGGGATTGTGTTCAGTAATCGGAAAAAAGAAAAAGAAAAAGAAAAAGAAAAAAGCTTAGACGTAGATGAATACTAAGTAAGGCGTCGCTAATTGTGATAGAAGCAATCGGCGACCTCCACTTCTTTTTGACCCCGGGGATCAAAGCCGGCCACATACATCTGTGGTTGTAGATCCTGGGAGAAGGTGCCACAGTAAGCTTACTCAATTTCTCGACTAGGGCAGTCCATGGAGCCAATGACATACTGCCGGTCAACTTTTGCATATTTGATACACAATTGACAGCTTTGCTCTCGTGCTCAAATGTGTTCGCTCGAGGCACACTTTTATTTTTGACAGGGAAGCACCTTTCCCTTGAACTCACAGTGCTACGAATGAAACCACTGACCTTGAATTAACGATTGAAAGGATGGATCAAACCATTGTGTATCTTGTTACCCTTGGGATGGTCATCTTTGGGCATGTCGTAGTGTTCACCTCTGACGTCTTGATAGTAAAAAATCCTTGAAGTCCAGATAATTCTTCGATACGCTGTAGAGCACTTCGAATGTGGATTCATTTAGTTTGTCTCTGCCTAGACTCCAGATACGGCGTATCCTTCGACCGGGGAAATGCCGACATGCGTTTGAATGTAACGCCGACCAAGCATTCCGCACGTGGCAGCGAAGCATGCGCCATGCGTCAGCTTTGATTGGTGAAGAGCGCTCGGACCAGCGCCGCGTAGTGGAGAAGCTAAGTGGTATCGCGTGCACGATTGGTGGATCGAACAAGAGCCTGCCCCACTCCTTGCCAGGTACGACGATGCTAAGCTCCGGCTAGCGAATCTTCGCACCTCCGTTATTAAAATGACATGCTGCAACCGACTGACTATCGGATTTGAGCAGGCGATCGGGCTTCGGCTCGAAAGAAGCTCCTCCACAGGGCGAAGCTAAAGCCAAGCTCCGCTCCAGTATCCGGTTTCGTGGGTCCGTCGTCTGCCCTCCATGGCCTATGAGATTGCTATACCCCTGCATGTGAATGACATATGTATCTCCCATTTGCCTACTGTCCGATAAAGATGATTTACCTCACTGGGAAAGTGGCTGTACCTGATAAGCAGAATTGGAATTGTCGATCGCCTGCCACAAAGCTATAAATTGTTCGCATGTCCACCTGGAAATGATTCTCGCATACCAACCTGTCAAGTTATCTTTCCTTCGGCGCCATCATGAAGGTCAACAATTTGCTTCCTCTCATCGGTCTGTCTGGCACCGCACTGAGCGCCGCTGTCGTTCGCGGAACCCAAGAGCCATGGGGATACAAGTCCGGCTCGAAGGAGTCCATTGCCAACTTGAAAGACAAGGTTGAAAACGTTGTCTGGATCCTGCTGGAGAACCGCGGTTTCGACAATATCTTAGGTGGTGTCCACAAGGAAGGTCTTGATAATGTCGTCAACAACGGCCCCTTCTGCAACCCCCAGTCTGTGAACGAAACCCACAGCAAGGAGTGGTGCAACGCCTACAAAGACTACGACTCGGTCATTCATGACCCGGATCACTCGGTGACCGGCAACAACTTTGAGTTCTATGGCACTTACAACCCGTCCAATGAGGCGATTGCCAGCGGCAAGCTCAAGCCTAACCTGAAGGGCTTCGTCCAGCGCCAGATGGACTCTTACCCGGCAATTTCAGCCAAGCGGGCGACCGAGGAGGTTATGGGTTACTACTCAGAGAGCGAGATCCCGACACTCGTGGAACTGGTCGACGAGTTTACTACCTTCAACTACTGGCACTCCTGCGTGCCTGGCGTAAGTGCCTCGCCCTCAGCCTAGCGAGCACGAACCAAAACTCACAAACACAGCCCACAAACCCCAACCGCCTTTGCGCCATCGCCGGCACCCCCGACGGCCACGGCGAGAACGACGACAGCTTCCTCAAATCCGGCGTCGACACCGCCTCCATCTTCGAAGTCGCCTCGGAGAAAGGTATCTCCTGGCGCAACTACGACGGCACGAACGGCGACTTCCTCCCCGACTCCCTCTTCTTCAACTGGACCGCCCAAAACGCAAAGGAAAACATCGTCCCCATGGAAAACTTCTACCAAGACGCTTACCTGGGCCTCCTCCCCAAACTATCCTACATCAATCCCTCCTGCTGCGGCCTGAATACCAACTCCATGCACCCCTCCGGCAACGTCTCCTTCGGCCAGGTCCTCGTGAAACAAGTTTACGACGCCCTCCGCGCCAGCCCGCAGTGGGAGAAGACTCTGCTACTTCTCACTTACGACGAGACAGGTGGTTTCTTCGACCACGTTGCACCCCCACTTGCTGTTCGTCCTGATAACAAGACGTACACTGAGACTGCTCCAGACGGTAGCACGTACACGCTCAAGTTTGATCGTCTGGGTGGTCGTATGCCTACTTGGTTGATTTCGCCGTATGCGCCGCAAGGATATGTTGAGAACTATGGCGTTGATCCTGTTACTGGGAAGGCTTCTTCGTACACTGCTACCTCTGTCTTGAAGACGCTGGGTTATTTGTGGGACCTTGAGGATCTTTCGCCGCGTGTTAGTCATTCACCGGCTTTTGACCATCTTATTGGAACTAAGGCTCGGGAGTCGGCGCCGAAGACTTTGACGAACCCTCATGTCTTCCCTGATGCGGTTTAAATTGTACATATTGTGATGATAATGACGAGTATGTGGGGATTTAGGGACAATTGTATTGTATTGATGTTTGATGTTTGGTACTTAGAAAGCATTCTTAATAGAACCTATAAACCAGTATAAATAAGTGTCGTGATAAACAATCAATATCCAACATTGTATCAGTCTAAATCTAGCTCATACATTCATTATGTCCCGAACAGTAAGAACCACCTCATCTAGCATCTTCTGCTTCTCCTGACTAGAATCCACTAAAACAACATCATCCTCATCAATCGGATCCTCCAACAACTCAAGCTGCGAATCCACCATAAACGACTTCATGTAATGTTGCTCAGCCGCCGACCGCTCATTCATACGCTCAGTCAACTGCGCCTTATCCCGAATATCAAGCATCAGGAAAGTCACAGTAACCGGGAAGTCGAAAAGCCGACTCAACCTCCGAAGCTCATCGCGGTAGACCGTACGCAATGCAGAGCAGGTCACCGAAACTGCCGGCACGGCTGAGCTTATTAGTCGGTCCATGACTGCACCACGGATATGAGCGAGCCAGTCCCAGCGGTCGGAGTCATCGAGTGGAATATTATTGGCCATTTTTTGTCGCGCGAGAGGAGAGTGGAGGCTATCGCCTTCGATCGCTGGGATATCCAGCTGGGAAGTCAGGGCTTGGGCGGCAGTCGATTTTCCACACCCGCATGGTCCGATGAGGAAGATGATTTCGCGGGCAGAGACTGGTACTCGTGGCTTTGTCCAGCACTGAGTGTCGAGATATTGAATGAATTGCGAGGTAAAAGCGGCATTCAGACCATGTGCATTGGCAAGAGCCGGGGATGCGGCTTGTGCATTCTTGGTGTCATAAAGAAGAGTGCGAGTCGGGCTATCGTTGTCATATTTAGACGCGAAGAATTCAAGAAGCTTGATGGGCGGATTGACCTCCGGATCTTGGTCGGATTCACGAAGTCTCCGAAGCCAGGCTCGCTTGGGAAGCTCTTCAAACTCAAGTCCAGCTTCGCGCAGAAGAGGTAAAAAATCCTGCGACCAGTGGTTGAGTGTTGGATTCGTCACATTCATGACATCTGCGGCGGTAGGAGCCAGGCTCAGATCAATGATACTTGAGGCCATGACATCGACTGGAGTCCAGGATAAAACATCGTCGAGTCGAGGTAGAGCCCTGATGGTTTTCGCGGTTTGGAGTATCATTGGAATGGCCTCCGTCGCGTTCCAGATACCGTGGGTTTGATCCGCGACGATCTGTCCGGCGCGCAAGACCCTCGCTGTCATTCCGGTCGAGCGAGCGGCACGATTCACGATGTTCTCTGTAACCAGCTTGGATTGAGCATATCCCATGTTCTGGGCATGACTCGGGGAATCAGGAAGGGATTCGCGCACCCAGTTTCCTGGAGTCCGTGCCACAGTGCTGACGGAGGAGCAGAATGAAAAGGAAGCTGGATGAGGAGATTCTGCACTCAGGCACAGATTGAGGAGGTTGCGAGTAGCAGCGATGCAACCTTGCTCAAAGCTCTCCAATGCCCAGTTGAAGTTGACGGACCAAGCACAGTGGATGACGGAAGTGACGGTTTGTTTGATCTTGGAGAAGGCGTTTTCGTCAAGACCGAGACTCGCAGAGTCAGAGAGGTCTGCAGGAAGAGCGACAATTTTTCGCTCAGAAACGGATGACAGGGTCAAAAACAGATTGCGCTCTCGCAAGCTTTGAATAACACGCTTGCGGGCGGCGGTTGAAGACTTCGCTCGTACGAGGCAGTAGACTTTGCGCACTTTCTCCGATTTCACGAGCTGGGAGACGATATGGGCACCCAACGATCCAGTGGCCCCAGTCAAAACGATATGCTTACCATTGTCCTCACGTGGAACGGGGACGTGTGTCTTGAAAGTACTGCTGTATTTGTCGATGAGAATTTGCATTCTCTCCTCAGCGGGGATCTGCTCCTTAGGCTCGCTTCCTGAGCGCAAACGAGTGATTTCATCCGCCATAGCCCGAAGCGAGGGGTTTTCGAAGGCAAAGTTCTGTGATAGCCTCTGACCGCCAATGTCAAGTGTCCGGACAATAGAAGTCCGCAGACGAATTGATTGCAGACTGTCAATTCCCAGAGTGAAGACATCCGTTGTCGAACCCAGAGATGCAGGGTCCAGGGAAGGTGCAATCTCAAGCAGAGCCTCACGAAGGAATTGAAGAAGCTCTTCACCTTCAAGCTTTTGATCACCATTGACATCAGAGGTATCGTAAATATCGTTGATCCTCTGTTCAAATTCCTTGTAGAAAGCAGCTCGAATAACAGTACCCTTGTCAGTCTTCTGGTAACCAACATCCTTGGGAAGAACAAAGATCATATCCCGCGAGACATAGGCATAAGCCGGAGACTCAGCATTACACTTCTCGATATCCGGGAAAACAGCATCCATTAGCTCGTCGTCAGTCTGGAAGTGAGACCTGTCCGACGGAATTATGAAAAGACCAATGCGCGGCTTCCCACTACCAAAAGCGATCGCTTCCGCGATATTGGGATTCTTGCGAGCAACACCCTCGACAGCCAATGGGTTCGCCTTCTCCCCATTTTCCAGGACCAGGGTATCGTCGAGCCGGGCGTAGTATTGCCAAGCATTGGGCGTGGTGGGGTGCTTCTTGAAAAGGTCTTTGGTCGCATAGGAGTTGTCGGGACGATTGCTTGCCACCTTGGACGGCCAGCCCTCTGTAACGCAAAGTTCGTAGATTCCCGGCATTCCGGGCTGTTCTTCCCAGCGCAGGAATGGCAACAGCGAAGGACCGGGTCGAACATAATCCCAGTCCAGATCTGAACGGTCGCGGAAGGAGGTCATCAATTGGCCTGTCTCCGTTGTTCCATAATGAGAAACGAGGCGCACGCCGTTTTGGACAAGGGTGTCTCCAATTGGTTTGGGGCAGGCGGAGCCACCGAACATGACAAGTTCTAGACGTGCCATTCGTTTAAGACCGTCCTCGGTCTCCGAAAGTAGCTTCAGCGCGTAGGGGACGGCGTACAAAATCTCGATCTCCGGGTGCTCGTTCAGTGTGGAGAGAAGGGCAGTCGCAGTAAGCGGCAAGCTGGCGTTGTACATGTAAATGAGCTTCTGAGAATGCATCGCACGAAATAAGCAACTGATGCCGTGGGCGTGAAAAAGTGGCAAAGTGATGAAGCCCTTTAGTCCGAAGTTGTTGGCGTAGTTCTTCAATGCTCCGGAATGGGTCTGGTAGATAGGCTTGGGTGGACCCGTTGAGCCGCTGGAGTGGATGACCCAAGTAATGTGCTTGTTCTCGGTAGGGCCGTGCAGATCCGCGACGGGCAAGCGGGCTGAAGAGACGGATGTAGAATTCACATCCATTGTCACCACGACTGGGAGGTGTGTGGTAGTTGTCCGTCTGGCGACATTATCCCCCATTGTTTGGAAGCTCGGGTAGGTGATGAGGAAGCTGGCCTTGGTGGCCTCGACCAGACTGACGTACGCATCCTCGGCGATGCGAGTTGATAGAAGGAGGACGGTGTGACCCAACCGTGACACAGCTAGCAAGGTGATGAGGTATTCGAAGTCGGAAGGTCCCAGCAATCCGACTACTTGGACAGGGTGATTTGAGGATAGTCGTTGAGGGATGGTTTTCGCATAGTGCACAGCTGCGGATTCAACGAGGAGATCCAACTACTCTCGTCAGTCTCCAGCTTCCCAAATGACAGATGCTGCTTACCTGGTATGGGGTATAATAGACATAGTCAGTTCCTGACGACGGATAGGCAACGATAGGATCATGCGCCGTCTCTCCCGAAGCTCGCGTTCGAAGAAGATCGTTGACCGTATAGATAGCCTGCTTGAAGGTGGCATCAACGCCAACCGGAGGAGTTGACGACTGCACATTCGCGTTATGCAGTGCAGAAGCTGCCGGTGAAGCGATGACGGAAGCTGCCATGTTAAAAACGGTATGGACAGCGCTTGGTAGGACGGAGTACTGGATGTCGACTGCCTTTTAGATCACGCTTGAAACAGCCCAGATACATTCGTCAAATCTATTCCTCCGGTTTTCCGGCTCGGGATAATTTTGCATGCATCAGATATTCTACAGGACCTATTGTAACTCCTGACCAGACCTCGCTCCATCTTTGCGGGGATTTTCTTGGTGCCTGCCCCGAGCTCCGATCCGGTTGTAATGACGATCACCTTTTCCGCCACTCCGATGGATGCCGCCCCACGCTGAATGACGGATCTGTAGGTTAGCGGGGTAGACTTGGTCGACCTAAGAGAGTGGGAAAGAGCATGCGGCGCTGTGGCCAGTCCAATGGGAGTTGGTTGAGCGACGTCGCGGAGAATGGCGGAATCGCGTGGGCTTTTCCGACGAGGTATGGACAGCGGCGAAACCATCACCGGCGGATTCGCCGTTGCTTTTCCGTCAGTTTCCGCCAGCTCTCTCTTTATCGACTTCGGGCATGCCAGTGCGATCAGGCTAACGCAACTGATAGTGGTGTAATTTCTTACAGTAAAGGAAGGAAGATAAAGGTTGAACTTCGAAGGCTGAATTAAGATACTGTGACATGGCAGGTTGATTTTATTTCATTGAATTCTATGTTGTAACCGATTCGTAATGATGTAAAAAAGAAATTCTTAAGCAGTAAACTTCTGCTTGTTCGCAGGACCAGCATCAACAGCAGCCTTGCGCACAGCCTCATCACCAACTTCTTCAAAGATATCCACACCCCAAATAGCAGGGAAGTTGAATCGCTTGTGGCGCTCAAGACCATTCAGCTTCGCATAAGCATCTTCAGGCAGGGAGCGCACCTGCAGGTTGGCAGCAATGCGCGAAGGTGTAACGCTCTTAGAGAGCACAACGGTGCCGCGCTGTACACCCCAGCTAGCAAGCAATGGACCCGGGTCCAGCGAGAGATCCTTCGAGACCTCGGCAACAAGAGGATCGTCAACGGTGCGAGGCTCGCCGATCTGATTGTTTCCGAGCGGAGAGTAGGCCTCTACAATAATTCCCTTGCTCTGGCAGAATTTTAGAAGCTCGGCTTGCTGGAGGTACGGGTGTGCTTCGATTTGGTTGGTGGCCGGAACTACGGAGACTTGGCTGAGCAGTTCTTCCAGTCGGCGGATGTTGAAGTTGGAGACGCCGATCGCCTTGACTTTACCAGTTTCCAGAAGCTCCTCCATGGCCTTGTATGTTGTGACATAGTCGTTCTTTTCCAGTTCGAAGACTCCGTCGTCGTTCAAGGGGAACCACTTGTCGCCGCCCTTGAAGGCACTGGGAGGGATCAGTAAGAGATCTAATAGTCCGTCGAGAAAGAAAACCTACACAGGCCAGTGCATAAGATAAAGATCAAGATAATCGATACCAAGATCTTTCAGTGTCTTGTTGAGTGCGGGCTCAACATCCTCGGCCTTGTGCTTTGTGTTCCACAGTTTTCCGGTGATGAAGATCTCCTCACGAGGCACGCCGGCCTTCTTGATTCCCGCACCGACCTCGGTTTCATTGCGGTAGATTGCAGCGCAATCAATGTGACGATATCCTTGCTTCAGAGCGACCTCGACGGCATTTTCAACCTCGAGCGGCTTTGCCTGCCAGGTACCGAAGCCGACGGCGGGGACTTTGGCGCCGGTGTTGAGGGTGAAGTGAGTCTGAATTGCCATTTTGAGGAAACTTAAGATAAGATGAAGCAGCGACAACTAATGAAGAGACAACACACTTTTCTATCAATATTTATCGCGTTCCAGAGGCCGTTTTTCAATCTGGTGGGTTTCCTCCCTCACGTCGGAAAAGTAGCAGTATTGGTGGGTCTGAAATTAGCCGCGGATTCTAATCCAACAAAGAGACCCTGGGAACTTCAGGAACAAGAAATCCGACATAGATACGACAAGCTATCCGTTTGTCAGCACCCCGCAAAAAAGCGGGGTTATCGGCTGCATGTCGCGATGGCCACAAGTTTCCAATCTTTGCGACCGCATCAGGAGCATATTCAATTCTCGAGACAATGACCTCGATTCCATCATTTGACGAGCTTCCTCTGCGCAAAGATGGCCCCCCTGGCAATGCGTGGGGTCTCTTTGGGGAAGGCGATCAATGTGGCATGTTGAACCGGCTCACTCCGAGTGTCGTCAGCGATGCCTCGAAAGAAATCAAAGAGGGTGTCCGTATTGCGACGGATTTGCCCTTGGACTTCATGGACAAGCCATGTTTCGGCAGGGAGCCATTCCGACAAACAATTAAAAACAAAGCTCCTCGATCAGTCAATGATGATACACTTGTGTTGAACACACAGAGTAGTACGCAATGGGATGGCTTCAGACACTATGGCTACCAAGGGAGCAAGCAGTGGTTCAACAATCATTCTCTAGAAGATTTGTTGACTACAAATGTAAATGGTATTCATGGTGAGTGATATTAAATCGCTGGAGTATGCAAGCTGGCCTAATATGTTGTGACACAGCATGGGTCGAACAAGGAGGAGTCGTAGGCCGTGGAGTATTACTAGACTACGCAGCTTGGGCGGAAGCCAAAAATATTCCTGTCGAGCACTTCACGCCACATTCGATTCCAGTCTCAACACTCAAGGAAATCGCAGAATCACAGGGCACGGAGTTCAAACAAGGCGATATCCTTTTCATTAGATCTGGATGGGTTCGGGCTTTTTCCAAACTGTCCTCCGAAGAAGCGACCGCATTGGCAAATATTACCGTCCTGCCTGCTGTGGGAATAGAGTCTTCTGAGACGACACTCCGCTGGCTGTGGGAGACTGGATTCGCCGCTGTTGCCGGTGATCAGCCAGCCTTCGAGGCATGGCCGTGCCAAAATACAATGTATATGCTGCACGAGTGGCTCTTGGCGGGGTGGGGGATGCCAATCGGAGAGATTTTCGATCTCGAGAAGTTGAGTGAGGAATGCAGGAAGCGTGGGAGGTGGTCCTTTTTCTTTAGCAGTATGCCACTGAGGGTAAGACTCACAAAGGTCCCGCTTTGTTGTTTGAACTGTTACTCACTATTTCTGATCAGGTTCCTGGCGGTGTTGCCAGCCCACCAAATGGTGTGGCTATCTTCTAGCTACATTTTAGGCTCATCGGAACCTTCCGAAGCTTCCATCGGATATTGAGGATTAATCTAATGCGAATGAATAAAAACAAGGTGGCAAAGTGGACAATCAGTTCGTTCTCCAAAATGCCAAGACCATCTCTCCTAAGCGGCCCCCCAAAGTTCATGCCGAAAGCGATCACCAAAGTTGTATGGGCGTTGCCAATGTGGCACTTCCTGAGAGAAGTGCACGTAACCACGCAATCTTTCCATGGGCTAATGAATTTCGATGATGAGAATTTCATGACATCGGGGGTGTAGACTTCGGTGCTTATTGCAAAATGCCGATGGCGTAATAATATTCGCTTTCTATTTCTGCTCTGGTCTATATACACTCATTTCAAATCCATTGGTGAAAGGTAGAGTCATATTCTGGAACGCATTTTCTGGAGCTTGCAGGAAAGCCAGCAAGTCAGCGTAGCCCTTTGCCCCAGAAATTGTGTTATCAGTGAGCACAACGGCACCTGGCCTCATACGAGGTAAGACAGTCTTCAATGTTGGGAGAGAAAGTGCCGACCAAACTGTGGTTGATATTAATACAGGGCAATTAGAAAAATATTGCTACGTGTGACTTACTATCCAGTAGTAACAGATCAACCTCTGGCAGATCCGTTTTCAGAGTCTCAAGCAGATCACCCTCTCTCAGGTCAATCTCTTGCTCGACTTCTGGACCACACTGCGCCCAATATTTTCTTGCGATCACGGCTTTTTCCTTCTCCTTTTCGGTCGCAATCACAACGCCCGATTTACCAGTGGCGGCTTTTGTTCTGGCGATAGCGAGGGCTAGGTAGATGGTACTGACACCGAAGCTGGTACCTGCTTCGACGACGTTGGTCGCACCCTTGGCGTTGATCAATTGATATGTGAATTGGCATTTGTCTTCATCCAAGGCGATGAACTTGTCCAGCATGAGACGATCAAAGTCATCCTTGGGCTCTTTCGCTGACTTTTTATCTTCAAGGTCACGAAGTACATCCGAAGAGAAGACTTTCTTTCCAGTTTTCGAAATGGTGGCTTCCTGCTCCAATGAGATCTGGTGTAGCTGCGAGAGCAGCTTCAAGATATGCGGTGCCGCTATAACGGGGGACGATGACATATTTATAGCTCGGAAGACCCTGAAGGCTTTCCACAGAGTGATTTTGTGCCTGAGAAATAGCTTGTTTGGCTTTCGGAGTGCGTCGGGAATGACCTTGCAGATATTCGCGGGAGTTGTGGTAAGGACGGATCGCCCGATCTCTTGATTATTATATACTCTGCGTATGTTCGGTCTTGGCATTTTGGAGAAGCGGGTCTGATACTGGAGAAACGGCCTGCCTGCAGAACAAGCACATCACTTGGGATAACAGATTATTAGGCGACGAAATCTGCAATCACTGCGGATTCTCTGACTTTTTATTCTGCTTTTGACTGTCAGAAAATATAAAACACAATGTCGACCCGCCATCCAACGTGAAATATCCTCGAAGCAATTGGAAACATACGCTGTGTCGAGCTACAGCATGTCGCGCCCCAAAGTTGCGCCCGCGTGTTCGTCAAACTAGAGGGCTTGAACCCAACTGGATCTTACAAAGACCACATGGCAATATCAATGATCGAAGAAGCCGAGCGACGGGGCGATCTAGAGCCGGGCATGATCGTTGTCGAAGCTACTGGAGGCAGTATCGGCTCCTCTCTTGCTCTTGTCTGCGCCATAACAGAATAAACTTCACCGTGATATCCTCCAATACGTTTGCGGAGGAAAAGCTGGAGACAATGGCTGCTTTTGGAACGACCGTGGATCTCGTCCATAATCTAATAGGGAAAGTCACACCCGAGCTGATTCCCTCTATGCGCGAACGGGCCAAGGAGACTAGCAGAAAGGACGGGTGCTATTATACAGAGCAGTTTAGCCACAAAGATGTACTGGCTGGCTATTAGGGCATGGGCCGTGAGCTAGTCGAGCAGATCCCCGAGGATATTGATGTCGTCTGCGGTGCTATTTGTGGTGCAGGGATGACCATGAGAATGTCCAAGATTCTGAAAGAAAGCCATCGGCAATGCAAAGTGATCGCTTTGGAGCCTGCCTCTTTGCCAATGCTTACGAATGGACACGGCGGCTCACACTATTTGGAAGGTATTGGTATCGGGTTCCTTCCGATTGTTTTAGACAAGACCCTCTACGATGATGCCCTTGCTATTGATGAGGCTGAGGCTCGTGCTATGGCCCATTGATTGGCGAAAGAAGAGGGCAATTTGGCAGGTACCTCTACCGGCTTGAATGTGACAGCTGCCATCAAGCTGGCAGAGCAGCTTGGTCCTGGGAAGTTTTTGGCCAGTGTCGCGTGTGACACTGGTCTGAAATATGTTCGAGGCTATCTTTTCACGAAGTAGATGTATCCGACTAGAAACAAAGAATTCCTGTATCTACATTTCAGTATATACACAAACATTATATATCAATGGAAACACATTCACTGAAGAGAGCTCCCGAGTATTTGCAGATCCCGTGGAATAACAAGGTGGAGATCGGCTGACTGTTGTAGGCATTAAATTTGGGCGTGCCCCCATCATCGTCGACAGGCTGCGTTGCGCCCAAAACGTCACGGTAAATTTCCTTTTGCCTGTTGATGGCCTTGGCAACACCCAGGGTTTGGTATAGAGGAAAAGCGCCCTCTTCTGTTGATTGCAAATTCGCAAGACCCTGTAACCAATTTTGAATCTCGAGACCCAGAGAATGGCTTCGACATCGGAGAAGAGCAGTCAACAAGAGACCCGAGAATCCGATGGTATAGTTGTTCATTGTAAGTGACTTTTGCATATCGGTTCCTTTGACAATTCGAAGTAGTAGAAGTGTCCATTCTTCCTCTTCGGTGAATTCGTGTGCAGAAGGGGGTGATTCATTCATTCGTAGAGCTTCCAGCAGTCCCGTACACTGCATGATCCGTCCCACCACGTAGTATGCATAGTTCAGCGCTGCTTCGTGCGACTGAAAGTGGATTGAGTTTTCTTGGAGATTCATTTCGGAACCTTCCAAGTGACCGTGATTCTCTATTGGCAGGTCAGAGGGAGGGAGCTCTGAAACCCATATGTCCAGTTCGCTGCTTTGCATAGCAAGTTTCGAAATGGTTTGCGTGTAATCTTCAACTTCTCCCAAATGCTCTTGGTGTTCTGAAACTTCTGTATTCGTGGGCTCCCAATGTTTCAGCACCCTTTGAAAATTCAGACGGTGTGACTCGCACATGATACCCAAGACAGTTACCCTTCGCCTGTGGGGGGAGGCAGAGCCGTCTTGGAGTAACTCTGGCAAAAGAGCAGACGGGAGATGCTGCAGCACCTGCAACGAGCAAAAGTAGGCGCGGCCCCACCAAACCACGATTCTGATTTGCAGCCATGCTGCTAGCAGAGCCTCCAAGGTCGGATCTTTCAAGCTGACGTTGAGGTTCAAAAGCAAGCTGGACATCCCTTGGTCATGGCAATTGAAACCGTGAAAGTTCCCCATCGAGGACTCGATGTATGCGAAGATCGTCAAGACTGTCAAGATCACTATGGGGGTGTTCTGACACTCGTATTCACTTAAGGCAGTGAACTTGCGAATCGCTTGGGAGTAGTAAAGCTGGCTCCTAGTCTGATGAACAAGAGCTGGACTAAAGTAGCCCATGTAGCGGTTCGTCGTGTCTTTGATGTCTGGATGGAGGCGGCTGAAGTTGCACGAAGACAAAGCTAGGGTGGCATCCCTGAGCATTGAGTCTTCGCTGCAATGCCTAGAAAGGGCCTGGAACATGGGGTGCATAGCTGGAAGACAAAAATCTTGCCATATCGTAGTATAGAATACATCTCGTTCGGTGTGTTGAAGAGATTTAATAATATCAAGACTTCCCACAGACGGCCTGTCTGCCAGGGACTGTTCTGTCGGGGACTGTTCGGCAGCCGTTTTCGACTCAACATATTGTCCCAGAGAATGGATATTCTCAAACTTCCGAAGGGGCTTTGATCGTTTCTTCGAAACCTTCGCGTCCACGAAGCAGAACCTGAACTCTGGTCGGTAGACTTCGCAAGTCTTGCCTAATCTAGCACACGTCCGGCAAGTTGGCTTTCTTTCGTCGCACTAAGAGAAATGAGTAAGACTATTTCTCGCGCCTTCTTCCATTATCTAATGAATAAACCAACCTTGGTCCTTCTCTCGCGGCAATTTTTGCATCCATAGCGCGACCGGACGATGTTGGTTTTCTTCAGCCTTGGGGGAGCAGGCCCGTACATTTTGGCTTAGTCGATACTAACCATCTCCGCGTCAAATGATCGAGCGGTCGTGAGAGAGATGATGATGGCACGTGAGAACTTGAATCTTTCTAGCCGATGAAGCCGAGGGCGAATGAATGTCTGAGTATGAGTCAACCAAGATCGTCAGGATTCCCGCCCATAAAGCCTGCGCCGGTCCGTTTCCAGCCGACTGAACCGGGATTCAATTAATAAGACATCGCCGGAGGTATTTATCGCCTTCGGGCTCGCGATCAAGGGACAAAGTCAGGTGAGAACACGCTTGGGAATGCAGCGGAGGATGCTGGATCCACTGCGGCGAGAGTCACCTGATCTACTCCGGAACAAAGTTTGGCGCTCGAGTGAAGTCAGAAGTATAGTATAAGCCACTGGATCAATTTTAACATATGAACATCCATTTTTTTCCATAAGTTACTGTCCGAGTAGCGTGGTACCACTGTCGGTTATTGGTCTTGTACTATCACTGACAACATTTTACCCAAATGCCACTCAAGAAGTGTGGTGGTAACTCCAGAAATATATTCGCAGACATAACCATAATGATGCACTACGGGAACACTACACTAGTAGTGTCGTTTTTGAAGGCCTCTACGACGGAAGCTATGAGGGTTTGCGTGGACAGCCAGAGCTCAGTTAACTTTTTTCTTTCGTGTTGATACCCTGTTTTCCAGATGGTTGATCAAACACTGACAGACGAAAGGTTACTAGAACTACGAAAAAGTTTCATATTTATAACACTTGATGCAGCTTCATCCACCGTACAAGATTAGGAGTGGCGATATTACCAGCTACGTAAGTGATTATTCACATGGCTCTTCAATTGAACGTTCAGAAGACGGTTTAGGCGACTGTTTTGATGACATTTATGTAGGGGGAGTCAGATTGAGGTACTGATCTCTATACTTCAGACATCAAGCCCTACTGAGATTGAAAAGTAAGTTTTGGCCGGTATAACTTCCGTCCGTCTAGCCATTACTATAATGCACAAATTGAAATGTCATTCTGTAGATTCCATGGAACTTAGATAGCGTGTGATTTTGATTTCAATTTAATGCAATGCCGATACGCTAATCTCTACTCTTTGAGCCATTGAATGATCCGTTCAAGTAGTTTGACACCATCAGTGGGCTTGTCCAGTTTCTCAAATTCCTTCTCCAATTGCTCCGTAGAAGTTTCCGTTGTACCCCCCAAAAGCATCTTCTTGGCCATATCATTCGAGAGCTTGGGATGGGCTTGGAAAGTGGGGACGTTGTTTGTTTCGTTGACGAAGCACTCGTGATTCTCTGCCAGGAGAATGAAGCTGGGGGCAGGTGTTGCAAGTTTGCTGACATGAAACTCTAGGGTTCGCTTATATTTCATAGGTTTTAGGAAGGAATGGGTTGTAGATCGGTCAACTCACGTAGAGCCAGATGTCGCGGCAAACGGAAAGAACTGTTTTCCGGCTTCCGTGAGGTGGATATCTTCAATAGTAGCCTATATTAAATTTCATGAGGGCCTCGCACTTACAATAGGCCCCATTGGGGCTGCGCGAACCTGTCCACCAAGTGCCCGAGATACAGCATTGTGACCCCAGCAAATCCCAAGAATCTTCGTCGCAGGGAAGTCTCGTGCGACCATTCGCACATACTCCAACACATCAAGTACCCAAGGCAAAGAGTAGGATACATCTGCCATTCCACCACTGAGAACCACCAAATTATATTTTGACGCGTCAGGAAACTTGCGCTCGACTAACGGATCGTAGAGATCGACCGCGGCTGTTGGCGAAACCAAAGTAAATGCCTTCCGCCAGGACGTCCGAACATCTAACCAGAAGTTGAGATTTTCCGGGGGAAAACAGCAATTGGGAGAGAGTTGTTGGAGGCCATGATGTGATTGTGTTGGTTTGGCAATGGAATAAATCTAAGAGGCGAGATAAGTTCTTGGGATTCAACTAGGCCTCTCGCGGACTGCATGCTCTAATATACACACCATTTCCATTGCCGCGAGAATATAGCGGTCTCTTTTCTTTTTGTTTCATTTCACTCGTCCCTCGTTCTCGAAGACTATTTAGGGTATCACCAAGAAGGTTTGCGCAGAATTACTATGCTCAATGATCGGCCGTGGACCGACTCGTTTGGTGTTGAACAAAAAGGGGGGCGCCCCGTGTCGTGGACACGGTCAAACAGAGGTATGAGGTGCAGGACTATTCAGGTGCTCCAACACGCCCCGTCTGCACCCATACTCTCAGGATGGGCCAGGAAAGGCGGCTCAAGGGCCCAGCGGACACTGTATGAGACTTATGAAACATGTGACAAATGACGGAAAAGAATCGCTCGAACTCAGGGTCGAACCTGCACCATGCAAGAGAACAGGCCGGGCTCATAACCTGTTGAACAAAAAGGGGGCGCCCCGTGTCGTGGACACGGTCAAACAGAGGTATGAGGTGCAGGACTATTCAGGTGCTCCAACATTTGGAAATTGTGGACCGGCGCTATACCCAATGGGGAGCGATGGTTGGCAAGCCTCGTTTAGTGAGTTCTGGTTGCACTTGAGGCCTTTTGTCCTTTATAGTCAACGGGAGCGATTGTAACCGGTTAAATCTGGGCCTTAGGTAAGAAGAACAATTATCATTGCCCTAGTGCACCGTTAAGGTAATGGCCTCGAATTGAATCGGTTTCTAGATTGCCCGACGGGTGACGGGACTCTAACGTACACTGAGTATCTGCGTCGTAGCAAATGATGTATCGGATGACTCATCCTAGTTCATTTTCATCTGATTGACTGTTGGGGGCAAGCCTATATAAAGCACCATCGTTAGAAATTAAATCCAATATTATTCATTTTTCAATATCGAGACTTCGCACCTCTCCTCGAGGAACTCCTTGAGCAGGATGTTCTTGCCTAGCGTTCATGCAGAGGAAAACTCCGCAGTCCTTCTCCAGTTTATTCACGAAAAGCCGCTGTGACTGCTTATTACCGGAATTGACTCCTCTTTCGAATTCCTGCAGTGCACCCACATCCACTGCGTGCTGGACCTCCCCGAAGAAGCCGGAGACTCAGCGGCAAGCAGGACCACTATATGACATCCAAGTATTAAGTCGAGTCCAAGCCCAACTAGGGAAAAGTTGCCCCGACCTGAGACTATTTTGTAGTTCAGGTGTATGGTAAACTCTCCTTGTATTATGACTCAAAGACGCCGGAAGCGGGACAGTTTCTAGCGAAGAATATTCGAGAGCTCTCGCAGCACACCGAGAAATCAATCATGGGATAAATGGCGGGGAGGATCCGCAGCTTTGGAAAGTTGAGGATGCCCCTGAGAAGTACATCGAGTTGATGCAGCGGAACATTGTGGGAATCGAGATTTGAATTGAATAGATTCAAGTAAAGTTCAAAATGAGCCAGGGGATGGGACCCGGTGACCGCCAAGGCGTGGTCAATGGATCCGCGAGATTGGGATGTGAGACCGGTCAAGCTATCGAACTGTGTGAAGGAGCGCAGCGCAATCCATGATAAGAAGAAGCAGAAGAACTAGGAAGCCATCGGTGGCCATGTATTCAGATTGAATATTAGAGAGAAGTTTCATCCAGTATGAAATTGATGCACATAGGATCTTGCTTTGAGCAGTCGCACTGCAATTATTGGGCAGATCCTGAATTAGTACACACGTCCGCGATTATGCCCCCTGCTCCAAAATCTGGGCGTATGCCTCTAGAATCTGTCCGATCATCCGCACAACATTCCAGACTGCCTTCCCACTCAATATCCTGGCCCAGATCCTGATGACACGAGGGCATAGATCTGAGCCTGAGATTCTTGATTCGCCTCCCGCTTCGGCCTCCGTGACCATATCGACGATGTAAGCATACAGCCTAGCATCCTCCTCATCGATAGCACCTTCAGATATATGGGGCTCGATTTCAATCAACCACTTGCTGATGATAAAGGCGCACTCAAGCGCACAGAGAGAATGTTGAAGTGACCAGGAAAAGGCTTGGTTGTGTGTCACAATATTGATCCCAATTTTAATCGGAATACTGAGAGCGTGAGCTGAGTATAGGACAGCCCGACTGAGTTTCCGACTGGTCGTTATCTTTGGACTTCGATGCATGGATATTGCGATAGCGTAGGGATCGTGGGTGTTTAGAGCACGCCATGGGCCGAGATCGACATTGAGTCTTATGTAGGCCATGCGAAGTAAGGCGGTTGAATTGAATGAGATCGGTCCAAGAGGGCTCAATGGACCCAGGAATGATTCCGGGTCTTGGTTCCATGCACTTTGCCAGTTTCGTAAGGCTTGCTCTACCTCGCTGATATCAGCAGGGGTTATTTCTTGATCTCCTTCAGATCTGCGTTTTGCGACCGTTCGCAGGAAGTAGATGTGCTGAATCAGTGCAAGTATGAGAGTATAGCTACCCAACGACGAACAATACCCTGCTTGCGTTTCTGGGTTGGACAAGAAAAGCAAAGAGAACTGAGTTTGGAATAGGAGTTCAGGGTCATGCTTATTGCGAGCTTCCTTCCACTTCTCTTCACTCTCTGCCTCCCAGTCCTTCTCGCGCGAGGGCAACTTTATGTTGAGTTCTGAGTTGAGAATTGGTGGAGGAAGATCATACACAATCGTATGAAAGACGAAAAAGCAGAAAATGATGACAACAGTCCTCCTAAAGCTCTCTTCTTGTATCCAAATGTCCCATGACGAGCCTCGACATATCTGGTGATCTAGAAGCTTTTCGGCTCTCATGTAATTTGCCAGAATGTTCTGAATTCCGACCGCCTCATCGAAAATTTCTTCGGAATTTCCCCATGTTGCCATTGCCATGAGGATTAGCAATGTCTGCGCGAGGGGAAGTGGGTCAAAATGTTCTGGGATTTCATCCTCACCAGCGGCATGAGATTGATTTTGGGCAGGAGACCAGGGCCCTGGCAAATTTCCATTGTGTGGTGATTGCGCCGAGGTTCCCACCCTGGTACGGAAAACCATATAGTGTCGCTGGTCCTTGCGAATACGAAGTCTCTCTTGAGCTATCGCAAAAGAGGCCCTGAATAACATGATCGCATTGTGATGGTCAAAGGCAGACTGTGCTCCGATCGTCGCCATGGCCAGGATCAGTTCGACAGGACACCTTACGCCCGAAAACGTCGGTATATGTAACATCGGCAAGTGTCGGTGGAAGCCGGTGAGGTAGGTTGTGATATAGCGTGTTATTGTGTGTCGCGAAGGGAGGAAGAATCCATGCGGGAGAGAGGAGGCGAACAGTTGAACCCCAGAAAATAGAACATCCCAGTCTTGCTGTGTGATCTTCCAGGGTTCTTTCCGAGCCGTCAAAGGTGGCGACACTTCGAATGATGGAAGTGTAGACGTGAATTCATCAAACAAGTGAGGCGCTGATACTTTCGGGGTGGCTAGCTTGGATAAGTTTGATCTCGACTTTCTTGGTTCAGGAGGCTGTTCGAAAGCTGGGAAAAGTGGTGCTGGGTGCAATGGCAAAGATAGTTGATCGACGAAGAATGACGAAAGGCCACCACTATATGTTCCATTTATGCTATCAAGCAACATATCGAAGTCGCTGAAGTTGTTGCCCTGGTGGTCCGCGGGCAAGTCAAGTGCATCGACTGGGGATGCAAGCGGAAGAGAAGTAGAAGTCTGTAATCCGCCTCCGAATTGTACCGGAGTAGAAAAGTCTTGGCCAGAAAAAGAATCGTTTGTTTGCGGTGTCGAGGTCGAGATAGAACTCCCCATCATGCGAAATGGTGCTCTTTGATTTCTCGTGTGTGATGCAGGCGGTGACCCGTTATTCAAACCGCCAGGAGTAGTCCCGGGAACGGACGAGTGGTCATCGTGGTCGATTGCATTGCTATCAGCCTCTCGATTGGGTGACAGCACCTCGCCATGGACTAGCCGAAGATGGCGGGTGAGTAGATCTCTGTTCGGTGGTTGTCAGCCACGTTTCCCCTGACGTTGGCCGAGAAACTCATGTGATACCTTCGAGTAAACCCTGTGGAGCAAGTCACACAGTGAAACGGTTTTTCCTTTGTGTCTGAGAAAATCAGTATATTGAAGTTGTATCGCAAGAGTCATCGTACGAAGTCTTTCATGTCGTTGAAGATGCTCCTTCCGAAGAAATGCCTTTGCACAAAAGTGACAGCGGAACGCCCTTCCTTCGCCGCTGGGGCTGGTTGAAGCTTGGCGAGAGCTGCCCGCTTCGGTAATCACATTTTCCGAAACTGGCCTGGAAGAATTTCGTCTACTTTTCTTCTTGGGTGGCATTTAGAAAACGCGTGTGGCGTTGCAAGAGGTCGCGATGCAGGAAGCAGGATGGAGGAAGCTTAGTCATGATTCCGCATCCCTGTTCGCCGAGGACATCCCTCCAGTAGTGTATATCCCTTCGTGCCATTGAAGCTATGATGGTGTGTGAATAACTTCATAAATTGCAGTTTATCGGACATATTGGAGATGGTTTTCAACAATGGCCATTTCTTTCGAGACCTACGCGAGCCTTCTGGGCAACGAGGATCTTTAAGGCGCTGCTAATGTATGTACAATCACCTTATCCCGAGTATCGTCAAGAAATCCTTGGAATTCTAGGAATCAAACTAGGATACTAAGATTTTCTCACGTGAATCTCAAGTTCATCTAGCAGCTACCAGCGCCTTACTACTTGACTGGTCCAGCCAACTCCGTATCCTCGGTTCATCCAGGTCAGGTGACCGTCGGATAACGGCGGCGGAAATCATTCCTCAAACTTGACTTCACTCACAGACCAGCAAAGGTGAATGACCAGATTCTCAGCTATTAAGAAGCGGAAACAATCTACACTGTCTATGCTCATCAACACACCGACAGCGTTTCCGATGGCGGATGGATCGCCATCCCAATCGCAGCTGCAACGACCAGGCTCGTCGCGAGCGCGCAAAAGAGTCAAGGTCACACGAGCATGCGACACCTGCAAATCGCGCAAAAAGGCCTGCACCGGAGACATTCCCTGTCAGTTCTGCGTGCGATCCAATCTGCGCTGCTCGTACAAAGTGCCCTACCACCGAGGATCCGCCACCACCCCACTACCATCCGCACCAGGCGGAAATGTGCCCCGGCTCGCCTCTACCCCGTCAATCCCCACATCAGCCATGTCAGCATCAACCCCAGATCCGGAATCTGTTGTGGGGGCCCAATACCGAGGTCCGGCGTCAGCCCACTCGTTTCTGGACCGTGCCGTGAGGAATTTCCGCGGGACGCAGCGGGCGTTGAATTCAGCGTCGGAGGATGCGCATGCTTCTATCTTCTCGCATGGTGATCGGCATGCGCCGCCCATTCCCGAGTCGCAGATACAATGGCCGAGTCGGGCGGCTGTTGATTGGCTGGTGCGACGATACTTTGATTTCTCTTCGCCGACTTATCGTGTGCTGCATCAAGGCACGGTGGAAGGATGGGTAAATACATTGTTTGGACAAGAGGTTCGGACCGCGTCAGGTCCAAACCCTGGACCGTCACCAGCTGTGAGGGCTATTGTTTTGATGATGTGTGCAATCGCATCCTCATTTTCGGACATGCATGATATGCCGGCGGAACATGTTGCGAGAAATACACTACAAGGACAGCAGAGTGAAACATACTATCAAATGGCAGACCAGCTTCTCGTGCAGGAGCAAGGCTCACCGTCCTTGGAATCAGTGCAGGCTCGGTTTCTCACAGTTTTGTATCTTCTTGGCACATCGCGCATGAATCGAGCCTGGTTCAACTTCGGCTCTGCCGTCCAACTCCTGATGGCGCTGGGACTGCACAGAAAACAAACACACTCACGAGCGATAGCTTCCCTAGCTTCTACCAAAGTTGCCATTGAATGCTCTAAGAGAGTACTTTGGTGTTCTTTCACCTTAGACGAATATCTCAGCCTGATCCTTGGTCGACCACGACTTCTTCGAGAAGAAGATATAGACCAGGATTATCCTACGCTTGTCAATGACGAGCAAATAGATGCGCATCCACCTCGCTCTCGCCTACAGCGAAACTGCCTCATGGATGCGCCTGTCTGTCATGCAAAACTTGCTCGCATTCTAGCCAAGGCTTCACAAGACCTCTACTCAATTCAACCATTCGAAAAAGAACAGGAAGTCGTACTGATAAATAGCCTCGTCGAGCGAATCACACAGTGGCAATCTGAGCTTCCACCTCTTCTCGGTGACTGGGTCTGCCCGAGCAGTCTCATATCCATTTTCCAAAGACAGTTGACCGTGATAAGACTGGCCCGTTTCCACGCTCTGATGTTTGTCACGCGCCCTCTCCTTTTACGAGACTATTGCCAGGAATCAGAGCAGGGCGATGATTCTATAAGGCTACATCTACGGTCTTGTGTCAACACTGCCCGAGCCACCTTAGAGCTGGTACTGGATCTTGTCAAAGACAACCTACTCTATCCCGCTTTCTGGTTTACGCAATACATTGCCTTCAACGCCCTCTCAATTGTCTACATCTATCTCATACACAGCAAGAAGGGCCGAATTCCTCATGCATGGCTATTTGGAAATGATTTACCCTCTTCAACGGTTTCTCCAGACCTACTCTACAAACTAGCCGAGGAGACACAATATCATCTTGGTCAAGCTACCGAAAGAAATGCCCTCGCATGGCGATACAACATTGTTCTTGAGGCTTTACGATTAGAGGCCACTGGGCAAATATCGGAAACAAGCAATGATGGTGACGAAACAATGAACCGGACGCAACAAGATCTTGGCCATCACCCGTCATCCCAATTAGTTGGGGCGAATGACAATCCTCCCTTTGAGCACGGATTACCGGCTGAGCAGTCTCTTGTCGATTGGGATAGCTTCCAAGCCCCGATCACCTACGATGCCGGAATTGGGACCATGTTTAACTTTGCTGATGATCTCTGCCTCGATTTTTGGCCCCAGCTAGATCGACTGCCTACCTGTAAGTTTATACGCTATGTGAGATGATAAATTCCTCTATCTGAGGTGTAATATACTTATATAACACAGCGCTCAATTGAAACGCTCCCGAATTCATGTCCTCATGCAGACATCTTGTATAATGACGATTCTTGCCACAAGGCACTATCACGAATATTGCTATACCATGACACCATCTGTGTCCTTTTTCAAGCCCGAGTCAGAGCGAGCAATCCACTTATCCTTACCACAAATACTTATACCGAAACTGACCGTCCGCCTCCTCTTCGCTCTCCGTCTTCTCATTAATACTCCTCAACCAAAGACCCAAAGCCGCAGCGAGGACAATACCACCCGCCGCAAAAGAAGACAGAATGATACCGCCCATTCGATACTGCGGAGCATCAGAACTTGGGAAAAAGTAGGAACCGTAAATATCAGACGAGTTGCCGAACAAGTTGACCAAGGCGTACACAATGGCACGCTTTGTCCGTGTTCGAGGGACTGTACTGGCAATCCATGCCTGGACAACATTGAACGACGAATATGATCCCGCACACATCAGGAACATACCTACGTATCGTGGGGCTGTAGTGTGTCGTGATGACCAGGACATTACCGATGATGTCAATGAGAAGAGGCCACATGATCAACGTTGCGAGCTGGTTGGTGTATTGGGCGATGAAGGAATTGCCGAGGGATGTGAAGAAGCCAAAGACGTAGACGGGGACGGTGATAAGAAGGGTTGCGGTGTTGCCAAAGCCGAGGGTTTTGACGATGGACTAAGCAGAGGAAACTGTTAGTCTCTCTCAGGATTTCCGTACTGGGAATGTCACTCACGGGGAAGAAATATGTCCAAGTCTGGGACGTGAGCTGGCAGACTTGAATCATGATCAGAGCCCACGCTTTTGGATCCGTGAATGCATCGACCAGTGCTTCCTTGATGGATCCATTCTCATCGACCTCGTCGTTCGCAGCTTGAGCTAGTCGCCACTCTGCAAAGTGCTGTTCTTGCTCGGATAGCTACTTGCGTTGACCCGATCGTGGGAAGTCGGGTAGGAGCCATACTGCCGGTGCTCCTGCGACCATTGTGCCGGCGCCTTCGATGATGAAGAGCCATCTGGATAGTTTTGCTTAGATCCCTGTAACGTGTCCAAGATTCCAGCGGCAATCAATCCACCAAATCCATTCGCAATGGTGTTGCCGTAGTAAAGAACAGCGGCTCGAGGTGCGATCTCCTGCGGCTTGTACCATGAGCTGACAAGCAGACTGTTCATATTGTCAGCGAGCTTCATCAAAGTAGACATTCCCAGAATATCTTACAGTGCCCCGGGGAAGAAAGGAGACTCAGCAAATCCAAGCAAAACTCTCACGACCATGATCCCAGTAATGTCCGTCGTCGCAGCAGCACACATCGACATCTCACCCCAGATAAAAATTCGCAACTGGGATGTACTTCGAAGGCTTAACGCGAGTGAGGACAATATTACTAGGGACCTGTCCGAGCAGGTATCCGACGAACTAAATCATCGCATGGTCAACGCTTGTACCTCCAGTTGTGTTATCCGATACCAAGAAGGCTAAGCTCACCATGATCGCGACGGCAGTCTGGTATTGGGTATCGCTTTGCATACCACCAAGACGGGCATTGGCGATATTCGATCGATCGAGGATATTGAAAATGAAGAGAAGACATAGCGATGAGATGAGGTGTAGATCGATCTTGCGCACGACTATTGCGGCTCAGTTAGAACCTCAGAGGTTACACAGTTTTTGCAGAAGCAGCGTTATTACTCACGACGCTTCTCTATCTGCCTTGTGTCTTCTGCAGATAGACCTTCGAATGTAGGGTCCTGCTGTGTAGCCTTTGGAGAGATTTCCAAATGACTGGTCTCATTTTCTTTGAGACTTTCCACGTCCACGTTCTCTGCGATATCAGGGAGTCACGGATGTCCAGAATGAGAACCCTGGTTGCTATTTTTGCCAAGGCATATATATCGGGATGGTGGTTTAGGCCCCTCACAACTTTTCGAACTAATGCACCTTGATTATTGTCCAGGTAAGCAAGCTGTGTGGTGGAGAATCAAGTCACCCCGGATTCCTTTCGGATAACTCTTCCCACGGGTGCGGAAATGCGGGCGGATTAAGCACTAGTCCCCCTAAAGCTTGGGATGATCGCTGCTTCGCTTAGCCGGCGAAGATCGGAACATTACACTAGTGTAGTGACCTAGTCATGTAGCCGGCATCTCTGGACGGCAAAGAAGCCGATTCATCACAATTCAAATCGCAAGCTCAAAGATTCGTTCATTCGTGTAACTATTTTCACAGTGTGTACTTAAACAGGGGCGACTTATCACCCATATCTAACAACTGCTCATCAGAGTACTTCTCCCGAATCTCAACCTCACTAATAGCCCCATTCTTCTTATTCGCCCACATATACGAAACCTCCAGCACCAATGCCGCCACAAGCGCAGATCCGCCGAATGCCAAGGACAGGCCAAAACCCGTGGGATAAGTCGGGTCCTCCTTGCTAATGTACATGTAGCTGCCGATGATACCTCCGATGTTGCCGACGCAAATGTTGAACGCACCCCCGATCGCGCGGCGATTGGAGGGGGCGAGGTTATTCATGGTCCAGGATGTCGTTGCTGGGTGTGTGGGGTAGATTCCCATGCAAGTGAGGATGATGGCGAAGAAGCCGGGTCCGATGTTCGCTTCAAGGTTACCCTTTAATCCGATGATGATGGCGTATCCGATGACGACTAGTAGTAGTGGAGCTACGACGAATGGGGCGCGCCAGTAGAATCGGTCGGATAATCTTGAGAAGAAGATGGCGGAAATTGCGCCTGCGACGTATGGGGGAACGGTCATTAGTTGGGCATTTGTTGATTTGAAGCCCATTCCTTCTGTGATTGTGGGGAGGGTGAATTTTGTTCCTGTTGAAGTCAACAGGATGTACTTGCTGTCAGTGTTGGGGGAACGAACCGTATGAACAGGCAGACTGGCAGAGTAAGATGTATGCCAGGAGATACATTCTCCAGTTACTCAACACTGCCCTAATGTCTTTCCACGATGTCTTCTTTCTCTCATCCTTGAACTGGCCGCCGTCCTTAATAAAGTGCTGTATTTCCAAGAAGCGAATCTCGTCTTGGGACAGCCACTTGCCCGAAAGTTTCGGCGAGTCAATCAAGAGGAAGAAACAGGCGACTCCCAGGACAATAGTAGCCAGGCCTTCGAGGATGAAGATCCAGCGCCAGCCTTCATAGCCGCCAACTCCACTCATTTTGGAAATGCCAGCGGCCAGCAGACCCGAGAAAGCACCGGAAAGAGCACTGGCACAGTAGAAGACGGCCAGACGGGTAGCCAGATTCTTGGGCATGTACCAGAAGGAGCAGAGATAGACAGCGCCTGGGAAGAATCCGGCTCTGTAGTCCATTATTGGTAAATGTCAACTCTGGTTCGAATGGTTGCACTCACTCGAAGACACCTAGCAGGACGCGGACCACCAGCAGCCCAGCAAAGTTCTGAATAACCCCTGTCAAGGTCATAATAATTCCCCAGGAGACGATAAGAGAGCCAAGGTAGGCAGATGGCCGGGTAAACCTTTTCAACAGCATGTTACTGGGCACCTCTTAAAGAAATAAAATTAGCAACGAGATATTTAGTCTTGATAAGATCCAACTCACCAAGCAGAACATAAGGAATGAAGAAAAGACTGAGGGCGATATTGTACTGAATCCCACTCAGACCAAGGTCAGTCGTAAGGCCAGCAATCTTCGCATTGCCGATATTAGCTCTGTCCAAATGCGAAATCAAATACAGCACGGCCAACATGGGAACCAGTCGGTAGTCCACCTGGAAGCATATTAATGTGATGAAGTCGGGTTATGTGGATGCATGTCCCTTACCTTCCGTAATACAGCCTTCCTCTGCTCCTCCGTAAAACCACGATAAAACTCCGCATCCTCAGGCGCCAGCCCGAGAACCTGGATATTATCGATAGTCGTCACATTGCTGTAATCCTCAACATGATTCGACGAGCGCTGCTTCTCATCAACAACATCTTCATAAGAGACACGCTCGGTTCGAGACATCTTGGCAGTCTTCACTCGTTTTTCTGACTGTCGCGGTTTTCCGTTCCCCAGGACAGAAGAAGCTCTTATATAGCACAACCAAGCCGCGGTCACCCCAACCTCGGGGAAGCTTAAACCTCGCGAGGCTTGCCATCTACCGACATCCCCGCCTCCTAGCACGCTTGGCGCCATCAACGTATGGCCAAAAAAGCAGGACCAAGACATCCCCACGGCCACGAGGCATCAGCCCCGCGATTCGGTTGGAGCGGAGATCCGGGGTTCAGCCCGCTGTCGGCGGTTCACGCGATGGCATGTCTGGCCTTCGGTTCGGGTGCCAGTCTTGGCGGCTCTGCTTTCTGGGCGTTATCCGCTGCTTTCTCCGTTGCTTATCCGACTGGGACTTTTCTCCGTTGGGTTCTCCGCTGTGGATTTGCTTTCTTGGAGAGGTGAGGTGGTTCTTGCTGGGATGAAGAGTGACCTTCAAGCCGCTTCACTTCCCACTGGATTTTCGATCTTCAAAGGAATTAGTGCAGCTGGAGATACATCTGATGATAATGAGGGGCAGGTTCATCAATGCTTAGTCACCGCTCGAGTCATCGATATCCACACGTAGAACATTCTTTACCTCCCCTCCTAATAGATACTATCAAATCCGCCTAGCCTACTCTATACAGCGCAGTGCTTACGACCAACATGCCACAAGTGCAAATCCGCCCTGCCAAGCCCGCGGACCTACCCCAGATCCGCACAATCAACACGCACTATATCCTCCACACATCACTCACATTCGCGCAAGCCCCAGTCGCGGCGGAAACCCATGCCACCAAGTATGATGATTTACGCCAGCGAGGCCTTCCGTACCTCGTGGCTGTGGACACACATGAACACAGACAGGAGGAGGTAATTGTTGGGTATACATACCTCTCCCCTTTCCGCGAGCAGTTACTCGCCTACGCGCCGACTGTCGAGTTGACCCTTTTTGTTCATCCGGAACACCACTTGCGGGGTATTGGCTCGTTGCTTCTTGGCGAGGTTTTGGGGATGTTGCACCGGCGGGTGATTTTTCATTGCCTCGCAGAGGATGAGAGGACGGTAGTGCAGAATATCATTGCTGTTATGGCTGTTGATCCGGAGGGGAAGGACGGTGGGGAGGCGTTGAGGCGGTGGTATCTTAACCGTGGGTTTGTCGAGCGGGGGAGGTTGGAGAAGGTTGGGTTTAAGAGGGGGTTTTGGTGTGTATTCTCTCCAGAACTGGGATGCCACACTGCAATAGTACTAACTTGATGCTAGGATCGATACTGTTTATTTACAATGTTCTGCCTCTGGTTCAGAATCCTAGTATATACAGAACAAATAAGGTCATAACTCTTTCCATCACATCTCAAGTCCGAGAATCCGTACTTTCGGCCTCAACAATCAAAGCAGCATTACTCCCCTCCTCACGCGCCCGCTGGACCGTCTGCGAGTACTTCTTACCCGCAACAAGCCACCAAAGCAGTTCGATGATAATGAAACCGCCGACGACGACGCAGGTGTAGTTCATGTTAGGCACTGTCACGGGCATCTCGTACGGAAAGGAGAAAAAGACGATAGCGAAGATGAGCCAGAGCGCTGAGATGATGTTTACTACCATACCGGCGAGGTGGGGTAGGTGGAAGGGGCCGCGGTGCATTGTGCGCCGGCGGAGGAGGATGTTTGTTAGGATTGGGACTAGGTAGGCGAGGTTGTTTACCGTTCTAATACACATTTTAGTCAGGCTAGAGTTACCTTGGGACCTTGGGGTTGAGGACGTACACTGCTGAACCCATCATGGAATTAAAGGCAGTCGTCGAGCCGAGGTAGATACAGCCGAGCAGCGCGATGATTACTCCGACGCAGAGCTGGGCGTTCAGTGGGGAGCCCAGTTTGGGGTGTACGCGTGCCCAGCTAGGAAAAATCAGTATTGAATACTCCAGTGGAAAGAAGCCGGCTTACATCTTCGACAATGGAAGACCCTCATCACGAGCAAAGGCCCAGAAAACGCGACCGGTACCTAAAGAACTCAGCGTGGACTCGATATCATATTTGAGGATGGACTCACTCAGCTGCGATCCAATAACGCAGGGTCCAAGAGCAATCCAGACCATGAAGATAAGACCAAAAGCACCGCCTTTGGTGGATGTTGCTTGGAAGAAGATCTCGGCTAGGGGAAGGCCGGTTTGCGTATCTGCGAGCGAATTGTAGTTTTGGACGGAGAACATTAGGCTGAGGAGATAGGTGATTCCGGTGACGAATGCGATTGAGAGGGTAATTGCTAACATCGTTAGTCTTCTGCTCATGTTGAAATCCTGTGACTGGCTCACCGAGACCTAGAGGCGCATTTCTTCCGGGCTTTCGAATTGTGAGTATTTATCATCCTGGTCATTGCTTGTCGACTTACGTTGGGCATTTCCTCGGTAATGTGCTGTTTATGAATTAGCGATTGACTGACTCAGTTTCTTGTGAAGAACGACAAACCGAAATCCCGTCCAATCCTCCCAGGGAGTACAAGGGATTCACCAATCCAGTAATGAAACACATCACGTTATTCTCCCAACCGGTGTTATTAATCCAAGTCCTAAACACGAACTTGCTATCATTGTGCTTCGGAGCCGAGGCAGCTACCGTGACCATCGTCACGAACCAGGCTAGTTGCAGGTAAACCACTGGAAGACATTAGTTAGCCACTGCTCAAATAACTAAGCACCACAGGACTCACGAGAGAATTTGTTAATCAAAGGAATAAACCGATTTCCAAACATGACAATGCCAGATGTGAAAATGTTTAGAATCTGATAAGCAACGAAGGTCATCCAGGGCTCAATAACAAGGTCTTCATGGTAAAGCGCAATCAACGCCATAACGGTCGTAGCGTAAATCAGATTCGTAGAGGCAGTCGTGAAGATCCCTGTCCGACTTGTTAGAATTCACTTTCTTTTGGTATGGAGATTCTGCAGAAATCTCACAGCCAAAGACTGTACACCACCCCGTCGCAAAACTCAACAAACTGTTATATCGCTTGGGGGCGATCGCCGCTATCCAGTGGTACATTCCTCCCTCGGTCGGGTATGCGGAGACGAATTCAGCGAGCGAGGTCCCGACGAAGGACTGGAGGATGAAGACGAGGATGAATCCGTAGATAACTAGAATCGTCAACTCAATCCCTCATACTTGACCTTCAGTCAACTCACGTGCCCCCGGACCGCCCGCATTGATGGCGGTAATCAACCCCAACCCCAGACCTACACTCGCACCTGTTAGCCACGATCTCACACCTAGCATCTGAGTACCGCTGTACCTGTCCAGGAGATGGTGCAGTTCGCAGCAAGGCCAATCAAGCTCCAAACAGAGAAATGCCGCTTAAGCTCCTGCTTGTGTCCTATCGAGGATGTTAGTCGCGCCAACAATTCCCCCTGTTCTGTCTGCAAGCAAGGCATTGGAACACGCACCCATCTGAGCCAAACGCAGCTCATCCGCATTCTGCACCTTAATCACAGCTGCGCGACCATCCTTGGCCTCCGGCACAGTCGAACTAATCTCAGGAACGCCCATGGTGCTGACAGCAGATGACTTCGGGAGTACCTAGGTAGAGTTGAAAAGTCCAAGAGGACCGACGCGCGGTCGCAGGAACTTTTTAGTCGCAACATACCATGTCTCCTTTATCTTAGCTGCAGCTCTTATCGTGTTGCTGGGGAATTTCGCCGGGTTGACCGGTCGCTTGACCGGAAGGAAAGGAGCGGGGGCTAATGGGGGCCCGGTCCTCCCCTCAATTCACAAGTGTTCCGCCGGTGATTGCGGGCTTCCCCGGAGTTGTGGAGGAGTTACATTGACAATGCCATTGTTGCAGTGTGGTAGTGGTGGTGACCTCGATTTGTGATTAGATCCAAGGTAGTCATTGCGTCGATATTTTCTGAGATTGGGTGCTTCGCTAGGCGACTGAATGGTGAGTTGCTTTGTTAGTCGGGGTCGCGATATATATCAACCCGGCACACAAATGCAAATATGTGGGAGCTCCATTATTCTGCAGGGATTGAGCCAATGGACTCGAGAACGCCAAACCACCCCATAATGTGAAGTCTTGAATGAAACAACAAATCGCCACGAACATATATCATTATAGGGTGCAAACATTGGAAGCAAGTACTGGTACCGGTAAAGGTAAGCTACTAAGCTCATTAAGACTAGCACCGCAAGAAGCTAGGACATTGCGACAGGTAAATTTACCAAACCCAGCAACCTCAGCCTATCGCTAAATATCACATCACGAATCAAACCAGCCGTTACTCAACCGATCACGCCAATTTACCAACCGCCCGCAGATGAACTTATTGTCATTGGAGGTGTCACAAGACTCTGTTCGTACCAGCAAGCCCAGCCCCTGAGAACTGCAGCGGCCAACCTCGAACTAGGGTAAAGTCCATGGCTCTATATTCAGGAGACCCGCATACATCACGGGCCAAGTCTCCGAAACGGTGAGACCTATATTCGAGTCTCACTCTAGGCGTACAACCTAAGGTTAAGGGATGATGTGCACCCTTTGAGGACACAGAATAGAGAGGTGTACGGGTGGAAATAGGCTTTATGCAGTGAGACACGGCGGAGTTCAGCTCATGATTTTTACAGCTGGACCCTACCTTAAAGGTCATGCAGCAAAGCTCATCGATCACGAGTATTCGTCAGGAATGAGCGGATGGTGCGTGCTTGCCCTACCGGGTAGTGCTGTATGATTTACAGAGTAAGCTATACAAGCTAATTATAGAGTTGGGGCGATGCTACCACAAGGCATTGCTTGCTGTAAGGCTGATTGATACCCACCCAAGTTTTCAGGAAGCGACCGAGGATGAACCCGAGGTTCGATCAGCTTAAAATCAAAGACTAAGGTAATTTCTTGGCTTGCGGCCTCAAAGGTGGACAAAGACGCGGGCTTGGCATTGATAATTTTATAAAACTAGTCGCATTGAAGGGCAGGGCTCACTCAGGGTCTGGCAAGAAAAGGGGTAACGGACCAAAATTAGAGGAGTTAATTTGCGTTTGTTTTGCGGAACAATCCGAGACAAGTCAGAAACAGTGTGAACTTTACCCTACTACTGGAGACTGAAATTAGATAACCCAAAGATACTGAGAGAATACCGGGCAAGTCTCGGATTGTTCTGTGGATTCTGGAATGCCCACTCGATCGACGGGCGTGGGTTAGTTCGGGCGCCCGGCCGGATCGCTCACGGTTAATTCTGCCCGCTGAAACAGCCACTTCGTATGTCACCAGAGCAGAATCCAGAGGTGCTGACAGAAGGTACTCTACTTAGGAAGTCTGGGGTAGCCCCCCTACCACCAAGGCTATAATTGCACCTGCCATGCTTCCGCACGGCCCCAATGCAACTGAACTGGTTGGCACGCGAGACCCTGCATGGTGAATCGGCGGAGGTACTTGGCTGCCTGCTGCCAAGAATGGCCCCTCGTCTGCTCCACCGGGAACAGCCAGTTCGGTTGGAATCTGGCAGTCAAGCCTTGCGATCGGGCCCTAAGATTATTCCCGATGTCAACCGGATCTCTCAGCGTGCCACTGGCAGAAGGCGTGGCGGAGGCAGAGGCATGATGTGACCTGGACCCTGGACAACATCACCCTGCATAGGACTTAAAGTATACCATGGTCCGAGCCGAGCGGTTCTGAAAGATCTGATCTATGATTGTGATTTCTTTCAGTAGCTGTAAAGGCATGCTAGGAATGAGATGGAGAGAGTCAAACGTTCCGCCGCTGCAAATCCAAAGCCTCGCAAACACAGCCCTCGTTTGGACGGAACGTGTTTGGTCCGGTAATATTACCGACCAAGGGGCGCCTGGATACCGCTCAGCGCGTCGGAGGGCCTGTCGCGTCCCTCAAAGGAGAAGGCGGTCAGGGCGTGGCGCCCGTAAAGACAGCGTCGGGGTAATTTACTTTCCCCACTCCGAGGGGGGCTAAAACTAAAAAAAAATCTTTGGGGGGCGTTGAGCCGCAGTCTGCTTTGAGCAGCTAGTCGCGTGGAGGTTGCAAAGGCGACCGGTGCCCGCGAACTATCGTTTCTTTTTCCATACTTTCAGGGTATTGTGTGCATTATTCCCGGGGTGGACGGGCCTGTACAACTCGGGACGTTCATTAATTCTGGTTAATTTACCCAGGTCGAACCTACTGGCCTCGCTAGAACTGTGCCTCCACTACATAGAGCATCGAGGCGGACCGGCGGCTTGCTAGCTGTTTCGAAGGCAGTTCAGCGGTGAAATAGGATCCTGCATGGCATCGCACTCACTCAACTCGAAGATCTGGAGCCATGTCGATGCAACGAGGGATTCAATTGCTATGTACAGGCGACAGCAACGCGGCTCAGTCGGCCAAGCAAACAGGCCCAACCGTCTCGTGTGCTTGAGCGGACAAGCAACGGCCATAGCCACGTTGCGGTGCAGGGAACGAGTGAGACCAGGGTGGAGACGCAAGCTCGCACGGAGTCTCGGGACGCAGGCAGAATCCGCGAGGACAGTCCAGGGACAGTGCCATTGGCGCAGGCGTGGTCCCGGGGCTCCTCAGGGGCATGAATCAGCAACCAAGCAGACCCTTGGGGCTAGCGCACCCCACAGCCTCGAATGGGAAAAAACCCGCATGACCCTGAAGGCTAAGCCTGGATGAAACCCTGACTGGGGCGTGGTGCTCCACCGCAATCCACTTGAGTATACCCATACCTTCAGGTACCGCTTTTACACTGTACCGTACCGCGTAACGGTCCTGTGGCAATGGCCCCTCCTACCCATTGGTGAGCTGGCGGCTTTCCCCATGTTCTATTTATTTCTCTGCTCTGTCCGCTCCCGAGTTTTTTCCCATTTGAATCTCCGATCTTGCATGATCTTCGCCGACGTATGCGCTGCCCACCCATCTAACCTATGCGTTCCATGTCGCCGTGAACGCCTTTCGCCTCCAGCATGCAATTTAACAGCACCCCGTGGAATCCCACGGGCAATACCGGGGTGGCCGGCCGCGTCTATGGCGCCTTGAAGCTGGTCTGCTGCACCATTCCCGCGCGCACCGTCTCTAACGCCTTCAACTGGGAGGTCTCGCGCAAATTCTGGTTTTCTTTCCTGTTCGTCTCGATTTTCGCCGCCAAATTGCTTCATCTGTACGCCCATATCGATTCCATCCCCGTCGGAACCCTTTTCCTCTGGGGCTCGACCTTTTTCGTACAGGATATCATTTTCTTGTTTCTCGCGCATGGTTTGGCCCGGAGCTACCAGACACGATGGCTGCGCATTACCGCGGCTGTTGTTTTGATTTGTGGCAGGTTCGTTTTCTTTCTTCCCTGGCGTCGCGTGCGCGCCCGCCCGATTGGGAATTCCCAAGCCAAACCCCTTGCTAAATTTATTTCCGCAGTCTTGGACTTTCCGTCATGGCCGCCGCCAACACCTCCTTCTACTTCACCACCGGTGCCGAAATCCACTGGCGCCAGGCCGGTGGATTTAACCGCGATCCCGCGTCGATCAACACCCTGCTCACTGGCTTGACCGGTCTGGTCATCGTCGAGGCCCTGTATCTGGTTGTGGCAGCATGTGCCACACCGTATCTCTACAACGGCATCGGAGGGGTTATGCATACCTGGAGCGAGTTTTTGGTCTCGATCTGCAAGCCGGTGGTCAAGCCGCTGGCCGATATGGTCTTTCGCCGCTGGGGCAAGGGCCGCAAGTTGTTTGAGGATTTGAAGATCTACGAGCCCGTTCCGCTGAGCGATTACGATGACGAGGAGGACAAGATGGGCAATTCGGCTCCTCTCCTCGACCAGCCGCCGCAGCTGCAGGAGAACAGCAGCAAAAACGATCCCTCGCAGCGCTGGAAGACCGTCGCCAAGCGTGCGCTGATCATCGTGCCGACCGCGTTTATTTTCTTCCTGCGTCTGATTCGCCCCTCGGAGGAGTCCCTCTGGTTCCTCTCGCAGACCGTGATCATTTCTCCCTTCGCCGGAGTCGACTCCAAGGGCAAGCTGAACCAAATCTCCGACGACCCCTACCTTCGCGACAAGTTGACTGCTCTGGCGGCCCCGCCCCGCTGGGATTGGTTCCCCGAGGGCGAGTGGCCTGGTTTCCGTGACTGGCAGACTGGTCCCCTCGGCGGCGACAAGTTTTCCCACTACAACACTAAGGAAGACCCCCTGCACGTTGGCAATTTGGATCAGGATGTTCTGGAGCCGCTCCGCGATGCGCTCAGCAGCGGCAAGGTCAACATCAAGCACATATTTGTCTTTAAGATGGAGAGTACCCGCTACGATGTCTTCCCACTTCGCAAAGGCTCTTACATGCACGACCGGATCATCAACTCGTACAAGAACCACCGCATTCCCAAGGATGTCCAGCGCCGCCTGGCCAACTTGACCCAAGTCGCCGAGCGTCTGACTGGAGCCGAATCCGGCTTCCACAAGAAGGGCGCCATCAAGCCCTACGGTGGGATCCGTGCCGATAACTCGTACACTGGTGGTACATTCACCCTCAAGAGTATCGAGGCCACCACCTGCGGTCTTTCCCCTCTGGTTATCGATTTCAACCACGAGTACGAGCACCACATATACCAGCCCTGCATGCCACACGTCCTCGATGTTCTCAGCGCCGGAACCAACAACAGCGAGAGCAACGACTACAAGCAGTGGCCCTGGCGCCCGACCTTCATGCAGTCCATCACCGACACCTACGACCACCAGGACCGTCTGACCCCTGCCCTGGGCTTCAAGCCTGAGAACATCGTCACCGTGGAGAAAATCGACGAGGAGATCGAGAACGGCAAGCCCTGGAACTACACCAAGTTCAATTTCTGGGGTTACCCCGATGGTTCGATGGGCAGCTACTTCCGCGACGCGATTGAGAAGGCTGAGCGCGACCACGAGCGTCTTTTCCTCACCCATCTGACTGGTATCACCCACCACCCCTGGGACTCGCCCGATGGAAAGTACGAGGAGCTGGTTGGTAGCGAGACAAACTCGTTCGGTGGAAAGAATGACGGACTGAACCGCTACCTGAACACGATTGGCATCAACGACGAGTGGTACGGTGACTTTTTGGATATCCTCGAGGAAACTGGCGTCGCCAACGAGACTCTGATCGTCATGACCGGTGACCACGGTCTTTCTCTCCCGGAGGATGGCAACGTCACCCCTTACGACAACCCTCTCGTTTCCAACTTCCACGTCCCTCTGATCTTTGTGAGTGCCCCAACCTACGTTTTACTTTTTCATTTTTTTTTTTTTTAATTCTCGCTCATACTAATACGTTCTAGGCCAACCCCAATCTACCGCCTATCTCCATCAACTCCTCCGTCACCTCCGTCCAAATCCTTCCTACCATCCTCGACCTGCTCAAGACCTCCGGCTCCCTCGACGCCCACTCCACCCGCGCCGTCAAGGACCTCCTCCCCATGTACGAGGGCCAGTCCATCATCCGCCCCATCGTGACCAAGAACAACGACACCGCATACTACCAGTTCACCGTCATGAACACCGGCGGCTCGCTCGTCGCCATGCGCTCAGCCACCCGCCCCTACCGCCTCATCGTTCCCCTTGTCCCCGAGGTCGAGTGGCGCTTCACCGATCCCTCCAAGGACCCGCAGGAGCAAGATCCGATCAAGTCCTTCGATCTTGACGGTCTCGTCGAGGCCATCGAGTCGAAACACGGCTCCAAAGCCGTGGAGTGGACTCACGACGCTGCCCGTGCGGCCCAGTGGTGGGTTGCAGACAATTGGCGGAGATATGAGTATGACCCGTCCAAGCCGAAATAAACCCAGGAAGAGGGTTCGGATTAAGGCGAGAAGAAAAAAAAAAAAATTTGCATAGGCTTCTAATACCCAGAGAGATATCGACACAACTTCTGGATTTGGTTGTGAGGGCCTGTCTCCCGTTTTGTATGATTACGGATTCTCGGAACTTTCTGCAGACTCTGATAGCATGGCGCATGGCTGGGAGTTTGATTTTGTACATACCTTTTTGCATTACCAGGGGTTTCTTTTTTACATTTAGTTAATGAGCAAATATTTATCATGATTGTTCGATGATTTCCGTGTAAATGTCCTACTGGGATGGGGTTCAGCTTGTTTTCTAAGGTTGAATTTCTAGGTGAAATCATAACTACTTTCCTAACATTGAAATTGGCATGAATGGAATAAACTGATTAACTGAACAAATCTTTGTTGGAGGCTAGCAATGAGCCTCACACTGTCTTAAGACCCATCAACCCTGCCAGAGCACAGCTGAAACAACCAGCCACCACCTCAAGATGAAGACAATAACAAAGCAAGGAGGGAGAAGACATTCCCAACCACAACTCCACCACCAGACAAGTCAGACACCATTTACACTCCTCATACTTAATAGTAGTAGTAGTAGTAGTAGTAGTAAGGGTAGTAATGTACAAATCAGGCACCCAAACCCGCCATTAATAATAATCGGGCGATCAGCCGTTCATGCAAACCCAAACCCCACCAGCCCCCAGCCCCTCCGGAGGTTCCCCATCGCAAATTTCAAGCTACCCTATTACTCAAGCGACGTCAATCACCTCCGTGGTAAAGTCGGCAAAATGGGGCATTCGTCGAAAATGCCGTGGCTCTATGAGTTCCGGTCTTCTGAGACGTTCATTGTGCTCGTTGTGGCGATTGCGATTTTCACGGTATGTGCCAGCTTTGCGGTCGCGGATTTGAATATGACTAACGGGCAACGAGTTTGGTGTGTAGGATACGTTTATTTATGGCATGGTGAGATTGAGATTGTTATTGCGACCAGCTTCGAGCTTTTTTATTGATTCAATGTCAGGTCGTACCGATTATCCCCGTCGCATTGGTTGAGCGTGCCGGCGCCCGCGAAGAAGACGGTACGTCACCCGTCCTCCGTGATGCGCCACCGCTAACATCAATGATATTGTTATAGCTCAATCATGGGTCTCAATTATGCTAGCCGTCTACGGCGGAACTCTGCTCATCGGCTCACGTACGTCTTACTTTACCCGCCTTCATAACCATACCCAAGACTAACTGTATTCAGCACTATTCGGCTGGTTCGCAGACCACACCCGCTTCCGCCGCCTCCCCTTCATCATCGGGCTAATCGCACTGGGTGCCTCGACATTCCTCTTCGTCATCGCCCGCTCAATGCCCATCCTAATCATCGCCCGCGGCTTACAGGGCCTCTCCGCGGCGGCAGTCTGGGTCGTAGGTCTCGCTATTGTCTCGGATAATGTGCCCACGGACCGAGTGGGTGAGGCGACGGGGTACACGACCATTGCGCTGACGTGGGGGTTCTTGCTTGGTCCCACCATTGGCGGAATTATGTATGAGAAGGTTGGGTTTTATTGGACGTTTGCCATGCCCGCTGCGCTTATTGTTGTTGATGTTTTGTTGAGATTTGCTATGATTGAAGCTTCTGGTGAGAATCTCTACTTTCTGGGCGGTTGGTTTGCGTGTTTTTGATGGGTTATGCTAATGTGATGAATACAGAAGCTACCGAGCACGATAGGAACATGCGCGCGGAAAATGAGCACGCGCCGTTGCTGAGGTCGAGATCGAATGAGTCTGACACAGAATCAACAACCGAGCAACCGGCTACCATCTTCGACCTTCTCAAATCACCTCGACTACCACTAGCATGCATCGCAACGCTAGTAATGGCAGTCGTATTCTCAGCGCTGGAAACAGTCCGTCTCCCACATCCCTCTACAACCATAAAAGCAGACTGACACCATGCAGACCCTCCCCCTCTACGTAATGGAAACATTCAACTGGTCCTCCGCAGGCGCAGGCCTAATCTTCGTCGCCTCCTCAATCCCCAGCTTCCTAGGCGTGCATATCGGCAAAATGATCCCACACCTCGGAGTCCGTCTCCTGGCAACATCCGCCTTCCTCGTCGCGTCAATCGCCTGGATTTTAATGCGGCTGGTCACGCACAGCACAACAAACGACGTTATCCTTCTTACAGCCCTGTTGCTTATCGAGGGTCTGGCTATCGTCACGGTCGAGGTTACCTCCACGACTGAGGCTTCTGCTGTCGTCGCGGACTACGAGGAGGAGAATCCTGGCGTCTTTGGCGATAAGAGTCCTGTTGCGCAGGCTTATGCCCTGTTCAATATGGCTTTTGCGGGTGGTCAGCTTCTCGGTCCGATTCTTGCTGGGGGAATGCGGGTGCATACAGGTTGGAGTGGGATGACGCTTATTCTCGGTGTTATTTGTGCGGTTACGGCTGTGCCGTTGGGACTTTTTAGTGGGCCGCGGAGGAGGGGTGGTGAGGTTGGGGGTGAGTAGATGGGTTTGAAAACGATTTGGCATAGATTTCCGGTGATTTGAGGTATCTACAGCACTACATTGGATTTTCTTCTTGTTTGTTTTCCATGGCGATTCTATATAGATTTGGCAAATTCGGGTTCCAAGGTGAACATATTACAGTTAACATCATGATACCTAGAATATTAAGGCAGCTTCATTAGTATCTCAAGCGGTCCATGCCAATACATACTACATTCCTCTGTGTTCACCAATCAAAATTGGATTTGACTGGGAGCTGCAACGCCACTGGCATAGAATTACGTGGGTTGAATTACTGCCGGCAAAGCGACATGTGATACATCACCTCAGGCTCTATCGCCAAGAGGAACTAGGCCAGGCGGTAGAGACAACACCGCCTATCTCCAGCTCGTATCACATTTCCCAGATTGAGGCTTGAAGCTGGCCGTAAGACGGAATCGATACCGGAGGGGCGTAAGTTACGCCAGGCACCAGTGGGAGCCTAACGCCCGAACCACCTCCGCTTAACTATATACAACTAGAAGTAGACGCGACTACTTCACCAAGGACGACCTCGAACAAGTCGCAGCAAGCCCAGCCTACACACATCACCTTGAGAATGAGACGATGGCATCAAAACAACTGCCAGACTCCCACTATCACCCTCATCAGCCAAATCCCTCATTGCAGCAACTGCTCCGCCACAGCGACCTTCGATGAAGCATCATGCCCTGCCACGACTGTGCCCCCTTTACCCACGAAATCAGAGGGATCGAGACTGAAATGGCCGGGCAAGGCCCGATACCTGGGCGAATTCTCGTCCGACGTCAAAGTTACACAGCCTGCGCGAAAGGTCTCGAGAGTAGATACAGGCTCTACACCGACAAATGCCCTGCCGAGGCCGGAGTTACTTTTCGACGATGAGATCCGGCTCGTGAGGCTGGAATCGAGTTATGTGGAAGGGCCGGTGCATGTGCATTTTGAGAAAGTTCATTTACATCAAGCTCCTGTTCCCGGTTATGATGCGCTTTCGTATGCGAAAGTCGGTGATCCGCTGCAGTGGAAGGCCGTGTTTGTGGATGAGTTTTGGGATGTCATTTTCGTACATCAGAGCTGTGAGGAGGCTTTGAGGAGGTTGCGAGAGTTGAAGGTTGCGACGCTGGTGTGGATTGATTGTCTTTGCGTTGATTTGCTTGATGCTGTTGAGAGGAATCATCAGGTTGAGCTTTCGCGCGGCATATTTGAGAATGCAAAAGCTGTTCTCGCGTATCTGGGTCCCGAGTCGGCCGAGATTCGAATTGTTTTCGATGCTATCAAGGGCGCAGGTGCTAGCGGGGTTATTGACTTTCAATCCGAGGCATCGCGGAATGCATGGCAAAACGTTCTTGACCTCCCCATATTCGCGCGTGTTTGGGTTTATGGAGAGGTATTGACAGGAAAGACAATGAAATTACTCGCGAACGAGCTGGTCACCTGGCCAAACGGGCTAAGCGTTCCTCAACTCCCCGACTTAACCCGTCGCGCAATCTTCTCTCTCAAAGACGGAAGCGAACCATCAGATCGTGAGCTCCTAGACGTCCTACTCACAGCTTCGCAGTACGAGAGCACCGATCCAAGAGACAAAGTCTTCGGCATCCTGAGTCTCGTTAACGAAGGACTCAAGCCCGACTACTCGCTCCCGGTGGAGGACATCTACACCGGCATTGCGGCATACCTAGCCACATATCTCTGTGACATGAGAATCCTAGCATTCGCAGGCGCAAGTCGATCAACACTCGACATCCCATCTTGGGTTCCAGACTGGAATCAGAAGAAGAGTCTTGATCTCCCCCGACTCGATATCGACAGTTCTGAACTCAGCACTAACGAACGTACCGTCCCTCTTGCCTTCCATGGCATGGTATCGAACAACATCGAGATCCTTGTTGATCCCAAGTTGAGAGCATTGCAATGCTCCGCGATAAAACTTTGCAATTACAATAAGTGGCAAGGGATACGCCCCAGGCCATTCAGGTGTCGTATCTTACCGAGGAATATTCAGGGACGTCCCGTTGATAACCGTCTTCAAGTACGAGACTTCGACCTCCAGAGAGGCGAGGTTAGTGCGTTCCTTATTCAAGGAATTGACCATCCTGTTCTTCTGCGACATATTCCCAAAAAGGAGGCCTACGAGCTGGTAACGACATGCATCGCCGCGTGCTATCCATCGACACCGGGTGAAACGCTCATCCCTGGTCTGCCAAATGAATCAGGACAGGAAGCTCCATCAATACTGAACGTCTATCCACTGTCCGAAATGGAAAAAGAAAGTATTTCAAATTTCGACAACAAAGCTCTTAGGGTAATCCAGCGGCACACGAGTACCCCTCTCAGCCCAGACCTACGCACCTTCGCCCACGCCAGCGCGAGGTACATCGACATCGCAACAATTTTCCAATCCGAACTAGGAGGAATCGAAAAGTCCCTCCGCGACTCATGGCGCGAGCAAGAAGAGAGAGTAGGATGGCTATTCAACGACCACAAAAAGCTCTGGTCCTTCGTCTCGTACCTCGAAGACCAAGACTCCGACATCCGGCGCGGCATCGGGAAAATGCCACGCGCAGAAGAAGTAAACCTGTGATATTTGGCACAGAATACGCGGTATGGTCTGGTACTGACAACCCTGGTTAGGTCAGTCAGTACAGTGTGGAACAGGCTTACTAAGTTCCATTCGGAATACTGAATCTCCGATTCAGTACGCTAGTGTATATAAGACCGTATGCCCCAGATAGTTTTCAGAACTAGACAATCCCTTCTGTTGAGTTATCACATCTGGTAGCATGTCCTACTAGGCCTGCCTCCTACGGCAGGCCCAGTGGTGTGTTGGCCGGCGGGCAACTGCTCGTTCTGATGAGCTTCGGCCAAAGCTCTTCGGAATATGCGAGCTTTGTTTACTCGCCATCAACTTCGGTCTACGTGCCCAAGTTCGATCAAGGGCCTGAACAGGAGACTGAGGGTGCCAGATAAGGAGCAGGAATGAGAATACTCTTCCACAGTTGGACTACCATGAGATGTGGGAGCACCATTTACCCCGGAATAAGGACAGTCAACTCCTCCCGTGACGCTCGGTACACATCGAGGACGTCATGAAATCTTATTTCGAGCGGGGAAACGCCTCAGGAAGCCGCTAGGAGCGAGCAAGGCTAGTGGAAGCGTGTGTTTTGTCCCTCATTCTGAAGCCTATGACGACCTCTTGTGGAAAGAACGGCAAGTCGACACTGTTCTTGAACGCCCATTGGTAGGCGTTGGCTACTGAGATGCGGACTCAGTGAATACGAGAGGACCCCCTCAGTTGAAATCTCCTTGTCAACATGAAGTGGAAGTGCTATTTCGAGGGCATAAATAGTGCCTCGGAATCGGCTGAGAAAGAGTGTCTATGAGAACAACTCATAGTGACCATCCAGTCGGAAAGAACCATCCTATACTGAATTTTATCTTATGTCTTCAATTTTGTTCTGCGTTTCTTTGATACTGCTTCTTCAATCTTTTATTCTGTTGATCGTTCTTATACAATCCCTATGTCCAATCAAGGAGACCTTATGGAATCGGGCGAAACCACGGGTCCTACCCAGGGGACGATACCGGAGACCATTGGTACCCCAGGGGCCGTTCCGAACCCCCAATTGTCACGAGCCATATCACCTGGGACAATGCAAGCTCTGCATGCACTCCCAGCAGACATGGCGGAAGCCCAGTACGTTCAGTGGCTATCCGCTACAAACCCGACAGCCCAGGTCCAAACCATCAAGGCCTTGGCGTGGGGGATCCAGGAAGGTCAGCGCCGACAGGAGGAACAACAAAGAGCTACCGAAGCGGCAGCCAACGTTCCGAGTAACTCCTCAGGATCAGCCATCCGTGGAACAGCTAGCACAGCTGGACTCCTTCCTGGGAGAGCAGATTGGGAGACTCGGAAGGCACTCCTCAAGGACCTAGTGGGAATCCCTGAGTACTTTGGGCAATTCAAGGACGATGCGGCGCGCAAATGGATACTCGCGTGTGAGCGCCACTTCCAGGATGTGGAAGGGCTTACCGAAGTCGAGATCTCAGATACTCAGAAAATTATTGCAGCCAAATCGAATCTCCGGAAAGCTGCCGAAGACCGATGGCGGGTCATGTACGGAAGAAAATCAATTCAAGGCATGCAATGGGAAGAGTTCAAAACTTGGGTTGAAGAGCAATTCAGTGAATACCTCAGTCCGGAAAAGAGGTATGCCAAATACCGAAGGATGACCCAGGGGAACCAAACTCCTTTTCATAAGTATGCAGCCGACCTACGCCAAGCGGCAGACGATCTGGAATTCAGAAATATGTCCGAAGACCTGATGATAGCGGATCTGATTCATGGTGCCAAGGCAGATCTCCAGGTCCGGTGGCATGCTCTACCAAAGCATCCTACCGAATGGAACGCCGTTGTGAAAGCCTTTGTGGGCCTGGAAGAGGGAGCTACTAGAGGACATGCTGTATCAATAACAGGTGACCCTATGGACCTCTCATACATGCAAGGTGCACCGCTAGGATCCACTCCAGGGAGGAAGAAAGAATTCAAACAGACATCAGAGAAGAAGGGTGAGCAGTCAAAGCCCAGGATTCCAAGAGGCCGTTGTTTCAATTGCGGCCTGTCTGGACATTACAAAAGAGACTGCCAAACCTCAAGGAGGAAAACGCAGAACACAATGACATCGCCGTCGGGAAAAGGACGGTAAGACAGGGAACAGCTAGACCAACCGCTGTTAAGATACTCCTTGATTCAGGAGCCTCCCACACCTTTGTGTCACAAAGGTTAGTGCGGAGAATGGGGGGAGAGATTCAGTATCAGAAAGGTGGGAGATCGCTTTCGGTACGATTACCGGATGGCGGACAGATCCCCACCCATGGATCCTTTACAGTCCTTGTAAGGATTGGAGGATGGTTCGGAAGGATCAATGTCTGGGTTCTTGATATCCCAGAACATGATATGATCCTAGGCAGAGACTTCCTTCGGAAATACGACCCGCGGCTAAGTTGGCGTACTTCGCAAATGCGGATTCGAGATGACCAAGGAAGGGAACATACGGTGCTGCCGCTGCAGGGCAGCCCGGTTGTCACGAAGGGCATAGCTTCGTTCGACTTGCTTACAGGAAAGCAAGTGAGACGCGCTCTGAGGAAGCGCATTACTCAGGCCTATCTTTTTCTTGTGCAGCCTACACAAGATGAGGCTGAGGGTTCGGAATTCAAGCTGGTCGTTCCGCACCATGACGACTCGAGAGTTAGGGAGATTCTTCTGAAGCATCAGAAGGTCTTTCCGGAAGAATTGCCGAAGGAGCTACCGCCAGAACGTGACCACGCGCATGAGGTGGATACAGGGGACGCCAACCCTGTGAATATTAATGCATATCCGCTTTCCGTGGAGAAATTGGATGAGTTGGGCCGCCAAATTGAGGATCTGATTCAGAAGGGCCTGATCCAACCGTCCGCAAGTCCATGGGGGTTCCCAGTCGTTTTTGTTCGGAAACCGGACAATAAATGGAGGATGTGTATTGATTACCGAGCACTGAACGAGGTCACTTTGAAGAATGGTTATCCCTTACCGAGGGTTCAAGAACTCCTTGATATCATCGGTAAGGCTAAATTCTTGTCAAAGATTGACCTGGCGTCGGGATATTGGCAGGTTCGTATGGAAGAATCCGCCATTCCGAAGACAGCTTTCAACACAGTCTGGGGGAAATTCGAATGGCTCGCCATGCCATTCGGGCTGTGCAATGCACCCGCCACATTCCAGACTTTGATGAATCAAACCTTACAGCCACTTCTCGGAAAGTGTGTGGTTGTGTATCTGGACGACATCTTAATCTTTTCTGAATCAATGAATGACCATTACCGACATCTTGACCAGGTCCTACAGCTATTGGGACAGCAACAATTATATGCACGACCGCAAAAATGCATATTTGCTACCCAGCAACTAGAGTTCTGTGGTCATATCGTCGGAAATGGAACAGTTCGTACCCAACCAGAAAAGATCAAAGTCATCCAGGAATGGCCACGGCCAAGGAATGTGCACGAAGTTCGACAGTTCCTTGGTCTCGCCACATATTATCGACGGTTTATCCGAAGCTTCGCACGAATTGCAGCACCGCTACATGAGCTTCTAAAAGAAGCTGATGCTCAGCTTCGGGTAAAAAAATTTCGTCCTGTCAGATGGAACACCGCAGCAGGATTGGCTTTTCGGAATCTTAAGGAAGCCATGGTTACTGCACCGGTTCTGATGCAGCCAGACCGACTCAAACCCTTCATTATCGAGACCGATGCATCAGAATGGGCTATCGGTTTCGTACTGTATCAAGAAGGCGAGGATCAAAAGTTGCATCCAGTAGCATTTGACGGTCGAAAATTGAGTACCGCAGAACTGAATTATCCGGTCCATGAAAAGGAGCTGCTTGCAATCAAGGAAGCACTCCGACTGTGGGATCGATACATCGAGAACGGAACCACCACAAGAATCATCACAGACCATGCCAGCCTGCAATACCTCCAGACAACTAAAACATATAGCAAGCGACTGGCTAGATGGGTGGATGAATTTCAGCAGTATGACCTTAAGATTCAGTACCGAAAGGGGTCAGAAGCTGTGGTTCCAGATGCAATCAGTCGGCGGCCGGATTTCGTCGAAGACACACCAGCCAATATAGCTCAAGATCGCCCTGACTGGGTGGCTCAGTTAAACACTCTTACAGTAGGGGATTTTTCAGAACAAGACTGGCTCAAAGCCACTGAGGAATTCTTGCGTTCTGGACACCTCCCTACCAACAAGAAGCTGAGCCGATACGTCAGAAAATTTGCACCACACCTCGGCTACAGAACAGTGAAATTACCGATGAGAGCTGATGCGGACACTAACCGTCAACTGGTTTTCACACATGCTGACGGGGTGGTGGCACCATATCTTGAAATGCCCCTCCGAGAGGATTTCGTGCGCAGAATGCACGAGGAATTTGGACACTTGGGATATCCTGGTCTTCAGGGAGTAACACGGCCCCGCGCCTGGTGGCCGACAATACGAACTGACATCCAGGAAACTGTTAAGAGATGTCCAAACTGTCAGGTTGCCCAGGGATTAAACGAATCCCTGGAAAGAGAGACTGCACAGCACCTTGTGAAGGAAGGAATCCGTCCGTTTGAAAGGTGGGGGATCGATCTTGTGGGTCGCTTACCGACGACTCCGAACGGTAACCAATGGATCATCACCGCCATTGATTACGCTACTGGTTGGACTGTGGCTCGTGCTGTACCGGATGCCACGGAAGAAACCATTGGCCAGTTCTTACACGAGGATATCTTCATTCAATACGGTGCACCACGGGAAATAATTACCGACAATGGCCGGAACCTGATTGCTAAAGCAGTGGAATATTACATCAAACTTTTGAAAGCCAAGCACCGGACCACCACCCCGTATCACCCCAGAACGAACGGGAAAGTTGAAAACTTTAACGGGATACTGGGCCGGATGCTGACAAAATACCTAATGGGTAAACCAACCCGACTGTGGGATGAATACCTACCGCAAGCTCTTTTTGCCGCAAGGGTTCATGAACATAGTGTGCTCGGTGTGAGCCCGTACTATCTGGTGTACGGAGAACATCCAAGGATTCCGAGTGACGAGAATTCGGAATGGGACGACTCAGTAGGACCTTTCCAAGATTGGGAAGATCGAGTCCGTCTGATAAATCATGCGCGGTCTAAAGCAAATGAGCTTCTGTTAAATCGAGCTATCAAAACCCAGAGAATTAGGGATGAAGCTGTGACCAAAACGAGTTTCAAACCAGGACAATGGGTATTGCTTCGGAATGAGTATCGACAGAAGCTGGATTGCCGCTGGTACGGCCCCTACCAGATCTTGAAGGCGCATCCATTGGGCACATATGCGCTGGCCGAACCAGGAGGAAGGGTCTTGAGGAATTTGATCAACGGAGCGAGGCTTATCGAAGCGCAAGTTGATAATCCAGATAGGCTGTGGACATCGTCACTAGCAAAGCGGGCTATTCAAAAAGCGGGCTACACGCTACACAAACCACAGGAAATTCGCAAGATCCTAGACAGCGAGGAGCCTACACCCCCCTCATACTCAGAACTCTCCACCATCACCAGAGCTGAGTGGGAAGCACGTGAACGTTCAGGGGAACATTCAGTTTCAGTGGGGGAGGATGAGGCTATCACGGAACGTGTCATTTCGAAGAAACGAATGAAGCAGCAACGTACCGTGAGGGCTGTCAAATCTTCCGCAGCAAAAGGCCCTGCTGCAAGTAAAGAAGATACAGAAGGAGCGGAAACTCGTAAAACTAGGGCTGCTAGAAAGGTTACCGAACGACAATTGAATACTGAATTGGATTCATTTCAATACAGTACATCTGGCCACCGCCAGGAGGGCAGGAGCGCTCTGGAGATACTGAAACCCATCCGGAAATCCACGCGCCAAAGGAAGCTAACCAAAGACCGAAACCCTGACTTGATCCAGTATTAAGAAGAGACAGATTCAACCATGTCCACTACGACTCTTAGTTCTGCTCTCTCTCTGATTCCGAAAGACCACTACCTTGCCATGAGCTCTGAGTAGGTGGCTTCTGGGTTAGAAGTTGGATCCGACGTCCAATTCGGTATGCATCCCATGTCGCTCGTTGGCGAACTGAAAGCGCATCATGGTAGGCCTGGCGCAGAACACGAAGATCAGACTCCTGCCGATCCAATTGAGTGGTTGGGGACACATATAGGCGATAATCCACAGCTGGCATGTCCTCATGCGGATTAATTGCTGGTGGAAGGTCGAAATACCAGCCTGAACGGGTCAGGGAGGTCGGAATGGCTAGAGAAGGTGATTCTACTGAAGCGCGCGGATGCTCCTGAATATTGGAACGGACTCGAACACGACGAGAACCCCTAGTTAAGCCATGGGAATGGCCTCCCGGAGTGGAACTAGCTCCATATCCTCGGAAAACACCAGAACGGGATTGACCATTGTGGCCTTGAGTAACAGGGGCAGTAGGCTGTTCCAAATGCCGGATCACTGTGCCAGAACGAGGTGGAGCGGTCTTGGCTAAAGCTTTGGTACGACCTCGTCGCTGAACCGTTGAAGGAGCAGAGCCTGTAGCTGCAAGGGATTCAGAATTCTCGTACGCCCTTATCCAGAGAGGACGCATGGTACGGAAGCTGCATTTGGCTCCTCCATCCAGAAAGGCACAACACAGACAACTACCCTGGAACATCAGAGTGTTGCTGTCATCTATCGCCACACGGCAGCTCTCAAAGGAACCTTTTCCAGAGGAACAGTAGCTACACTCCTCACCCAGAGGTGCAAGCTGTCCGAAACGCTGCGCCATTGCTGCTCGGCGCTGTTGAGCGCGGTTGCAGTTTTTGAACTGTGGAATACCATCCACCACCCTCCAATCCACGTACCGAGGTTGCTCAGGCAGCTTCCTAATTACCGCTCGGTCTGCATCGGTAGTGAATGATGAAACAAGGGGATTTCCTCTCATATCAATGCACCACTCTGCTAGTTTGGTTGTTGGAAGACCGGAATATTGGAAAAACGGAACCTGGCTTTGAAAACGCAGACGCCAACGAGGAACTGGAGAAGATGTTTCAATATTCTCCTCCTCAGGAACCGTCCGTTCTTCTTCTTCCTCTTCCTCCTCTTCCTCTGCTTCTTCCTGGTGAGAGGGCAGCGTTCCGTCACGTAAGGAGCGAGGATCCCCAGAAACCGAATCTCCGCTCTGAGAACCGGCCATGATGGCGGGTTCTGGCGACCACAAGCATTCCAGTCGCTCACGGGCCGCTGACACAGCAGCTTCCTCCAGGCTGTCCGAAGCCGCTCGGGCAGCTGAGGGACTGACGATGGTGATGAGTGGTTGAATGTTTACAGACGGAGACAGAAGAGCCTTTTCACTCCTTATAAGGCTAACGTCCCTTACCCACTGATTTTCCATAACACATTCCTTGATACCGTCTTTGATTCGGTGACCAAACGTTCTTTGATCTCTTTGAATCACTACTGAAAGGATTATCCTTCAATAGGTGGATATGGAGATGATACTGGTACAGAACAAAGACGTGGAGTACCGAATCCCTGCTCTTCCCTGAACTAATTTCGGTACTCTTTGTTTGACATGCTTACTCCGGTTCTGATTACTACCCAATTGCTATCTGAGTTCCTCCCGTCTTTGATCTCGAGGGCGAGCTCGAATCTAGTGGGGGAGGATGTGATATTTGGCACAGAATACGCGGTATGGTCTGGTACTGACAACCCTGGTTAGGTCAGTCAGTACAGTGTGGAACAGGCTTACTAAGTTCCATTCGGAATACTGAATCTCCGATTCAGTACGCTAGTGTATATAAGACCGTATGCGCCAGATAGTTTTCAGAACTAGACAATCCCTTCTGTTGAGTTATCACAAACCTAAAACTCCGGCAAGCCTCAACATCCAAGATCCAACACGAATACACTTGGGACCTAGAACGATTCTGCCTCTCATACGTTTCAGGCTCCGCAGTCGCGCCCGCAGGCTCGGACGACGTCGAGCCCGAGGAACTTATAGCGCATATCAGTGAAATTAGAGAATGGGCCGAGACGACGGAGAAATTGTTGAGGATTATGTCGTTCACGGATAAACATGTTAGCTCGAGCTGGCCTGATTTTCCTGGTAATGACCTTGCGAGGACATGGTTGGCACCGTTTGAAACGGGGGTTTGGAAGTGGGAGAGGTTTCGTTCTTCGCTTGTGGCGAGGGAGGTGCTTTGGGGGATGCGGCTTCCGCCGAGCCTGGATTTAGCTACGAACTATAATTTTAGAATGTGGGTGCTTATGGGACTGATGGGGTTGAAATTTGAGGAGGTGCAGATTGCCATAATCTAGGGCAGTTTCTTTTGCATACTAGAGATTTGGTGAGCAGGGAGAAATAAATTGAATCATATTCTCTTATGATAATGCCGCACCTATGCCCAATATATTCTCAAACCTAGCGTCATCTCCCAGATTCATCGACTGCATCCAGATCATCTGATCCAGGTCTGGGACATGGCTTTGCGTGTCGTCGCCCGCAAAAGCCGTAGAGTCGTGCTCTATGCTTCTTAAAGTCCGTCGGGATTTTTTCCTTCTTGTGGCGTGCCGGTGGGTTTGGCCCCCGATGTCCGTTTGCCCATTCAGAGGTGATGAACATATCCCGGTTTTCTTCGGACACTTTTCATATGCTATGGGGTCCAGAAATGTCTCCCTTGCAGTAGTTTGTCCAGAGAAGAAGATTTTCTGGTCGGATATTAGAATGTGTTGATTGCGGATGGTAGTCCGGCGGTCGTGGGGTTGATACTACCACCCGATAGCTTATATGTGAGGCCGTTATCTCTCTCACATCCCAGGCTTTGTACCAAAACCCGCCTGTGTCGTTTGCTACACTTCTGAGGAGATGGAGTGGCAACATCAATACGTTCCGGAGATGGAAGAGAGCGGCGCCAATACTCGGTGTCAATAATTTTTGGCAAGCAAGACCAAATGGGTCCCTAAGCCTCCGACGGGAGTCCCGACGGCTCATCAATTGATCCTGTTAAATACCAACACTGTTGAATACAACCAGGCGTAAGCGAGGAATAGAGACCTTGTTGCTCAAGGAGAGTACTAACTGGTTTCCCCAAAAGCCATTTTTGTGGTGACTCTTTTTCACTCCCAATTTCATTGAAATAACTCAAGCATTCACTTCAGATTCCCACTTTAATGTAATTCTTCACTTCCAATACTGCTCACCGGCCAAAACCCCAACTCAACAACATCATATTCACTAGATGCAAAACAAGGCCATGATATGTGTTCCTCATGTAGAAAGAAACCACAGTTAGTTGAAGAACGAAAAACTCGAGGCAAGGACTAACACTCAAAATGTGATGTTCATACCAGTACTAGTTTGAATTATCTCTCACCGCTTCACAATAGACAAACCTGGCGTTTAGACTTAAGCTAGTCAGTATACGCTTTAGGCCCGCATCACATATACCCGACAAGAGTAGGTGACCAGGGCCAAAAACTGATAAAAGAAAAGCAGAGCTATCCTTCACAAAGATCCTAAAACTCCATCCATCGTAATAAGGCATGAACAGCAGCAGAGATCTTGACCGCCGAGCATGTTTATCTCGTGGTGTTCAAGGTTCTTCCCCGCATTCACATCCGGCCCCGCTTTACGTCACAGACATCACCAGGTTCAGGCCGCCCGCCCCATCTTGAATTCCTCTTCCCTTCTCTCCATACCTGTTAGCACTTTATGACAGCCAGAACCATTTACCTCATCACGTCCCGCAATGCGGAAGTCCAACGGGCGCATTTTGCCATCTTTGTTCCTTCCGCCGCACAACCAGACCAAGGAACGTTGATCGAGGCAGTCGGCGCACCGATGACCGGCTACACTCTGGAATTCAAGCGAAACTATTCTCCCATCAACGACACACAAGAGCATTACTCGATGATACCGATCGGAGATGTCGACTCTGAACACATCCTTGATGCTACAACTGACGTGAAGAGCTCCGACAACGAACCGAGAGACAACCTCGAGATCGCTGCAGCCCAGGTGCCGACCCCTGGACTGAGCGAGAATTTCCTGGCACCAGTCAACGATGTGAGTAATCCTACCATCATCCCCATGCCTGAAGACGGCGATGAAAAAGCTTCACTAATGTATATCATATCAGACCTCAAACAAGCGATGCCAAGAATGGACAATGGAGTACATCCGCCATCTCGTCGGCAAACGACTGATTGGATCCGGTGCCATACAGATCGTCCAGTCCAAGCGTGATCCACCGAACCATGGGACGGGACTACAACCTGCTTTACGGCGTTCAAGCTAGGGAACTTGGATATCGAGGACCGTGCTGTCTGTGAGAACAATGCAGGAACACAACTGGAAGCTAGGAGAAATGGGATGTATTGCCACCGACCACTCCGCAGAGAGTCGGCCGAGCACGGAATCCGCGGCTAGTCTGCCAATCGAGGTTTAATACCGATCGCACGTCGTCGGATCTGTAGGAACCATCCCCGAGCGGCCGGTACTTCAAGTAGCTTTCAACCTGCGTAATCGCGGGGATCTCCATCGACACTATGCCATTTGCCATCTGCGACTTTTCCTTTGAATTTCAAGGACTTCTTCTACGCCAGAGCCCATTGCAAAAGCATCCCGAACCAAATACGATCGAAAAAGCTGTACATGGCCACTGACATATGGGGTCAGCGCAACTTATCCCGGCCGACTGCTTCAAATCCTCGCAAAAGCTGAGTGTAAAATAAGCACAACCACTAGCATCTGAACTAACACGCAAAAGCAGCCTGCTCCCCACGCGAAGAATGCGACATTCTCCACGTGGACAGAAAAGCAGTACAGAATGGCCACTCATACTGTACTAAAAGCACTGCAGCAAGGCCCATTTACTAAAAACAGGCCGCGGCGGAGAAAACTTGATTTGCGCCGTTGGGCTAGCCAAACTCTGATTTGGCGGCTGTCGGGGATTTTCTATAGTGGATCACAAAAGTCCACGCGAGAGACAACGTCGCAGATCGGACGTCAGACCTACAATTGTCAGTCGCACAAGCAAACATAGCGATCATTTTATCCAGTTATCATCAGAAATTGTCAGGTAGTAATTGTAAGACTGTCAGCGCTTGCTCTGCCTTGAATTTGCCCGATGATATCAGTTGTCGCTTCAGATGACTTGTGTGGCTGACGGCTCCACTCTAATAGATTAAAGATGATGAATCTCCCAATCGAGCATGATCTCATCCGGCCGAGACCCCGGTGGCTTTAGCGCTCGACCCTCTCCTTTTTCTGCTTGTCGCGGCCAACCAGGAGCCCTGGTCGATGCGATTTGGCCTGACGATTGGCTCGTCGATACAAGGGGATGATATCAAGGTAAGCGGTACACATTGCAGGATCGCTGTCATCGTCATATCTGAATCTCATTGCGAGAATGAGAGCGGCGGTTGTGAGTTTCGCAGAATCTGCGCAGTATCTCTCTTGTAGGCAATTAAGTCTTTCCAAAACTGCGAAGTCGAGCTGGTTAACGTATAGTTGCACTGTCAAACAATTCTAGGTTCAAATGGTAGCATCTGATGTAATGGGTTCCTCGAGTTTCGATTCGCGCGTATGAAGAACGGGGAGAGAGAGTAGGAAGGGAAAAAAAAAAAAAAAAAAACCTGATGATCGGCATGCACAAGCGACGTCGAGGCTGGCGTAAAACAGGCCACTGTAGTCATGAGCCACAGGGCAGGGCGTCATGACAGGGACTGGACAGTGGTAGACATCGAAGGGGCAAATTCGACTGGAGCAAGGAAACCTGGGAATTAGCCTATACCGTATGCTGATTTGCTCCCACGTTTTATCGAAAGAGCTGCTTCCGTGGATCGCAACCGTTTGACAACCAGTCAACCAACATTGAGGACTTTTCTCGGCCTGCCATGGTCCGATAGCCTGCGAATGCTGGTACACCTGTACAGTACGCAATTTTCCAAGAAAAAGATTCGAGTCGATGGACGGATTGCTGGCAGCGATTTCTGTTGACCAGAAGTAGGACAGACACGGCATAGAGTAGAAGATTGTTTGCATTGAAGGAATCGGCTGATAGAGGCAAACTTCACCCCATCAAAACGGTGCTACCTAGTGGTCCCTCCGCGTCATGTTATACTCCATACCGGCCACGCCGTGCTCCACCTCCATACCCCGATCTAGCCACACCTCCCACTGCCGACGTTGATTCGCAAGCCCCCCTGCCCCAGACAAGGATCCGCCGTCTCTAGGCGCATCTCGACTCATCAAGCTAGCTTCCAAGTCCCACTATTATGATTCCGCTGGTACAACAGCTGCGCTGTGGCTCTGTGGCCCCCCAACCCATACTCTGCACCGTGCACTGCGGTGTACTTGGATCGATCTACAGCCGATAGAGCAGGGATGCGACGGTGGTGAGAGCACTAACGATGATATCAACAGGCCATGACGTAATGGGCTCGATGAGTTCTTGTGCCTGATACAAAGCTACTTATATAGGTCGCTCGTTGAGATGTCATGCTCGATGATATCAGAATCTTTGAACTTGTTCATTTAAACTCGCTGCTCTTCGCAAGAATCCAGAGATTCTTGTTTTATTATTTTCTCTTTCAAAATCCCTTTTGCATAAGCCTTGAACCTTACCTCCCGATCCTCGCTATTGTACATTATACCTACCTCCCTCACGAAGCTTACGACGTCACTATCCTATTGCGACGAACACCCGACTACTACATCGATCCAATCAGTACACACTCATACTCTTGATTGAACTGTTATTATCGTCTCGTTTTTCGATCACAAAACCTTCAACCCCATACACCCGGTTCACCCCCATTGTCCTCCTACGCCAGAGCATAATGTCGTCTCCCGCTGTTGGCAAAGCACCTCCCAAGCTCGGCTCGAAGAATGCAACCCCTCTAAGGACCCGCAAGGGCTCCGGCTCCAGTGCCGCCCCGAAGTCCCCCAGTGTCGCAGAAAGTCCAAAGTCCGTAAAGAAGACATCCGCGCGCAAGCTCACCCCCAAGGCACCCCAGCCTATTGACGACAACCTCGACGAGCAATCCATCCCCGAGACCCCGTCGCCCAAGTCTAAGAGTCAGATCGCCTCGTCCGAGCAACGCCGCCCTTCCTCTCCACCCGAAGATGTCACCACCCAGGCTTCCGGCTCTGCGGCTCCTCTTGGTGGCGCCGTGGGTAAAGCCAAGGGTCTTGCTGGCAAGGCCAAGGATACCGCGCAACAGGGCGCCTCATCTGTCACAAAGAACCTGCCCAACCTGCCAATCGACTTGTCCACGTTGAAGGGACTTGTTGTTTCCAACGGAGGCAAGATCCTGGGACAAGATGGAAATCCTCTCGGCGAGGTTGTTGAAGGGGATCCCGATGACCTTGTTGGACAGACTGTTGGTGATGATGGTGAGATTGTTGATGAGGAGGGTGATCTCATTGGTCGCGTTGACGTCCTTGAAGGTGCTGTCGATCAAGCGAAGAATCTCCCCGAAGAGGCTGGGTCCAAGCTTGACGCTGCTAAGGACCTTGTCACCGATCTCTCCCAGCTGGAGGGCCTGCCTGTCTCCGACGGCGGCGTGATTAAGAACTCTGCTGGTCAGATTGTTGGCAAGATCACCGAGGGAGACCCTGAAGATCTCATCGGATACACTCTCAACGACGATGGTGAAATTGTCGATGATGAAGGCGACGCAATCGGTCGTGTAGAGCTTATCCCTGTTGAAGAGCAGAAGAAGGCGATTGAAGAAGCTGTCGGCGACAAGGATGAAGTTGACGACAATTTCGAAGATGCCCAGGATGGTCTGAATGCTGATCAGGTGAAGGGTGCTGTCGACGATGCTAAAGGCCAGGCTGAAGACACTGTTGATGACGCTGCTGATCAGGCCAAAAATGCCGTTCCTGATGTCGATGAGGCCAAGGGTGCTGCGGAAGAGAACATCAACGGTGTCAAGGACACTGCTGAAGACGTCGCTGAAGATGCCCAGCTCCGCATTCCCGATCTCGATACTCTTGAGGGCCTCACCTGCAACAAGCGCGGCTATGTTATCGACAAAACCACCGACAAGCCTGTCGGCGAGCTTATTGAGGGCGACCCCAAGAAGGTGGCTCGACTTGGTGCTACTCTCGACGAGGAGGGCCAGTTCTGGGACAACCGTGGCAACGTCATCGGCAAGATCAAGGCTCTCCCCATCGAAGACGACGAGGAAGAGGGTCTTTTCGCCGGATTTGAAGGCCTAGTTGTTGGCGAGGATGGCTGGGTCGAGGATGAAAACGAGACTCGCGTCGGTCGACTTGTCGAAGGCGATCCCAAGAAGCTGCTTGGTCGTGGAGTTGATGAGGATGGTGAAGTCCTCGACCGCCATGGTAGCGTCATCGGCCGTGCTGAGCGCTATGAAGAGCCCGAACCCGAGGAGGAACCTGCTCCTGATGTCTCTGTCTTGAATGGCATGCACTGCAACAAGGCCGGCTATGTCATCGGCTCGGAAGGCTTCCCCATTGCCCGCGTTGTCGAGGGTAACCCAAAGGAGCTTGCCGGCAAGCAAATCGAAGATGGCGAGATTTATGATGGCAAGAAGGTCGTCGGTCGAGTCGAAATGATCCCCGAGGATGAGCTCGAGAGCAAATCCGAGGGTCCATTTGCAGGTATGGAGAGCCTTGTCGTTCGAAAGGACGGCTTCGTCGAAGATGAGGATGGTGCTATTGTTGGCCAGCTCGTCGAAGGCGATCCCAAGAAGCTGCGTGGTCGTGCTGTGGATGAAGATGGCGAGATTACCGACAAGTACGGCAATGTAAAGGGTCGTGCTGAGCCCTATGAACCTCCTGAGGCCGAGGAAGAAGATCTGTCCATCCTGGAAGGCAAGGTCGTCAACAAAAGCGGCAACGTCGTTGATCCTGCCACCGGCGCTGTCTTCGGCCGCATCGTCGAGGGCGACAAGAGCCTTGCCGGCTGCAAGGTCGATGGCAAGGGCCAGGTCTGGGGCGACAACGGCCAAGTCGTTGGTCGTGCCGAGCTCATCTCCGATGCCGAGCAGCAAAAGGCCGAGGGCCCGTTTTATGGCTTTGATAACGCGGAGATCGCGAAGGATGGCGTGGTCATGGACGGCGATCGTATCATCGGACGTCTCATTGAAGGAGATGCGAAGCGCCTTCGAGGCCGCAAGGTCGACGAAGATGGCGATGTTCTCGACAAGAATGGCAACTCCATCGGCAAGGCTGAGCGTTGGGAGCCCGAGGAGAAGCAGCGCGATGTCAACCCCATGGCTGGTCGTAAGGTCACCAAGGAGGGTGAGGTTCGTGATGCCGATGGCAACCTCATTGGCAAGCTGACCTCTGGTAACCTGGCTACTCTCGTTGGAAAGTCCATTGACGACAATGGCTTCGTCGTCGACAACGATGGCAACAAGCTGGGAGAATGCACCCTGCTTGAGAACATCCTCGATGAAGGCCCGACTCCTGAGGAGAAGGAGGCACAGGAAAAGGCTGAGCATGATCGCCAGCTTGCTGAGAAGATGTGCAACATTGTGCGCCAGACACTCGATCAAGTCAAGCCTGTCTGCAAGCAGATCACCGACGTATGTAGAACCAAAAAAAGCGTGCACAAAGCGAATCACTAACTGAAGTCATTGCAGCTCCTTGAAAAGGCTGACCGTACCCCCAAGGACGAACTTAACGAAGAGAAGCTCGTCCAGAGCGTCAAGCCCCTCCTCGAGCAGGGCGGCCAGATCCTGCAAGAGTGCAACGGCGCCATCCGCGCCCTCGACCCCGACGGTCGCATCGCTGCGACCGCAAAGGCTCGCGCCTCTTCTCGCGACGCTACCCCCGAGGAATACCAGCTGGCCGACATGCTGAAGGAGCTGACTGAGACTGTGGTCAAGACCATCGACAACGGCAAGAAGCGCATTGCCGACATGCCTCACGCCAAGAAGAAGCTGAATCCTCTCTGGGCTCTGCTGTCAGAGCCACTGTTCCAGATCATTGCGGCCGTCGGACTTCTGCTGAGCGGTGTTTTGGGCCTGGTTGGCAAGTTGTTGGATGGTCTTGGTCTTGGTGGTCTGCTGAACGGCCTGCTGGGCGGTCTGGGTCTCGACAAGTTGATCAGCGGCCTTGGGCTCGGCGGCTTGACTGATGCGCTTGGTCTCGGTGGAAACCAATAAATAAAAAAGATGCTTTTTTGGACTGGTTCTATAGGGTTGGTATTTCATTCAGGCTGTTGATTCCCAAACGTGCTCTAGTTATAATGCGCCTATTTGATTTCGTTCCTTACTCCGCGCTCTCGGTCTGTTGTGATGTCTTTTGCTGCTTGGCTGTTTGGAAAACTTCCTACTTGCAATTTCTCTGGCTTGCCTATTTGATCTCATATAGGAGTTAGTAATGACTTGCGTACTTCTTTCTAATTCTGTTTGCGCCATACGTGAAAATATAAGCCGAAGGTCCTTCTCTGCCTTGAACACCTCTCCGTCGTTTTATGAGGAAAATGGACAGCTGGCTAACCAGGTGTATGATCTGACACGAAACCAGGATTCACATAGAGCATCGAATCCGTAGGAACAGGATGGAGGTGACAATCGATATCAGTAAGAAAAATAATTGCGGAGCGAAGCGAAGCATTCTACAACGGCAACCCGGTTCAAGTCCTGCGCTTTCATTGGTCGGAGATTACACCGCTGCTTATATTCAGTTTCCAGCTTCTTGCAGTGACCCTGATTTCTACTGCATGTGGGACCAGTTTGGTCATGCATCCACGATATGAGATTATACATGCTAGCCTCGCTCCTTCCCGTGCCCTCCTTTGCGCAGTCTTGAAACGTAATTTCGCCGAGATTTATGAAAAAGACTTAGCCCTTGAAATATTGCTAACCACAAGTCGGGTGATATGCTCGTAAGGAGATGAGGGAATTATCACGAACTCTGTCTGTATTGGAGCTTATATTTGACCCCTTCCACTATGATAATGCAGTTACTATCCTGAGGCCCTAATAAAAGTTTACGACTTGCAATTGAAGGGATCATCAAGGATTTGACTTTACTGGAAATTTGATAGGATCAAAGCGGTATGTTAGACCCAGGCTCAGCCCCAACCCAGTCCGACGGATCCAGGTTCGTAGTGCAGTTTGGCTGGAATGCAGCGTGTTGAGATTGTAGGTCTTGATTAAGGTCCTTTTGCTGCTTTATATCAAGTTCGTGATTAGTCTCCCGTACCTCACGATCTCTCTTGCCGATAATCAACTGGGCCTTGTCGTCATGGCGTTGTTTCTCGTCCGCTCGACATTGCTTCTTTCGACCCGAAATTGCTTCCTTCTCTGCGAGGCATGCCTGCTCCTTCGTTACAAGATCAAGTTTGTCGCTCGCGAATTTTCTATCAGTTCCTTGTATAGCTGCTTCTCTTCTTCGCACGAGGTAGGGGCAACTGGGGGTTCAACGTCTTTATCATTCGGAGTGTACTTGCTCAGAATCATATATTCCGAGTGGTTATGGCGTTTGTATGTCTCATCTGTAATGAAGAAGCAATCCCATGTCGCCCATGGACCAGGAGGGTGCCCCGCAAGAAGGATCAAGGCCACAAAGAGTGATGGCATTTGGAGTGGTACATCCGTCTTTTTCGGTACCGGATGTAAAGCAGCCGCAAGTATAATTGAAGTCGACACCACAGATCTGTTCGCTGGCCTAGATTTTTACTCCCCGGGGGCAACAGGTACTGGGAGAGCTCGAGGATAAGCAGGAGCTGCCTCCAATCACAACCTGCTGAGCCGAGGCAGATGCGGCAGCCAGCAGGAATACGACAGATTTTGGATTTTGCGACCATCGTTGGCTAGTGGGTTGCAGATTTTGGTGGGACAAGAAGAACATATTTGAAGCCAGGAAGCAACCTCTATAAATACTTACGGGGGTAGAAGGGGCAAAGCCGCTTCATCATATCTGCGACCACGATCTGCCATCTGTATTATGTCAGCCAGGAATAGGGAGTCTCCGCGGAAGCGGACGATCATCAATATGTGGAGCTTCTCTATTACCGTGGGCGTATAGGTATGATCGTTGTTTTTATTCCCTTAAACTCCTATCCCTTACATATCTTCGACTATTGTGGCTATAGAAAAGCCGGTTACGGTGCATGGATCGCATCTGTCGGCTGCATGATTCGTGGGGAAAAACAAAACCAAGTATAGGTTAATTCCGCCAGAGCGGTCCGAAATGCTCATTGATCACTCCTTCGACGCTAAGCGTGGACATCAACGCCATTTCTGAAGATCAGCAACAGAAAAAAACCCAATTCCGAACAGCGTATCACATATGTACAAAGTACAAATCATGATTCAAGCTCCGAAGCATGGAGAAGTCGCATTTCCACCAGCTCGGTAGAAACTTAAGACCCATACTATCTTGTAACACAGCATTCAATCCACGGAATCCAACGTGGGGGTGAGATGGCCTCGAAACCCAATCGTAAGTGAAAAAAAAAAAATCATATGGTGTAAACGACACTGAAAAACCTTAATTTCGGTGGTGGTATGTAGTTTCTTATGAAGTCCCTCCAGCTAAATAGACAGCGCAGGGGAAATGCAGCATGGCGGCATCCGTGAGCCGATTCATGTGTGATAGCACCAGGATGCATGCCGATCTGGGATAAGGAATGTAATTGCTCACGATATATCTTTTCTCATGAAAATCGTTTTCTTGTCCCAGTTTTTCCCATACCGGTCCACAACATCATAATAATTCTGCACGATTTTGAGCGCTCGATATCCACGTCGGGTATACCAATCCTGGTTGGCAAACTAGGAGAGATGTAAGCACGGTACGCGGTATGTAGGTGTTTAATAATCACTTACCTTTGGAACATCTCCAAATGTTGCTTTTGCGAAATCCTCACGAAGCTGATCGCTTCTTTCGACAGTATCCAACATCAGTGTCTTGGCTAAGAGCGGTTCGCGAACAGCCATGTTCTCCACCTCGTCCATCGCAGCTCGACCAATGCCCTTGCCTTGCAGGGAATGCAGAACAAAAAATGTCTTAATCCAGTACACCCCATCCGTCGGGATGTCTAGATCAATACTTTCCGCTTCTGGGTTCTTCGAGTCAAGTGAAATGTGGCCAATTGGAATGAAAGACACTTGGGATGGTTGACGTGGCACAGCGTTGATCGATGTCGCAGTATCTTGCAGCTGGCCAATAGTCTATCAAATAGCTTAGCCTTTTTTTCTCTCTGTGTCCATCGGATCTGTATGCGCACATTTAAATCTGGATGCAGCGCTGTTTCCTTATTCAACTCCGCATGATCGGGATGTGGAACCTTTTGGATTCACGTCAGACTTTAAATCGTATATCTGTTGAGCGACTTGAATCATTCGACTCACGATCCAATATATGCATTTCTTGCCATTCTGCTGTTGTTGTCGCCATTTTGTCTCAACCATGTCCTGGTGCCAGCTGCACTCAACCCGTTGCCTGTAAAGCCATTGACGATGGGCCGATGACTCAGAATCCCATGGAAAAAGCACAACCTTGGACTTTTGGCTCATCCTAACAAACGGAGTCGCACAATACTGCCAAAAAGGGATGGGAATATGTATTTAAACTATGAGGTTGGAATGACAGGTCCCGGATTTATAAGATGAGTCAAAGCGGGATGATTCATGTGCGTTACATAATGCGTCCACGCCCTTCGGTGACATCTGGCCCCATCTACCGGCAGAATGTCACATCACCGTTCTTCGGGTGCACAAATCCGCGGTTAACATATTCCTCATAGTTCCAGTAGTCTGTCTGTGTGCCTTCTCCTCCGACGGTCGCGTTCCCAGAAAACTTCCACGTCCAATAGGAGGAACCATGTGCGTATTTGTGAAAGGCAGCCAGTCCAACATTTATATTGCGCTCACGCAGCACAAAGCTGTTGTTGTATAAGGCTTGAATCGACCACTCGCCGACAAACACTGGGAACTTTCCATCGCCCGGGGTAGCCTTTGCGTCTGTGCAAATATAAGATGGGAGATTTTCGGAGGTGGTGTTGCGGCCTTCGAAATAGTAATTGTGCTTATCAAAGACGAGGTTGTCGCTCTGGGAGAAGTTGACAGACCAGTAGTTCACGCTTTTGAAGCTGCCTTGGAACATGATCGGGATCTTACGATTGACAGATGCGACTCGACTTTGAACGGCCTTGATATATTTCAATACCCATGCTGCGCCTTCATCGGAGAGAGCCACTGGGGTTCCGAATACAGACAAGTCGCGGTTGTCGGCAGGCTCATTCATCGGCTCGAGGGTGAAAGATTCTGGGTGACCAGACGCCTGGATGAATGATAGAATGTTGTCGATGACCTCCAGTGAATAATCAAGATTGGTTTGGTTATAGAACCACCCCCAATGACCAGAGGCCTCGCCGATAGTCAACCCATTGTAACCACCGGGCAAAGAGTGGACATCAATTATAATATGCATCCCGTGTTTTTCGATCGCATGTTTTGTGATATCCCGGAGATAGGTAGTCTGCTTGCCAGAATAGAGCTGAGATCCCGGGTAATGGATCCAAGCAGCATATGTGGTCGGGATACGGAGGAGGGTAGCGCCAGACTCAGCAATCTTGTCGATATCCGCCGTGGTAATCCAAGAGGCGTAACGCTTTTCCAGAACAGATCCGCAACGAGATCCGAGGTTTTTGCACAGACCCCATTCGTCATCGGCGCCGCCAGAATATGTGTTCCACCACGTGGTGTCAATAGTCGACTCTTGAACAAGCCAGCCTCCTAGATTTACTCCGTTGGCTTTGAAAGTCTTCCAGTCTATATATTTGGACTTTTCTGCTCCACGCGTCGGGATGGCGAAGGTGCTCGGAATGCCAAGCAGGGCAACCAAGAAGGCAGAACCCAGAAGCATGATGATTCTGATAAGCTTGTAATGAGCTGCCGTCAGCTTGACATCCTTCACGCCCGTTTATAAATGAGGACGAGGCGGGACAAGCGAGCCAAGCTGGAAAATCCGAGTGCAAAGCTTTGTTTCCCAAGCCACACCGGATTATGGACACTAGCTCATGGCTAATATTGCCGGATGGAGAGTAAGTTTGGGCATTGTTTAGTCTGGTGGATCCCACTCAGTATGGCCGAAATTCGTAAGTTGATGACTCGATAACCCTCTGAACTGGCAGGATTGCTCCGGTGTCACGTAATAATGGAAGGTCAACCTCATCGGATAGTCATTTTGTTCGATGCCTCTTTCTGAAATTGATCGATTTAATAAAACAATCGAAAAGGATGAACAGGGAATATCCGGGGTGACCCCTACAACGCGGGGGCAACAAAGTGTGGGGAAATGGGGAATCCGTCAAAGTCATCACACGCAGAACGCGTCGCCCCGGGAAATCCTCGGCTGATTCGAAGTTGGTAGAATTGCCGTCCCAGACTGCCGGCACCGCTAGCCCTGAAACATTGTGCCTAAGATCATGAGGATGCATCGTTTCACCGTAGTGGCTCATTCGCTTGGCTTTAGTTAGAGCAACCGTTGGTTCGGGGTGGAAGACCCCGAAAACCACCCGCAACGTTTCTCGGGATGTCCGAATGCCGAGCTCGCCGTCCCCACCAACACCCCCGATCGTCGCTAGAGTCCCGCGTCGCGCAGGAACAAAAAAAATAATGAGGGGACATCGTTGTCGATTTGTCCAACCCCTTCGTGCAAATTCATATCCGCCATGTCTGCAGCGTCGTCGACCGGGCCATTCGCGTTCTCCCGCCTTGGAATTCATGGGTTCCACGAGGTTCTGGGCATAGATGCTGAGGAGATTCGCCTCTACTGGGTGATCGAGACCCAAACGAGGGATGCCGCTCAAGTCGCCTACCGGGTCGCCCTCAGCACAGATACCGAAGCCCTCGAATCTCCCGATGTAGACAGCTCCAAGCTTGCCTGGGACTCTGGACGCATCGAAAGCGATGAGCAACGCAACATCCTTTGCAAGCCAGAGGGTGGCCTCAAGTCAACATGCAGCTACTACTGGCGTGTTTGGATTGAGGATAATCACAAACAAACCCACCATAGTCCGATCCAAAATTTCTTCACAGCCTATCCTCGGTCCCGACTGCTTCCCCCCTACTCGATGAATCAGACTTACATGCCACACAGCAGCTTGATCTTCCGCGCATGGTTCGAAGATGAGAACGACCGATGGAAGGCTGTTTGGATCGGAGATGGAGGTGACAAGCCTATTTACCTGAGAAAGACTTTCAAGCTGCATCAAAAGCCCACCCGAGCTGTTCTGTTCGCCTCTGGCCTGGGCCACTTCAACATGAGCGTGAATGGGGAACCGGCTTCCGATCATCGCCTCGACCCTGGATGGACCGATTACCACCAGCGAGTGCAGTACACCTCATACGACGTGACGAATCGAATGACCGCCGGAGAGAACGTGATGGGCGCGCATGTCGGGAATGGATTTTATGCAGGAGACCAGGGCGAGGATAGATTCTTCTGGCCGATGTACGAAGACAATACATACGTCAGATACGGGAACGAGCTTTGCTTCTTCTGTGAGCTTCATCTGTTTTATGAAGATGGTTCGCACGACACGCTTATCTCTGACACGACATGGTCAGTGAGAAAGAGCGCGACCACGCTGGCCAATATCTATGCTTCTGAGACGCATGACCGGCGGCTCTATCCAGTTGGTTGGGATTCTCCTGGATTTGAGGCGAGTACATGGTCACCAGCCAAGCCTTTGACGGGCCCCCGTGGTCACTTGTTCTACCAAACTCAGCCTCCAGTTGTGCTCCACGAGACTTTCAACACGGTCAGGACCTACAGCCCACGACCCGGGGTGGTCTGCTTCGACCTGGGCCAGAACGTATCCACCATGGTCAAGATCATCGCTGAAGGCGCGGCTGGATCGGAGATAATCGTGCGCTATACTGAGACAGTCGACGATGAAGGTCTTGCCCTGATACCCGATCCGCTTTTCAAGCAGTTTGAGACTGGCGTGTTCTCCAAAATAACACTCGCTGGCACTGGGAAGCCCGAGACCTGGGAGCCCGATTTCTGCTTTACAAGCGCTCGATGGATCCAAGTGGAAGGAGTTTCCCTGAATGCCGGCGAAGGTCTCCCTGTCATCCACTCTGCTGTCGGTCGCCACATTTCTTCCGCCGCTAGACGACTGGGCACAATGAAAACAGACAAGGAGGATGTCAATGCCCTTCTAAATGCTCTCTACTGGACCTTTAACAGCAACTTGTTCAGTTACCATACCGACTGTCCCCAGATCGAGAAGTTTGGCTGGCTTGAGGTGACGCACCTCCTCGCACCTGCCACGCAGTACATTCGGGATATGGAATCATTGTATACCAAGATCCTCGATGATATCGTCGACGCACAGGAATCCAGCGGTCTCGTGCCCACGATGGCCCCGGAGATTCGGTACATGTGTGGTCCACTCCACGACACGATCACCTGGGGATGCGCCGTGTGTCTCCTTCCTGATATCCTTCTCCGCTACTATGGCTCTACACAAGTTATCCCCAAGGTCTACCCAGCTGCCGTGCGATACATGGAGTACATGCGCACCAAAGAGAGAAAGGGTGGATTGATCGAGCACGGCCTCGGAGACTGGGGTCGAGATATTGCCTTCGGCAACCATCAAGCCAACATCGAGACAGCCATCTACTACAAGTGTCTCCAGTGCGTTGAGATGATGGCTCGCCAGCTCGGCAAGACAGAAGACACAGAAAAATACAAGCAATGGTCCGCACGCATCCACGAGGTCTACAACCGCCACCTGCTCGTCAAAGACGATCCATCACGCCCATACGTTTATTATACCTCCCTCGACAACTTCCCCGAACGTGATTGTACCACAGTTGCCCAAGCCATGGCGATTCAATTCAACCTTTGCCCCGCTGAATACAAAAATGACGTTATGGCTGCATTCGTCGAAGACGCCTCCGACGGGCGGATGCGCGCTGGTGAAATCGGTCTTCGCTTCCTCTTCAATACCCTGGCCGAAGCCAAGCGTCCCGACCTTGTGCTGAAGATGGCTCGACAGGAGGAACACCCTTCGTACATGCGATTCCTTCGTCGTGGCGAGACCACTCTCCTGGAATTTTGGCAAGATGCATGCAGGAGCAAGTGTCATGACATGCTCGGCACGATCTACGAGTGGTTCTATGCTGCTGTGCTTGGGTTGAAGCCGATTGGGAATGCCTATAAAACCTTCGAGGTTGATCCTCCGTACGAGGCGGAGTTCGATCATGTTCAGGGATCGGTTGATTCTCCGTACGGATTAATCAACATTGGATTCAAGCGGGACGCGGCGAAGATCGTTACGCTGGATGTGGCTGTGCCGTTTGGAACATCGGCTGTCGTGAAATTACCTGGCTCAGTGAAGTACGCTGAGGTTACTCGTGAAGGGGACGAAAAGAAGGCGCAGGAAGGTGGTGATGTTAGACTGAGTCATGGATCTTACAGTATCACTATTAGGCCTTGATCCAGGAACCATCTAGTCCTCATTCCCCTCCACGTTACATGATCACAAGACAGCCCTAAACGGAAACGAAAATAGAGAAATTAGATCACAACACTTGTGAGCTGCTTGAATGATGATTACCACCCACAAGATTCCGCTTGAGTGACACTCATGTAAATTGCATATCATCTGATCATGTCAGTGACCCTCCTAGGTAGGATCTCGGTATCCATCTCAGCTGACGCCGAGTCCCTCTCACGTGGTTGGCCCCAGCATCAATTCCGACGCCAAAAATCCCGCACATTACGCCGAGACCGCCGGCATTGCCCCACAGTGAAGCATAATTTCTCGGCAATCCCGAGCAGAACTCCCGCCGTCCCGCGAGAATCGATGCCGAACGCCTGTCTTGATTGGTTACAGCCGGGATGGCTTGCATTAACGCGTCTTACTAACCCCATGGGGGCATCCATCCAGACACAACCAAGCTCCAAATCAGAGACAGTATGGGGATAACTCGGTGCTTTTTTCTACCGAGACTAACGCCTGTGTCCTGCCCTGCAGTCACAAAGTGACCCCCGGCTCTGGTTCTGGTGGGCCGAATTTCCCCGTACCCCAGTCCAAATGAGCCAAATCAGTTTGGCTCGAATGCAGGCGATTCGTTGGTCAGCTTGAGGCAAGGAAAAGGCAATGTTGCCGATCTATCTCCCGTATCGAGACTGGCTCACTCTTCTTTATAATGGGACGATAGTGCGGGTTGAGAATTTGTGCGATTTGGAGGGCTTGCGGACTGTACTTGGCAAGATGAAGATTACCACTTTGCTCTCGGCCGTTTTCCTGGCTATCGCAGGTATTTTCTTGTCTGTGCCTCACTCTCTTGCTTTCACGTTCTGACAGATCCTCGTCAAATAGGTTTCCTGTTTGGATATGACAGCGGTATCATTACATCCACGATCGGCCAGACCGAGTTTATCAAGTACTTCAACAACCCCAACGATGACACAACCGGCGGTGTCGTCTCGGCCTTCCAAGGAGGAGCAATTCTTGGGACGCTTATCAATATGTTGATTGGTGATCGACTTGGCCGCAAGCTCTCGATTTTCAACGGTGCTTGCATCTCCATTTTTGGATGTGCGCTGCAAGCCGGCGCGATCAACATGCCTATGCTGATTATCGGTCGATTCATTGCTGGCGTTGCTGTGGGTATCATGACTGCGGTCGTTCCGATGTACTCCGGTGAGATGGCAGAATCATCCAGTCGCGGTATGATGTCAGGAATGCTGCAGTGGATGTTGAGTTGGGGATATTTCGTGGCTCAGTGGCTTGGATACGGGTGCTCTTATGTCCAGGGCTCATTCCAATGTGAGTATATTCAGGTCTCAATACAAATTTTCACTGCGCTGAGCACGATGCTGACAGCTTTCACTCCCAGGGAGGTTCCCCCTTGCTTTCCAGTGTGTTCCAGGAATAGTTCTTGCGGCCGGCGTCTGGTTCCTGAACGAGTCCCCGCGGTGGCTCATGGAAAAAGACCGCCATGATGAAGCCCTCGCCGCTCTTCATCGTCTTCACGGAGACGGCACTCCCGAGAAGGAGCAATACATTGAGTTGGAGTACCAGGAGATTCGCGATACAATCGAAGCGGAGCGTGCCTTAACAAAGATCACTTTCACCTCAATCGTCACCAAGTCATCATGGCGCCGACGCCTCATCCTCGGCTGTGCAGTCCAAGCCTTTGGTCCCATTTCCGGAATCAATGTGATCAATTACTACGGCACTCGCATCTACTTGTCTCTAGGAATCGACACCCAGACCTCGCTCATGATTATCGGCATCTCGGGTGCACTGTCGATTGTCTATTGCACAATCGGTCTCTGGGCGCTAGAACGTGTTGGTCGTATCAAGCCTCTTATCATCGGATCGCTCGGTATGGCAGGTGCACTGGTTGCCAACGCCGCTATGTCCCAGCACTACGATTCGAACAACAACAATCAGCTCCGCGCCATGGTTGCTATGAATTTTGTCTTCAGCTTCTTCTACACCTTCGTCGGTATTATCTCTTGGGTGTACCCTGCCGAGATTTTCCCCGTGGATATTCGTAACCAGGGGAATTCAATCACCACTTTCACCAACTGGACTGTCAACTTGGTGTTTGCCCAGTTCTCGCCGACTGCACTTACGAATATTGGCTTCCGGTACTTCTACGTGTTTTTCGCTTTCAACATGGTCTCGTTTATTAGTTATATTTTCTTCTTCCCGGAGACCAAGGGGAAGACTCTGGAGCAAATGGACGAGCTGTTTGGGGACGTTCATATGGTGCCCGCAAACCAGAAGCAAGAAGAGATGAGCATGGAGCATTTCAACTAAGCGTATGTGACTTGGAAATTGTCTGTTCTAATGCAAGCAATAGAAAATTTTCTTTATGGTCCGCTTATTAGCTGTAGTAAGACATGAGCGATATAGACGGTGGCGTGGTGCAAACATATTAAACAAAGTTGTCAACACGCACTGCAGCTTACCTCCTCCCTTTAGCGGTCAGTTGAATCTCTCATCTTTTCTCTTCGCTCTCGGTGTATTAGATACATGCTTTCAACTGCTTTCTCACCACGCTTCACAGTCCCCAATCATGGACACTCCACGCCGATTGCCCGATGTGCACTGGATCTGTCGTGGGTATATCTTTTGTTTACGAGGTTTATCCACGCATTGCGTTTAAGATTCCGAAGTCTCGAGAATTCAAACAGAGCAGTTTCTAAAGAGCTCGAAACATACCGAATATTCTCGCAGAGTCCACCTTGTCCGTCTATTGTGCAATGCTTCCACTTCTCAGATAAGGCATCTTCCTCGAATACATGAGAGGTGCATCCCTTAACCCGAGTAGGAATGTTATCAACTAAAAGGCTTCCCAAATAACTCTCTCTTTAGAGGATGCAGGAGAATCACACTCCGGATCATGAAACATGGAGGTTACAATTGTGGAAAAGCCCGAGCCTCTTTCTTTACGCAAAGAATGGATGAATGACTTCGCTCAAGCTGTCGCATTGGGAATCTCCTCACCTCGCTCATGGCGACTTATGGCCTGAAAACATATGTTCGACCATGATCGACTGAAACTTTCCGACTCTGGTTGTACAAGAAAGATTGGAACAATGTACGAAGCTTGCATGGCTCCGTATGGCTGGCTACTCAATTCCAACGAATCAAGGTGATCCTGAAACAACCGGCTTCCTTGGTTCTCTCGCAAAAATTTGCCCTCGGTTCATTGTTTTATTTGATATACTACGGTTTTGAAGTCTATGAAGATCGATGTTTGACCGAAGACCCCTACGACCATGGGCATAAAACTGTAGTCCTTCTACAGAACATGGAGTTTCCTGCGTCGAATGGCAATTCTCTGATCGACAATATCATCGACAAGTACTGGCATAACCAATGTGCAAGGGTATTCGATCTAGCCGCGCACACAGTGGCTTTTGAACCTGGGTACTGAAGTAGTGGTGATCAATGGAACGACGGCTGAGTGAATTGATACATATCGCGATCCGGATCAGGCCCCTTGGGAGAAGAATTGCTAGCGAAAAAGGAAAAATTTCAGGATCTGGAGAAAGTTGAACTCCTTGAAATTCTTCCCTCTGGTGACCCGGAAGAAATCGGAATTAACTGGGATTAGTATAGGCACAGCCTTACAGGTTGAAAACCTACGCAACCCAATAAGAGGACATTTGAGGAAGGCCATGAGAGTCGCATTCGCTCGGAGCTGAAGCCAAAGACTATTATTCTAGCTAGGAAGTTATTTCAGTCGTTCAAACGCGTCTCCATCAGTTTACTTATAGCGACTCAGCTAGACTGTAAAAATCCTTGGCTGTTCCGCCATCCACCTGGAAAGGATGTGGTTTTAAATTCAAACTGCCCCTAGTTTATGAATGATATTATCCTCGCTAGTCCAGCTCTTGAATTGCTGGCAGGGTAACCTAGCCTCGAACATCGCGTCTATCTCCAAAGCAGTGCGGTCTTTCATCTCCGGAACAATGAGCCATGTAATCACGAAGGTTAGGAGACACAAGCCAGCATAGACGAACCCGGTCTTTCCTTTCAAATCACCGGCATCTGTGTTGTAAATATACGGCAAAACAAGATTGAAAACCACGTTCGACAGCATATAGCCGAAAACTCCAATGCCTTGAGTCTTGGCACGAAGGCGCAGCGAGGAAGCTTCTCCGGCGACTGAATAGGACGCTGGCCATGCACCCATTCCGCACACGACTACGACTGCCATCATGCAAGCTGCGGTATACCTGCGCAAATTTGGTTTGTTAGTGCTTCATATATCCCTGGAAATATCGTGATATAAGTCGAGAGGCACATACCAGATCACAATATTGCCGGACCAGCAACCGGAAATACCCATACTCAGCCAGATAATCGTAGAAAGGCCCAGGGTAATGAGCATAAGACGACGTCTTCCGATAAGGCTCATGAACCAGATACCAACACCGTTGGCAAGCAGACCTAAGAAAATCCCCAAAATCAGGACGATGATGCTCAAGCTCGACACCATCCCGACAACTTGCATGAAATAACTCGCACTCGCTAGCAATGGCACTCCGAATAAACTCGGCACCACGAACGCGAACGCCACAATTGCTGTGCGCCGTCTATTATTTCCCCTGAAACAATCAAAATAGGAAATCTCTTGAGAGAGCTGCTGCTCATGCGCAATGGACACACGCATCTGATCGAGCAGTGGGGCCGCATCTAATTTCTTGCTGTGCAAAGTCTTCATTGCTGAATGCGCCTTTTCATATTCATTCTTCCGAAGGAGATACGACGGACTTTCGGGGAGCATAATCGCAAGCGCAAAAGGCAGAGCAGTGAAAATCCACTGTGTGCCAAAAGGAATGAGATATGCAGCAGCAGAGTCCTTTTTCTCACAAGAAAAGATAACAACCGCACCAATAAGCTCACCAAGCAGCATAAAAGTCGGGGAGAGTGCCATCGCCGATCCTCTCAAGCTGGTAGGAACCGTCTCAGAAAGATACGTCTGGGCACCAGCCATTGCACCCCCCACCCCCCAGCCTTGAACAAGTCGCCCGACCAGAAACGCGCCACGTCTCGAGCCCATCTTACCCGGCAGGTTGGAGCAGAATGCAATTGCGATTCCGACCGCACAGATTGCACTGCTCAGGGCAAGTGACCAGCGACGACCGATCCGATCTTGAAGCCAACCGGCCGTACCTGCGCCGAGCATGGACCCAATTGGTGCAATTGCGCTCCAGACTGATAGCCATGCCGCGGGTATGATGTATGCGTCGTTGTAGGATTCGCCGAACTCGCGCTTGAAATAAGGGACTGCGGTGATTGTGCCGAGGATGACGGTGTCATAGCCGGTGAGGAGGAAGTTCAGAGCCAGCGAAAATGCGTAGACGACGATCTTGGGATATCGACCAATTTCATGGAGCAGGCGATGGCCGTCTGGTAAGTGGACCTGAGCCTGACCAGGGGTAATTTCCAAAGGTTCAAATTGTGGTTGGTTCGCCCCTGCATGGGCAGGATCGGTGGCTGACATCCCAGAATGAGGTGTGCAGCGAGGGAATTTCAAATAAAATGGGAGTTTCATTTTGAACAAAATATAGGAGAATCGGTGTTCTATTTATGCCGGTTCGTCCAGGGTCGGTCGCTTATCAGCGAGTCTGGGGAGCGAGGTCGAAGATGTGGCGATTGCAACATGGATAAACTGCCAATGACACCAAGGCATCTAGAAATTTTTGCTTGGCCGCGCCAATGAATCGTCATCCTTGACGAGATTCGCATCTTCTGAGAACAACCACCGATCAAAACGCGGGGGAAGAATCTATGGAGAGCGAGCTAACATTTTCTGGTCGTTTTCTACTTGCCGATACAGCCAATCAAAGCAGAGCATTCGCTGAACCAATGGTTATTATTGGCTGCTTCGGCAACAATCGGCTCCACCGGGATCCATCTTTGCCAGCCCCGATTTATTCTCAGCGGGGCGCCGTGCACAAATCTGGGATGGCATGCTATAGGGGCGAGCAAATTGCGTTTCAATCTGGAGCACGCGTTGAGTCGAGAGAGGCCTTTGATCAAATTTCAGCCGGGTGATCCGGTTTAAATAACTGGCGGCGCGTATCAGAGAATCCCGCCCCTCAACAAGTTGCTGCAGTGAGTCTTCCTTTGGACCAGAACTTATGGAATATTTCTCTGACTGGTTCTAACTAACAAGAGTAGGCCTTCACTTACTCTCCAAAACACTCTCAAAATGGATCTCACCCGTGTCATTAAACCCTGGAAACTGCACCCGCACAAAACCCGAACCTTCGTGAACGCAACAATCATCGACCCAGTCAGCGGCGAGCTGATCCCCAAGGCCACTATCAAGCTATCAGAAGGCTTGATCAGTCGTGTTGACATCGATGGATCTCCCTCATCCGAAGAGAATACCGGGGACGTGATTGACTTGAGTGGAAAATATGTGTGCCCAGGACTGATCGACTGCCATGTCCATATTGCAGTTACCCCCGGTGAAGCCGACTTGCGCGCATATAAGGACATGACCGAGCGCATCAGTCTTCTTCGTCAACCGCACGTTCTCAAGACAATGCTCGGTCGCGGTTTTACGTCGATTCGCGACTGCGGAGGAGCCAGCCTCGCGATGAAAGAAGCTGTGGAAGAAGGTGTCCTTCCAGGACCACGCATGTTTATTGCAGGTATGGCGCTGTCACAAACTGGAGGCCATGGTGATATGCGAGGACCGCACGATGATAAGCTATGCTGCGGCGGATCTATCTCCGGAATCAGTCGTATTGTCGATGGACCAGCAGAGTGCTACAAGTTTGCCCGCGACGAGCTGCGACAAGGCGCCGACTTCATCAAGATTATGGGCGGTGGTGGTGTGGCTAGTCCGACGGATCGCATTGAGCATGTACAGTTCTCGGACGAGGAAATCAAGGCCATCGTCACCGTTGCAAAGAATGCCGGAACATATGTCACCAGCCACAGCTATACTCCCCAGGCGATTCAACAAGCGATCAATCTTGGAGTGCGTGGAATCGAGCACGGCAATCTGCTTGACCTCGAAACCGCCAAAATGATGGCGGAAAAGGACTGCTTTCTCACCCCGACACTGATCGCCCATGTTATGTCGAAGCAGATGAATTTTCTCCCAGCCAAAGGAGCCCTGAAGAACGACGAGGTTCTCGAAAAGGGGCTAAGAGCCATGAAGATGGCCGCGGATACAGGGGTGACGGTTTGTTTCGGTAGCGATCTTCTGGGGCCGATGCATTTTGCACAAAGCAAGGAGTTCTCGGTTCGCAGCAAAGTTCTCAGCTCTCTTCAAATTTTGCAGAGCGCGACCATCAATGCCGCTCGTCTTTTGATGCGTGAGGATTGCCTGGGTCAGATTCGGGAGGGATTTGCGGCTGACATGTTGGTGCTTGATCGCAATCCTTTGGAAGATATTACGGTTCTGGATCGGGCGGAGGAAACTATCTTGGGAGTTATCAAAGACGGACGGGTTTATGAGTCGCGGTTAGAGGGTCTCAAAAGAGAAATTTAATCTCATGTCTTCTCAATCCTGTCGCGATAGCAGACATCTGCCAGCCAATCCTTCTCAGTCGCAGCATGTCAGGTAGCACAATTTAATCTCCGATTATTTTACCCATGAAGAAGCTATATATGAAAAGTTCCTCTCGCTATCCTTGCCTGTTTGATGTAACTCAAATCTTCTGCCAACGATATTTCATGGCCAAAATATGATGGGACACAGTTTCCTCAGCGAGGATACCCTCGAGCATGTCTCACTATCTGCTCGATTTTAGATAGCTTATGGGCCACTAGTACGCACTCCATACCCTTGGCTAGACTGGGGCAACCATATTTCGGTGCTCTGATTGCTCGGTATCGTTATGGTCATTTGCGGGGCCACTTAGCCGAATTCTTCGAAGTGGGTCTCGAGATTATCTGATCGATCAGCGCCAGTGATTTGCGCAGTGGGTTACATGAACCCGTAAGCCGAGGTTTTTGGAACAGCCTTTTTGGGCCAAGGTTTCACTGGAATCCACTTCACCGTAGCCTCGTAGGCCAAAGCCTTGCGCGTGGTATGATTCGGGTCCGCTCTGCTTGCAGGGCTCTTGGGTAGCTTGAACCCTGAGGACTCAGAGTGGAAAGGTGATACCACTACTCAAGAAATAAATAGACCCAATTCCTGCTCACTTGCTTTAACCTTCATCCGCTTTAGGTATCTTTCTCATTGTCCTGTTGTATCTCTCATCATGAAGTTCTTCACCTTCGTTGTTGCTGTGGCTATGGCTGCTCTTGCCTATGCTTGTGTCCCTAGTGAGATAATTCGGATAGACTGAGACACTTGACATCCTCTAATTTGAAGCAAGCTGGTTCCGGCTGTAGCATTGAGGCATGCTGCTCTGGCAATGTCTGTTCCTATGACCCTGCCACTCACCTAATGACTTGCAAACCTACGTGAAGCCGACAATTCCTCTGTAACCAAAAAGTCTCATAAATCAAGAGTACGTATTCGGTGTTTCGCCTCGGCAAAGGCGAGAGAGAAGACTGACATGTTGAATGTATAGGTGTGCGGTTGCAACGGCGAATCCCCCGGCGTATTGGTGGTTAATGAAGCTTACGTACATGTTATCGCTTTCGAAAAGGGGCTCTGTAGCAACATTGTAGCTGACATTTTAGGCTTCTGTGATCGAGTTAGAATAACAGCCCTAGTGAAGCCGATATGCTAAATCACTTGTCTGTAAAGTGCTTGGAAGATCCGTTAAAGTGTATACTGATGAGAATCGGGAGCCAGCAAATGACAAATAAATAACATCAATTCCAGGGTTGTACACATGGGAAGGCTGAGTAACTTATCCGGGATCGCCATTATTCTCGGTAGGCTGTCTGTAAGCTCCAGCAAAGATCAAAAAGCCTCCGGGGTGCTGCGAGTGTCATGAAAGAGCATTGTCGTCCCGCAGCCTACTTACGACGCCCGAATAGGCGTATGAGCCTTGTTTTCTCTGGCGAAATCTCGCGCGGCCTTTTTTTGTTTTGTTTTGTGACAACCAGTCCGTGACTTTGGTATGAGTGTATTGTTTAGGGTTGGCGGTCAGCTGCGTGGCAAGGAGCACATTATTGACGCTCTTCTGGATGCCAGGTTGAGGGTTGAGAGGGACGACGGGTGAACGGTCGAGGCTGTCGAGGATGGATTACTTTGCCAGGACGAAATACCGCAGGCGTTTTCACCGGAGCTTCAATCCTAACGATCGAGCCTAATCAGGTGGCCAATAAATGTGTAGTTGCATCGAAGATCGATGGAAGAAATGCTGAGGGGGTGATTACGCGGGATTATGGGTGACTGCGTGGGAGGACAGCCTCTTGTCTTGGGCATGAAAGAAAATTAAGGAATCAGACAATTCCAGGAACCGAACCTGTGGCTCTTGATGACGCGGAAATAAATTTCTTTCAGAAACGCGCACCTCAAGGAAGTGGATGCCTGGGTGCCTGGGACATCGGCCTGCGAAACAACGTCAAGATCTATTGCGAAGTATTAATTTTAAGACACTGCTATTGCTTTAGATACTTTTAGATATCTTCTAGAACCTCATATTCCGCAGTAAAATGTTCGAAGAATTGCATTTCCAATTTACAGTACTAATTTTCAAAGTAAAAGGTGCTCAACTGTCTCTTCCTTGCCAAGTGCCATGATGGCACCTATATAAACCATTTAAAGGGCATACTGTTCCGCAAAGGGACTATAGCCGAGTGGCAATGGACCATAAGTTTGGAACTGGTGGTGTGAGAGACCTTTGAGGATGGGTTGTCTCTGTGGATTGTCCCTATGTCGGTACACCCCACGTTAAACTACTGGAACTTGGCTTGCCATACGTTCTGTTGGTCTGGGCGCGCGCTTGTAACGCTGTTCATTGAACAGCTTTTTATTTCTTCTTGCTTTCTTCTTTTCATTCTATCCCACAATACCCTTCTTCTTTTATTCCTTCACTTGCTCCTGCTCCGCCCTCCCCTTCATCTTTTGTACTTCCCTCTTTGTGAGGCTCGCATCACCGACACGATCCACTACTTACTCGGGGTCCAGAGAGAAATGGTACGAGAAGACACATTTGATCAACATGGCAAGCTGCGTTACTACAACATACCGCCTCTCGCATCTTTCGACCACAATCACCATTCTTCTGTCAATCTTATCATTCTATAATCTAGTGGTTCTATCAAAATAATTACTTCCACAGCAAGTGTTGATTATATGCTTAGCCGCATACGAAGTCAACTGCATACCAATCTACCAAGGCTCCAAGGTTCCAAGGCTCCTCTTTAGCCGGCAATGGAAAAGGCTGTAGTGGTTAGAGAATGTCAGCTTTTTGCTGCCCATCTGGATAAATCCCTTCATAGTATTCTTCTTTTTTACCTTCACGGTCTCTTTGAGACTGCATTGCAAACATTACTGAACTGGTAAAAATTTCGTGTTTCAACGAGTTTTCCTCCATCCTTTATTTTGCCAAACTAACCTACTAAGGTATGGGAGCGAGTCAAAACCCTCTAACGAGCAACTCTGTGACACTCCAAGAACCCAAGGAGGCCTAAAATTGGCCGCGATGTAAGGCATAAAAAATCCTTGGAACTATGCTCGGTCAACGCGGCAGGGAAAGTCCCCATTATCCTCTATCCCTCGAACAAAACCCGATTGTGTTTCATGCTTAAATTATAACAAAGGCTCGAATTCCCTGACTATCTGCGAGGCCATTGTAAATTGTTTCAGTCAAAGAACTCTCAGTAGCTTTACTTATTGAAATGCCCAAATACAATGTCTTTCATTTTCGAGTATTCCATCCAGGTCCAGCCCAAGTATAAATGTGATAAAATTTCCATGTCTGTTTACACCAACGCATCTTGCGCCAGTTAACTATATAAATCCATCAGCCACTACCTAGATAGCCTCGTACATCCATATCATATTACGTTTATCACCAAACTCAACATTACATTATACCATCACCATGTCTCTTCGCGTCAATCTCGATAAGCCATACGGCCAACGGATGTTCGAAGCGCACCGTTACGACGCCTACAAAGAGCTGGAGAATATTAGCGTCGAGCTTGGTGAGCAGCAAGACTCCTACGAAGTCCTCGCAGATAGACTGTCCAAGTGCTGCGCCGACATTGACAAGATCGAGGAAAGAGCCAAGTTGGAAAAGGAGAATGGGCAAGCCGATGTCTCGTCCTGCTTTCACAAGCGCTGCGAGCTCCTCAAGCTGCTCATCAACGCCGTTAGCATAATTCTGCGCCTGACTCCAGTTATGAAATCCCGTGCAGAGTTGATGACCGGTGCGCTTAGCTCCCAGGTTGGTCGACTCACTCTACAAGCGCATACCGATCGCAGTGACCTGGCTGCTCGCCATATGGACAACGAATGCTTCATGTTGAACCTTTCTTGGAATTCTCTTAGTGGTGAGCAGTCTTCGAAAATTCAAAGGAGTCAGCAGGTACTTGCTGAGAATTGGCATAAGCTTAACATGCCTGTCGAAGGTTGCGACTGCCTTCAGTGTACCAAGCGACTCCATCTGGAGCAGAATTAAGTCTACAATGTCAACTTTCTTACCTATTTTATCTTCGTGGTCTTTTCACTTGTATTGATCTTTGGTGATTTATTTTGAAGGTTTATTTGTCAAAAAGAAAGAAAGAATCGAAGAGAAAAAAAGTGTTCTAGTCAGATTTTACCAGCTACGAAGCAATGCATAAAACTTTCTTTCCAAGAAGCAATTGTTCTGTCCTTATCTAATAGAAAATTCACTATTTGATCGTATTGTACAGGGAGGATCGAAATCAGTTTGACCACTTACATGCAGATGTTCTCTCTCAAACTCTCTTTCGAAACACGCTATACCTACAGTAGAATTCGAAAACAGTTTACCCATCGGACACTCATGCTTTTTTCTCAGCCCTTATCCGCAACGAACCTAGCCAGATAGGGTTACTACTGGAAACAACCCCTGCTAAGCCGTATCGTAGTAGAAATAGTATTAGGCTGTAAATCCATATGAGTCATTGTAAAATACTGTATTATTTCATGGAAAGTTCTAGGGACAGATTCTAGAAGGGGTGCGCCCGGAAAAGGGGAGAGGTGGGGGATTTGTCAATCTTGTTACGGGTCGTTCAAAAGAAGCAGATTCATTCGGTGCCTACAGACGAGAATCTCGAAGATGAAGAAGGAAGGGGAAAGAAAGAAAGTCCACCTGAAAAAGAGGGCTTAAGTCCCCAGCAAACGCGTAGTGCAAACGACCCAAAATTATGCCTCAGGCACCCTTCCACGAGATGAGGCTATTCCCGAGATGAGGCTTTTCCCAGGTTCATCCGTCACAAATCTGGCCTGATCGACGCCATCCCTTTCTTCCTCTTTCTTTGTAGCCTTCATTTTTATCTATCTCTTTTGTGACGGAAGTTGTACTACTGCTGTATTACTGCAGTAGAAGACTAACTCTGGTAGGCTGATATGATTCTCATTCACGCCTTCACGGCTCTTGCTCCCTCTCGTCATTGCCATTCGTTATTAGGCATCTACCCACAACCAGTATGGCCTGTTTATGCTAATAGACCTCTAGGGTCGTAATCGGGTGTAGATATGAACGAAAACCCGGACCACAATTATATCTCTCAGCTCCAAGATTCAGACCAATGGGAACTGGAAACGCAGTATTCCCCTCCTACCCCAGGATACTTTCGAAGCCCTTACGCTACATAGTCCGACCGTAGTCCGTCGCCCTCTGTCTCGCTTGAAGATGATCTCAACCCCGCAAGCCGACCCCAGCCGAATACTATACCTCTGCTCCGGGAATCCGAGTGGGATGCGGATAAGACTTACAATGAGGACCCGCCAAGCTGTATCCACTACTGCATAGAATGGCGTGTCACCCTCAATAACAAGGCTGTGGTAAGGGACACGGAGGAATATCTCGTATTGGCCCCGAGCGCCTACTGGCGGTTGTTCCTGGGAGAAAAGCTACAAACTGTCATTCGAGAGAAACTCACCCGCAATAAGAGGTTCAGGGTTGATGACACAGCGATTGTTGTGGCAGTCAACGATCGTTCTCAACGTGACCTGACCAAGCGTTTCAACAAGACCGAGATAGTTTGGACCTCTATCGAAAAGCAGTTGCGGCTGTGGTTCAGTCACTTCTGTCGCGGAAAGAGACTAAAAATCTGTTTTATATACGTAGAGGATTGTGCCCCTCTATCTGCTGGGCGGAAAGGAGAGAAGAGAGGTAAATCTTCCGTCACCACGAGAATGCTTGATGATCGAGATGCCCAGCTCGACGCTGAAGAAATGCATGTGGTCAGCAATCAATTTGGCGCCGAGTTTATCCGCTTAGGGGGAGGGTGTCGATCGGAGAGACTGATAACTATTAGTTAACTACCTGTTTTGTATAGTAATCGGGGGCTTCTCGGAAAAAACAGCGCTGTAACACACTAAAACCCCCTGAATAGATGGCATTCTGAACGGGAGCCGACAGATAGTTCTTCAGTCGATCAATCGATCGCTGGGATGGTTCAATTGGCCGTCATGAGTACTAGTCGATACCGAAATCCTAAAGTCCGACAAACCACTGTGGCTGTACAAGGCTGGGCAAAGGATGTCCTTGGAATCCTTTTTGGCGCATGCTTTCTCTCGGTTGCTTTACGATACTAGCAGAGAAATCCGGAGAAGAGGAGTACATTTCTGGCTCCAGACGACAGCAAACTCCCAATTCTTCTTCCTCCATACGGTCCACGTCACGTGGGATTTTGTTCTATTGCAGTAGAAGAGAGATGGGACAAGGGAGTGAGGAGCGAGTTTTAGGGAGCATGAACGCAGACTTCGTGGCCCGCATATGGTTTGTACGTTTATGGGCTCTCAAGGTCATCTGTCTGATCCGGAAGAGAGAGGGGGCTAGGGCAGAGGTTTCTATGATGATGATCATTCTACCAACCTCGCAATCTGCGCGATGCCGAACAGAATTACTCTGGAAAGGCAGCTCGTAAGCGAAAGCCAACATGCACCAACTATGTTGTTAGCCCGGTGCAAAGAACGAGCTGGACTGGAAAATGGCTACACGATTGATGCACGCCTTTTGTCGTTGGAGCATGAGTAGTCTGATGACGCTGAGGGTGAGATCAAGAGCGCCTGTTGGTGAGATCAGCACATGGCTCCTTACCACTTGAATTACAATTCTCTATCCCATCAGACAATAAACTAAATATACAACAAATCCATTGAACACCACGCCAGATATCGAATGGTAGTATAAACCTACAGAATAAAAAGTAAAATACACCATGCCATCCCCGGATATTCAAACGCCAGATGCTATCGTACAAATACATTAAAATGCAAAATTCCGGCACCACGACCACCGCCCTGGACCACTCAACCACATTATTAGAAGGGAAGCAGGTCATCCACCCCGACTCTGCCGCTTCCACCTCCGCCTCTGCCGCCGCGACGAGTGAATCACTTCTTCCGTGAGAATTTCACCGGGTGGCTCGTAATCACGCTCTTCCATCTCGGGAATCGGCTGGCCCAAGACAAGTGGTTTCTGGGCTGGATCGCGCGGGGACCCGTCTAGGATTGCGACAGCTTGGTCATGAAGTTCTCTCGTTTCGAAAAATGATGTGAAGGGTTTATCTGGCGGTGGTGGGGGCGGAGGAGGTGGAGGGGGTGCTGAGGCGGGCTTAGGGGCGGGCGTTGCAGAGAGAAATTTCATATCCAGGAGGGTTTTCTGACGCTTAGCAGGGTCCTTGCTGGACTCTAACTTCTTGCTCGATTTGGGGGTGTCTTCATGGGGCTTGGCTTTGCGGTTTTGCTGCTTAGCCACGGATGCCGAGCGAGCTTCTTGATGTAGTTGACGAGCGGCCAAGGCGTCCACGTCGTGCGGGTCTGGTGGTGTACTCGGTGTTTCTGTCAAGGGAGAGGTAGAACTTTCCTCCTCGACCTCTTCTGCGGCACGGGATCGTTTCCGAGGACGTTTCGGTGCTGCAATGGCAGGCTGCTCTGTCTCCGGATCCGCTGTCGGCAAAGGCTTATCCTTTGCCAGTCTTCGACGACGTTCCTCGTCTTTCCAGGTTTGGAATTTGTTGACTAGAGCCACCAGTTCCTGGATGAGGATTTGGCGCTTTGGTTCGTAGAGTTTCTTTTCGCTTTCGTGGACGCCTATTAGGCCCATTACGCGGAGCCAGTCTTGGCCGCGGAGTTCCTCGAGCAAACGCTCGAGTTGCTGCTTTTCATGCTGGGCGCGGTCTCGCTCGATGTTGCGGAGTTGTTTCTCCTGGCGCTCGAATTTGCGATGAGCGCGGAAATAAAGCTCGTCGTTCAGGGGGTCGACGGCTGGAGCTCGTAATGACGAGCCTGGAAGGGTGATTGGTTCGCAGCGGTAGAGGTTTTGGAGGGGATTGCCGAATGGGGTCGGGTTCGGCGGAGGTAGAGCCAATGGCTTGGAGAGATCGTCTATCAAAGCAATGGTGGTGCTGGCAGCAAGTGATTCAACTGGCCAGATGTTAGTATGGGGGAAAAAGACTCTGGTTAGAGGAACAAACTGACCAGGCTTTGGACTATCCAGGCTGATGATTTGCTCATAGTTGTAAAAGTATTGAGCAAGCTCACTCTTACTCCGAGAACCGGTGTCAGTTGAGCGCAACGATCGTCTTTCGGTCCCTGTCCGCGCCGACGTGTCCTGCTCTGTCTCAACCACACCACTCTGATTCTTCTGCTGTCCTTCAATATCCCGCGTGTTCTCAGCCGGCCGCGACGCGTTCTGGCTCCCCACCTCGGTGTCCAGCCCCTCCTCGAGCTTCACATCGGGGTCATTTCGTCGGGTTGTACGAGTCACAACAGGCGAGCTCGCAGACTGACCCTCCGCGTCTCTCGTCGAGACAGCAGCCTCGGGACGCGACTTGGCAACAGGATTGGCGGGGGCGGGCGAGATGGTATCCAATGGATCGGGCGACTCACGCGTATCGCGAAGGAAAACTGCGGCGGCGCCGCCAGACGGCCCGTCTCGGTCGGTACGCGCACGGGGGGTCTTGGCGACGCCATTGCTATTGACGCGAGGGTTTCCGGCCGTGTGAAAATGGGAGGAGGATGCGATGCTGTCGGCGGAGGAGTTGGAGAGGCGGCGGGCGCGCCGCGTTGCGGTTCGTGGGCGCGCGACCTGGGACAGATTGAGGCGGGTCTTACTGGCGGAGGAGTTGGCTTGGGTGGTGGTCATGTCGAGGCAGTCAGGGGAGCTTCTGCGACGGCGTCGTCCAGTCTCTTGCTGCACTTGCTGCACTTGCTGCACTCGCTGCCTCTTGGTCGGCGGTGCTCCGTCGTCGGAGTGGTCGTCGGGGGTCCGTCGCACGGTGCCGCGGAGCGGCCGTGAGAGGAGGGCCATTGCTCGACTGGGGGAGGGCGAGGAGGCGAGTATTATCCTCGAGTCATACTGGGGCTGGCCTTTGCGCGGGAGGAATGCCCAGGGCGCTCGTTCGCAGCCGTCGAGGCGATCGCAGAGAAGATGTTGCGAGGAGGTTCTTGGCGGCCGAAGACGCGCAGAGACGGCAGCAGGTGCAGTGTGGTTGGTTCTACACAATTGAAATATGGAATATGCCAGACCATGCAATGGAATCTTCAAGTGTTGCGATTGATCCGAGGCTACTATAATGTATGGAATGTGATTTTTCTCGTGGTGGCGATTATCTGCTGACAGCACTGCCTGAATGCTAGCGCTGGACTCTACTAGGATATATCACGTCTAACCATTCTACTAGTCTTCAGTCTTCTCTGCAGACACCACAACACCTCTCGGTCAGTGGAACAGGCTCAACACTCGAACCGCCGCAGCCAGTGCTCAACCTACCATCACGATACTCGGCTTCATTTCCTCTTTGGAAGGGTATTTTCATTATCCGATCGCCCCCACATTGTGACGTGGGATGGGTCCAGTCCAGCAATGACCCGATGTAATTCCGACACGACTGCGCTGGACCAGACGCGTTGTCATCGACGTTCGATTGGTGACACTCGAGACACAATGGACAAATGCACCAGATTGCAGCAGCACATGATGCGGACTTGACTCCGATCCCACGAGAGCAGGCTGCGACTGTACTACTGTATCTGTGCCAGTGCCAGCTCGGAGACAACTCCAGTTCAACCCCGCATAAAAAGAAGCAGAGGAAAGCGTGGGGGAGCACATGAGGGGTGAAAAAACAGAAACGACGAGGATTCGTGCTCGGAACCATTGCTCCCCACAGCCTCCCACGCGGGGCAGGATGACCTTCAGGGCGTGAACGGCTAGTTCGATCGCCAGTGGGGGACGTGGGGGTGAAGATCCCTGAGGTTATTTAGCTGGCCGACGACCCCAACTTCTGCGCTGCTCGCGTATGATCGAGACCACCGGCACCTAGGTAAGTGCGGACCCATGGATCAGGGATTCCCATGTTCCGTCCAGTGCGAATCCCAAGGCTGACTCGGACACCACCAGAACTCCTCGCATCCATCATGACAGCCAACGGCACCACCAGACGCAACCCCCTCACCTACGGGTTCTACGTGCCCACCGTGGCCTTCTTCCAGCCTGACGAAGAGGTGGATCTGCCGACTGTCGAGAAACACGCCGCTTATCTCGCCCGCAGTGGCGTCACCGGTCTGGTCACCCAGGGCAGCAATGGCGAAGCCGTCCACCTCGACCGCGACGAACGCAAGGCTATTACTGCTGCCACCCGCCGCGCCGTCGATGCCGCCGGCTATTCCTCCATGCCCGTGATCGCCGGCTGCGGTGCCGCCTCCACGCGCGAGTCCATCCAGCTGTGCCAGGACTCGGCGGCTGCGGGCGCCGACGCCGTGCTGGTGCTGCCGCCCAGCTACTACAAGGCGCTCGTGAGCAACGAGGCCATGTACGCGCATTTCCACGCCATTGCGGACGCCTCGCCCATCCCGGTGCTGATCTATAACTTCCCCGGCGCATCGTCGGGCCTGGATCTGTCGTCGGACGATATCCTGACCTTGGCCAAACACCCCAACATCATCGGGTGTAAGCTGACCTGCGGCAACACGGGCAAGCTGGCTCGCATCGCGGCCGGCTCCAAGCCTGAGTTCTTGACGTTTGGTGGCTCCGCCGATTTCACCCTGCAGACCCTCATCGCTGGCGGTGACGGTATCATCGGCGGCACCGCCAACATGATTCCCCGATCATGCGTGCGTCTCATGGAGCTGTACCGGGCGGGCAAGCTCGAGGAGGCGCAGAAGGTCCAGGCGATTGTGGCGCGGACGGACTGGGCGGCCATCCACGGCGGCTTCATTGCTGTCAAGACGGCGCTGCAGTCATATCATGGATACGGTGGACTGCCGCGTCGTCCATGTGTGGTACCTTCTGAGAAGGCTGCCGCTGCCATCCACGAGGAGTTCCGCGAAGGTATGGAGCTGGAGCGGTCATTGGAGAAGTCGTGAGGTGTGCTGTCTGCTGGATCAGGATCACTTGATAGTCAATGAAGATCACGATACCTTCCCCGCATTTCGGAGACTTTGCCGGCGTAGGCACTGTAGCTTGCCCATCTTTACTTCTCGGTGCCAGTGCACCTATCTAGATATTAATGCCATGGTCTCTTGTATCGAGCGAAGACTGGCGATGTCACAGTGTCATTCTGGCGATGCGGAGTCAAGTCAAGATATACTTCGGAACAGGCACTGTTGACAGGGTTACTTCAGCCACACCTCCGTCAGGGAGGAATAGAGTAACTGAAGTATACGCTGCCGGTAGCATACTGGGATTAGCAATGTCGCATGTGGAGGTCGCAGACACGATCGGATCTGATGTAACCTGCCTACACTAGTATGCCTTAGGGAAGGGAAGGTAGTGGGTAGGTTAGCTCACTAGTGTCCCGCCAAAACATCCAGGGATGTGTTTATCACTTCTAATCTCACTTGTGCATGCCGATCCGCGATCGGCATGCGGTGCGCCTTAAATAATCCATCCTCTCTCTTCCTCCCTCTCTTCCTCACCCTCCTCATCACCCGCCTCTCCATCATGAAGTTCGCCTCCGTTCTGGGCGTGCTGGGTGCCCTCAGCGCCGTCGCCGTGTGCGACGTCAAGGTGAATCCACTCCCCGCGCCCCGCAACATCACCTGGGGCTCCAGTGGGCCGATCCCCGTGAAGCAGCTCTCCCTACACGTCTCGAACAATGCCCACGCCCACGATGCGCTGAACAACGCCTGGACTCGCGCCTGGACCGCCATCACCACCCTGCAATGGGTTCCCGCGGCCACCGAAGCCCCTATCCCGCACTTCGACCCGTTCCCTACCACCGCCCCGAAGGCCAAACGCGCCGCGACCAAGGCCATTACCGGCGTGAAGCTGTCGGTCGCGGACAGCCAGGCCGATCTGCAGCATGGCGTTGACGAGTCGTACACGTTGGAAATCGCGGAGGGTTCGGACCGCGTTGCGATCAGGGCCCAGACCATCTGGGGCGCGATGCACGCGTTCACGACTCTGCAGCAGTTGATTATCTCCGACGGACAGGGCGGCTTGATAATTGAGCAGCCTGTCAAGATTCACGACGCGCCGTTGTACCCTTACCGGGGTATCATGATCGACACGGGCCGCAACTTCATCTCCGTCCCGAAGATTCTGGAGCAGATCGACGGCATGGCCCTGTCCAAGCTCAACGTGCTGCACTGGCATCTGGACGACGCGCAGTCCTGGCCCATGCAGATGCGTTCGTACCCGGAAATGGTCAAGGATGCCTACTCGCCTCGCGAAGTCTACACCAAAAACGACATCAGACGCGTTATCGAGTATGCCCGTGCCCGTGCCGTCCGTGTCATCCCCGAGGTGGACATGCCCGGTCACTCCTCTTCCGGCTGGAAACAGGTCGACCCGAAGCTCGTGGCCTGCGGTAACTCCTGGTGGTCCAACGATGACTGGCCCAAGCACACGGCCGTGGAGCCGAACCCGGGCCAGCTGGACATCATCTATAACAAGACCTACGAGGTAGTCCGCAACGTCTACAACGAGCTATCGGAGATCTTCCCGGACAATTGGTTCCATGTCGGCGCCGACGAGCTCCAGCCTGGCTGCTACAACTTCAGCAGCTATGTGTCCAACTGGTTCGCCGAGGACCCCTCACGCACCTACCACGATCTCGCCCAGTACTGGATCGACCACGCCGTGCCCATCTTCCGCTCCGCAGGCAAAAAAATCGCCGCATCATGATGTGGGAAGACATCTTCCTCTCCACCGAAGCCGCACACAATGTCCCCAAGGACATCGTCCTGCAAAGCTGGAACAATGGCCTCGGCAACATCGATAACCTCACCGCCGCCGGCTACGACGTGATCGTCTCATCGTCTGACTTCCTCTATCTGGACTGTGGCAAGGGCGGCTTCATCACCAACGATCCCCGCTACAACGTAATGTCAAACCCAGATGCCAGCACCCCCAACTTCAACTACCAAGGCTTCGGTGGCTCCTGGTGCGCCCCGTACAAAACCTGGCAACGCATCTACGACTACGACTTCACAACCAACCTCACCTCCTCGCAGGCGCAGCACATCCTCGGCGCCGAGGCCCCCCTCTGGTCCGAGCAGGTCGACGACGTTACCATCTCCAGCTCGTTCTGGCCTCGTGCAGCCGCACTGGGTGAGCTCGTTTGGTCGGGTAACCGTGATGCGGAGGGGAAGAAGCGGACGACCCTGATGACGCAGCGGATTCTCAATTTCCGAGAGTACCTCGTTGCTAATGGCGTCATGGCTACTGCGCTTGTGCCGAAGTATTGTCTTCAGCATCCGCATGCTTGCGATTTCTATTACAATCAGACTGCTATTGTTTGAACTGTTGGTTGAATGAAAGAGTCTGCATTGCGGAGTCGGCTCGTTGATTTGATTATCCGGGCTTGATTTCTATTTTGATTGATTGACTTGATCCTCGCCTCTTGGAACCTGGTGGGATCTGTATGCATACCTGTTCGATACCCAGATAGGACTACTTGAACCTCATTTGCACTACAATTGTAGTACCTCAATTTCCATTCACTGTACCGTTAACCCTACCCTAGAGTATCCCTCAAATTTCGTATAAGTTAACCCCAAATCCGTACCCTAGCATAGCCAACCAATCACGTAAAATACGCCATCTACTCCAGAAAGTAATCTCTCATCACACGAGCAAGCCCCGTTTCAGAATCCGCCCAGTCCACCGGAACGTGCCACAAACGCCTCGAACGCTGTGCGATCATTTGAAGCAGACGAATACACCTCACTGAGGAAAATGGTTTCACTTTTTTCCGCTGATTCGGGCTGGCTGCATGCTGACAGGGATATCATGCCTGGATGTAAGCACGATATACTTTTTTTTTTGGATATGATGACGGTACGTTACATGACACCAAGTGTGAGGTTTTGGGTAGTGTGTAGCGAGAAGATATGGGAAACAGAATTTGCGTTGGGTTGTGGCGAATGGTGCTCACATCAGAGTAGCGTGAATTTAGCAAGAGAGTTGGAAATAACCTGTTTGGAGGGTGTGATGTACATGCATACCTCCCTATAGGTAGCTGATCATCCAGTAGAAAATCCCAGTGAAGGCCCTAGCAGTGCTTTCCAATTCGTCTGTGGGATGATATATTGAGAACTAGACCAAGATTTTATCTCATCACGTTAAGCGATTGGACATGTCTTCGATTTACCTCGATCATTTGACCACTCAAATCCTGTATCTACACCAGCGCAAAATGCGATACCCCCTGCACGGCCGAGTGTACAGAATGCATCTATAGTTCCAGAATATATCCGTCCCACGACGTTGCTCTTACCCAGGTAGGGTATCGTAGCGGCTTGTACGATCGGTTCCCTGTTTGTCAGGGATTTTGGGGGGAATGATCGGGTCCTATGTTGCTACGTCAATGCCCGGGTGGTTGGTGTTTTGGGAGGCTGTGAACCGTGGGTATGTGGTCTTTAGTGGAACGATAAGTTCCATGGTTCGAGGTCTGGGTGTACATAACGTGTCTGTTAATGTCAGGGGCGTTTTGTTGGGTTGGGTTTATTAGGGCCTTATGTTGTTTGAGGATATTTTTTTAAGTTGTATAGGTTTTTTTGCACCTCACGAAGTCGCCTCAAATGGGGTTGGATTCATCTTTGTAATTGAGGTCGTGTTGTTGGTCCGTACTATTGCAACGGTGTTTCGGGCTTCGGGTAGCGGTCCATCATCAAGAACACTTACGATTATGTCCATGCAGCTGTAACAGAGTGAGCATAGCCCATAAAAAGTGTATGGATCCAAGCGATGCCCACGTTGGGGTTGTTCTGGGTACTAACCTGTTACACCACATAAGCCCAAAACCGAAGCCGAACGATCGTCTGATCCTCCAGTCTGTAACTAGATGCGCACGATGATTCCAGCGGTTATCTTAATTTCTAGCACATGATGTTTGTCTCGATCTATCAGAGGAGGAGCTTGAGGCCGATGATGTCAATGTTTTGATCTGATCTTGATCGAGATACAGATCACGAGATCTGATACGCTGTACCGTGGGTTCACAATATATATCCAGTCGGATGCTTTCCAACCACCCACCAAACAAAAGCAAGGCTAGGTGCTTGTACAGTAGCAGATTTAAGCTCGAAGATTTAATCATTGCATTCTACATTATCGAATACGAGACGTCGTGGAACTCTTACGCCTCCGGATGCTCTTGTACCTAGAGGTTCAAGTATACTATTCGGAAGTATTTCTCTGATCGGATACACTACATCCGAGATGAGATTCACCGATTCACCAAGAGCATCAACAAGGAATGCCTGCTGTCGGCTAAGCCTCGGACTGACTGATCATACAGACTGATATTGCAGTCGTCACGAGGGCCAAAAATGACAAATTTACACTAACGGAAGGTATCTTCACCAATCTATATTCGAATGCCCATCTATGATATCATAATCAATAATTGGCTTCAAATCGGGTGAGTAACCCTAAGGCTAAGATCTCCATCGCATAACAAGGAACCAGTTTGGTCAAAGCCACACGGTGGCTGATCAGACAATCAGATCGGTTCCCATTCCCGATGCAGTGATCAGACCCTGCATGATTGCTATCCCGTGTAACCTGTAAAAAGTAGATTATGGAACTATAGAAGTTAAAGGTCTGGAAACAGGATCTCAGTTAACCCCTCTGTACCACAGCGACCTTGGGTTTACAGTAGAACTGAAAATTGGTATTCCACTGACGATTCCGATATGCACACCCCACCTATCAAATCTTCACTCGGATTCTTCACCGTGGCCATAACCATTGCACCGGGTACACGGGTTCGGAGACCTACGTAATTTCCAATCGTCCGAGACTCCGGGCCCACTAGAAAAAAAGAAAATATCCACAGAAATGGAGAACAAGCCTCTGCTATAGGGGAAAAACCGGCCGGTCACTCCAGGGAAACAAAAAAAAAAAAACCTAATCACGACTCGCACCCCACCATCTCGGGGAGGAGTCCAAAGTCCACCGCTGCTAAGAGACGAGAGAAAGAAAAAGAAAGAATCTGGGGATCCGCAAGTGGACACGATCGTAAAAGAACGACATGCGAATCTCGGAGCCCACGGCGCGCACCCCCTATAGGGCGGGTCGGCGTGTGGTGAAGATTTCCTTCCCGCTGTGGATCTCAGTAGCCTTTTTCCCGTTTTCGACGAATCCAAACATCCTTCTTATGGAGCGCGAAGGACTGAAAAATGGACCATTCTCTTTTATCGTGGCGGGAAGGACGAGGAATTTTGCTCTTTCAGTCTAGTCGTGGCGTGAAGCTATTCACCCCAGGCCCACACTGACCCTAAGGTCCGGAGATAATCCGTCCTAAAGGGGAGTTTTTGAGAGCGATGGAGTTATATTTCCGCATCCACATCACATGCCACTGCGTTGACTTTCGTATGGCAGGGGCTGGCAAGGTTTCGGATCGGATAGTGCATTTAGTGGGTTGGTCCGTTTACTAGTGATTCTCCCTACCAGAGTAACTTTTGAAGCTAAAGAGGGTTATTGTTTACTTGCATTTCCGTCCGATCTGGAGAATTTCTCCGAGTTGCTCGTGGTCCATTTACATATCCCCGAGCGTCGAGCCTATGCGACTGATGCGGTGAAGCAGCCACCGGGACAAGGGTGACTGATCAAAAACCAGAAACGACCCGTCATCAAACCGACGATCTTCTACCTAGAGAGTTGTTGCTGGTATTTCTCGGCCGTACTGTCTTGTGTACTACATACAAGATACGAGCAACTTTGTTCTAGGTATGAATTGAGTAATATTGGCGGCCGCTTTGCGGAAACGCGCTTATGCACTGTGCAATCTGGTTCCCGAGATCCCGCGTTTGGCGATGGCGATCACGAACCGTCCAAAGGAGGGGGTGGCCATTACCACTTCCTAATTGCGATTTAATCTATGATTTGCGATTGATTCGCCCTGGGTAGTGTCGATTTAACTCGCTTGCAGGTGACGGCAACGCCACCGAGAGCTACTAGTTGCTGCGGGTTCAGTGTGATGTGCTCGTACATGCGCACGAAATAGTGACAGCGACGGCAACATGGTACTGGGTACTTTCTGGTACGGGCGTATATCCCTACCTCTCCTACACACTGCTTTGCATAACCTTGGACCGGTAGAACTGGGTGTGGGCACATGCACGAATAATGTACGTATAGTAATGTGGCAGCAGCATGCGAGCTAGTTTCGCCATGCAGCGAGGCGTCTTGTTCCCCGCGCTTTGACGACGGTCTGCATGGTCGAAACGGGAAGGAGACTAAGTCACATAGAGTAGAAGACTGGGAAGGGTAGAGGGAGTTGGTCTTACTCGATAATTTCAACTGGCCCTTGATAATACAGGTGGAAGTACCGGCATCATCATGGCCGACAGGGGACTGATCCTGCAAAAGCTATTGCCTGGATGGTGTGACGATTGTACGACGGGACTCGAGAACCACGGCCAGTCGCTTGATCTCCTTGGATGGTTACACGGGCGTCGAAAGGGGAATCGTGCGATCCTGCTTGCGCGCGTGCCTGCGGCTAAGGCAACTGAGTGCAAGGGTATGGATATGTATTTTGTACAGTATGGTATTATTTTTCCCAAGTGAGAGAGATGCATATGTGATGCGCTAGGGCAGGTGTTTGCCCGAACAGCATCGATAACAAGCCACTCGCCCGGGCGCTGCAGATCTCGTCGATCGGGCATGATGTAATTGCAGTAATTAGTTCAAGTGTACGCACTAGAAATATGCACCAGGATCAATCACTCGAGATAACACTGTGAACCGCGATCAGTCGAATAAATCTGCTTGTCTTTGGTGAATCTGCCATTCCACCTCGATAATGTCGAGTCATGCTAGAATCGGACACCCGGACGACTGAATCAACCATAGCGAAGCTTATCTTGCAGCAGGAGTCAATAGTTGTTCGGGTCGACTGGGGTAATTGGTGGGGATGTCTCGGGGGAAGTTACCACAATCCTGTTACCATCCTGCCAGTGCCGACTGCTATCTCCTAGTCAGACATAGCTTCCAGTGGCAAAAGCCAGATACCGCTGGCGTACACCACACCTTACCAAGACAGGCACCAGCATAGGCACAAGAACCAGCATTCACCAGGGCACCCCAGAAAACCCACGCCAAGCCAAACACTGCAGCTCCAAGCGCCCGGGCGTATTTACCTGATAGCAGGGAGTTAAACCTCGCGGGGTCCACCCCCTCGTTCCCGCCACATGGCCAGGCTCGGACCGCGACCGTCTCTAACCCTCTCTCTAAGCACTAGGTGCCCTAGGCTGTACACGACGACGTGTATACGCAGCACTGGGACGCAGGGGGC